TACTTTTATTTAATTTTCATTTTGTTTCATTTAAAATTTCATTCTATTAATTTCAGTTTTTATTAATTTTACTTTTTTGTTTTATTTAATGTTTAAATATTTAATTTCGTTGTGTTTTATTTAATTCTCAATTTAATTTTATTGATTCACTTAATTAAAAATGAAGAAAAAAACATTTTTTTTCCTATAATTAAATATTTTTCTTTTCTCGTTGAATTATTACGTTAATTAAAAAATTTTCTTTTTCTTCATCTAATAATATTTATATTTTACATTCTTGTGAAAGTGTATATATAAAATATTGTGTATATCTCACCTACCCAAGAAAAGTTGTAAAGTTACGGCACTGTTTACATAATCCCTTCCAATTCTCATTTCTCGTGGCGCGTTGAATCAAATATATACACGCGCACGCTTATACAACACATTCTGAGGTTCGACTCATATAATAAACACCCGCATGATGATTGTTATATATATATATATATATATATATATATATATATATATATATATATATTGTGTGTGCGATTTTCAATCGATGCGCTCAACTCGCGTTGACGTTTTTATACATATAGATACATAAATATATCTATAAGCGCTTCCTCGTTTTCTCATTGTTACATGCGATGCCTATTTATCTTATTGTTCTATTTTTGCGATTGATTCACAATTATATTTGTTCCTCTTTTTTTTTAATAATAATAATAATAATAATATTATAATTTGCAAATATTTATTTTGAGAGAAAATTATTTTAATCAAATTGGAATTTTAATTATTTACAATAGAGAATTATTAATTTTATTTATTCATTTCTGTATTATTAATTTATTTGTTTTTTTAAATTTTTATTTAAATAAATTAATTTTTTTTTGAAATATATTCTCTGGAAATTATTTCGTTACTTATAAAAATATTCGATAAAAGTTACTATTTTTCCTTACAAATATTTGAGAAAAATTATTATTATTATTCGTTATTTAAGTATTTGAGAGAAACAATTATTCGTTGTTTAAAGATTTGAGAACAATTATTATATTTAAATATTTATGAGAAAAATTATTATTCGTTTATAAACATTCGATAAAAAATTATTGTTATTAATATTAGTTCTTTAAATAAAAAAGCAAAAAAGAATTATTATTCCAAAAAATATTATGTCTATTTTCCTTGAGAGTAAAAATATTATTTTTGTAAATTATTATTAGAATTTTTACTGCATTTTAATTATTTTACAGAATTATAATTAATTAATTAACTATAATTGTAATTCTAGTACACGGAGAGAGAATATATATATTAAATTTTGTAAAAGTATTTTACAAATTGGGGAAAAAAGTGCAACAAAGCGAAATTTTGATATAGAAAATACTAAACTTTAAAAAAAGTTTTGTGAAATTTATTAAAGTTATATTAGAATTTAATTAATATTCTTGATATTTGATATAATTATGCTAAATTTCACATAAGTTTTTTTAAAGTTTAGTATTTTTTATATTAAAATTTCGCCTTGTCGCACTTTTTCCCCAATTTGAAAATTTTTTTACAAAATTTAATATAATATTCTCTCTCCGTGTAGAAATAAAAATTATAATTGAAATGAAAATTATATTTAAAATAAGAATTTTAATTATAATTTTAATTATAGTTGTATTAAAAATTGTAATTAAATACAAAACTTCAGTAAATTAATTAAATTAATGTTGTTTAAAAAATTAGTTTTAATTCAAATTATAATAAAAATTACATTTATAATTAGTTAATTGTAATTGGACTGAAAATTAGAATTTCAGTTAATTAATTTGTAACTAAAATGGAAATTATAATTATTAATATTGTTTATAAATTTTCTTTGTTTTAAACAATTTTTGCATTCAATGAAACGCATAAGAGACGAATAATAAATATTTTCAAATATAAATTTAATTCAATCGCGTCTAATAATAAAATGTTGCAATTATTATCGCATTATAGAATATGACTTTGTCTTGAAGATTATAGAACTATAAAGAATATATATGAAAAAGAAAAAAGTGAGATAGAATTTTCTTTGATAAGTTATGTGCATATGTATGCAAGGGGTTACCTGTGTGTTCATGCATATATGCAAGCGCAAAGTTTCAGAATGAAAGGTAGACTTTTATATGTATATATAGAGACAATGTTGCATGTATTTGTCTATGACACGTGCGAGAGTGGATGTCTGACATTCTGACACTTCGTAGGAAACTTATTATAATTAATACTATAAGCCATAGGTACGCCTACGAAATTTATATATATTTATCTCTCTCTCTCTCTCTCTCTCTCTCTCTCTCTCTCTCTCTACACCCAATGTTTGCGTCATTCATTTGTAATATTACATACTTTCGTAATATTATCTCGCGTGCGAAAATCTCTAATCTCCTTTTCAGTAGCGAATTATGTATATATGTAGGATTTCTTTCTATATGCAGAAGAATTTTCACAGTCTTAGTGTCTTAGTGTCAGATTTGTAATCCAAGTATCCTTTAGTGTCTTTTTTTGCTACGCTGTACTTTTTTTTTGTTCTATTTTTATATATTTTTAAAAATTGTATTTTTTAAATCTGCAATTTTTTTTCTATATTTTGAAAATTATACTATTTGCATCTCAGTTTATTCATTTTAATTTTTTTTTAAATTTAATTTGCATTTTAATATTTCAAATTTTTGTTTATTTATTTATTTAAACAATATACGGCCTTACAATAAGAAAAAATAATTTTTTCTTTTTATTTTTAATTTATTGTATTTTAAATTATATTTTGTTATTTTTGTTTTATTATATATATATTATATTATATATTATTATTATTATCATTATTCATTTTCAATTCTAAATAAATTAGAATAAATTATTACTTTAAATTAATTATTTCAATTCTAAATTTTATTAAAATAAAAATAATTCCAATAATATTGTCAAATTAATTATTTTTTTATTATTTAGTAAATATATCTAATAAATAATAAAATTAATAAAAAATCAATTATTTATTGCCAATTCTAAATAATTTTCAAAATTAAATAAAATTCTTCACAAAAATTCAATTATTTTCATAAATAATAAAATTCTTTGCCGGATTTCTATAATTTTAAATATAATTTTGAATAAATTCTTCCAAAAATGCAATTATTCTTGTAAATCTTATTAAAATTGTTCGAAATAATTCAATTATTTATAAAATTTTGAATAAAATACTTTCTAAAAATAAAATTTGAAGAAATAATCAATTATTAATTCTCAGATTTGAATAATTGAAATCCCCTTATACTTTCTGAAGAAAATTAATTTAAAAGTGAATTTCAGTCAAAATTTTAGAAAATAATTGAATATTCGAAGAGTTATAGTATGAATTTTTGGGAATTATATTGCAAAAGATTTATGAACTTTCTGAAATTTTAAATTTTGTAAAACTGTAATAATATTTAAAATTTATTATGAAATATTTTCTTCCCTAAACAATTGTTAAAGTTTTAATTGATTTTATTTAAAAATTTCAAAAAAAACAATTGAATTTCTGTGAAGAATATTATTCAAATTTTTTAAAATAATTGAATGTTGTCGAAAAATTTTATTAAAAATAATTGAAATCATTTAGAGAAGTTTATTAAAATGTTTTAAAATAATTCAATTTTTTTTGAAGAATTTTATTAAAATTTTTAAAAATAATTCAATTTTAGTGAAAAATATCATTAAAATTTTTAAAAAATTTGAATTCAAAATAATTGACTCTCTTTGGAGTATTTTATTAAATTTTTAAAAAATAATTGAACTTCTGCGAAGCATTTCATTAAAAGTTTTATAAATAATTGAATTTCTATGGCGAAATTCATTAAAACTTTCTAAAATAATTGAATCTTGTCGATAAATCTTATTAAAATTGTATTAAATAATAATTGAAGTCCTTAGAAAATTTTATTAAAATGTTTGAAAATAAATGAATTTCTTCGAAGAATTTTATTAAAATTTTTAAAAAATAATTGAATTTCTGCGAAGCATTTCATTAAAATTTTTAAAAATAGAATTGAATTAGAATTAGAATTTCTTAGAAATAAATAAATAATTGAATTTCTATGGAGAATTTCATTAAAACTTTTTAAAATAATTGAATCTTTATCGAGAAATCCTATTAAAATTGTATTAAATAATAATTGAAGTCCTTAAGAGATTTTTATTAAATTATTTTGAAATAATTGAATTTCTACGAAGAACTTTACGAAAATTTTCAAAATAATTGAATTTCTGCGAAAAATTTTATGAAGACTTTTGAAAAATTTGAATTATTGCAAAGAATTTTAGTATTTATAAAAATCATTAAATTATTAGAAAGAATAAAAATAATTGAAAAAAAATAATTAAATTTTTGTGAAAAATCTCATTAAAATTTTTAATAATAATTGAATCTTGTCGAGAAATTTCATTGAAAATTGAAAAAAAAAATTGAATCTCTTCCAAGAATTTTATTAAAGTTTTAAGAAATATTAATAAAATTTCTGCGAAGGATTTTAATAAAATTTTTTAAAATAATTGAATTTCTGCGAAGAATTTTATTAGAATTTTTACAATTAATTAAATCTTGTCGAGAAATTACACCAACATTTTTTTTTAATTAATAATTGAATTCTTGGGAAAAGTTTTATTGTTTTTGAAAATTTTATAAATAATTGAATCTTGTGATTCAATTATTCGAGAATTCATTAAAATTTTTGAAAATAATTGACTTTCTGCGAAGGATTTCATTAGAATTTTTACAAGTAATTAAATCTTGTCGAGAAAGTCCTGCAAAAAATTGAATTAAAATTTTTTGATTAGAATATTAAATTGTTTTATTCCTTTTAAAAAACTCAGATTTCTTCTGTGAAAATAATTGAATGGAAAAGAATCATCATTTTAGAGAGTATAGAAACTTGTTCTTTTTTTTTTTTAAATGTAAATTTTCCCATACTGATGAGTATTTATTTGTATTGTTTTAGGAAACCGTTGATAAAAGTGAGACAAATTAAGAAGGCGGAAGTGTTGGACTAAGAAGTGAATCTTTGGGGGAGGATGCTCGGCAGCTGGGTTTGGGAAGAAGAATTGGAGCTGGGAGAGGGAACAACCGTTTTGCAAGATAAGCTGAGAAGTGTCAGCCCTGACACAACACATCCCGTCCCCGACAGCCGGGTGCTAAGGTATGCACCCAGCCGTTGCCATCATCCTCCCACCTTCAACTTACCGCACTCCGGTCTACAGCCTCCTCTCAACTGTATCGATTGTAAGTATATCGGTCATAAATCAATCCCCCCCCCCTCCCTTCTCTCTTCTCAATTCTTAGTTTCAATAAATTAAATTCCCCCCTCAAATTAAAAGAGGGAAAAAAATTTATCCTTGGCCTTTTTTCAAGTAAAAAAAATACCTTTTAAGATTTAAAATTCTAGAAAATGATTGTTTATCCCTTTTTTGAAAACTTGAATTTTGAATAATTTTGATTATTTAATTCCAGACATTCAAAAAACATTTAAATATTAATTTACGCTATCAGACAAACAAAATTTGGTAAAAAAGATATTTAAAATTTATTTCTTCCAAATATAATAATTCTAATCATCTGAAAATCACCAGAATTTTAGTAGGGACTGAGCCCTACAAAATCTTAAAGAAAAGAGAATTTTATTTTAATTTCTAAGTAGTAGCAGGTCCACCCGTACGCCATTAGACAATCAAAATTTGCTAAAAGCGAAAATAAAAATTTATTTCTTGAAAATTTAATAATTCTAATCATCTGAAAATCACCAGAATTCTAGTAGGGACTGAGCCCTACACAATCTTGGAGAATAGACAATTTTATTTCAATTTTTAAGTAGTAGCACCCTCACCCGAACGCCATCAAACAATCAAAATTTGGTAAAATCGAAAATAAAAATTTATTTCTTCCAAATTTAATTATTCTAATCATCTGAAAATCACCAGAATTCTAGTAGGGACTGAGCCCTACACAATCTTGGAGAATAGACAATTTTATTTCAATTTTTAAGTAGTAGCACCCTCACCCGAACGCCATCAGACAATCAAAATTTGGAAAAATCGAAAATAAAAATTTATTTCTTCCAAATTTAATTATTCTAATCATTTAAAAATCACCAGAATTCTAGTAGGGACTGAGCCCTACACAATCTTGGAGAATAGACAATTTTGTTTCAATTTTTAAGTAGTAGCACCCTCACCAGAACGCCATCAGACAATCAAAATTTGGTAAAATCGAAAATAAAAATTTATTTCTTCCAAATTTAATTATTCTAATCATCTGAAAATCACCAGAATTCTAGTAGGGACTGAGCCCTACACAATCTTGGAGAATAGACAATTTTATTTCAATTTTTAAGTTGTAGCACCCTCACCCGAACGCCATCAGACAAACATAATTTGATAAAAAGGAAAACAAAATTTTATTTTATCCAAATTTATTTAATCTAATCATCTGAAAATTACCAGAGTTCTAGTAGGGACTGAGCCGTACCTATTCCTGATTCACTCGGGTGCTCGAATTTAATCGAGTACTTGTATTTACCTGAGTACTCAAATTTTTCGAGTACTCGATACATCGAGCCGACTTGTGCTTGGCTCGACTTTCTAATAATAATTCTGTAAAATAATAGTATTTTTTACTTAAATAATTGGATTTTCAAGGAAAATTCGAAAAATTATTTAACAAATACTTCATTTTTAAAAGAATTTTAGTTAAAAATAATTAAATTTCATAACGTTTTGAATTAACATTTTTAAAAAATTTGAATTTTGACTTATTTTAGTTGCTGTAGAAAGTCAATAACATTAAAATATTTATTTTACAAAATAATTGAATTTTCCAAAAACTTAAGCTAAAAATTCTAGAAAATAATAGAATTTTTCTATTTAAATAATTGCGAATTCTCAAAGAAATTTTTGAAAATTATTCAAAATGCATAATTCATAATGTTGATTTTGAGAAAATGTTTAATTTTAATTTTTGACAATTGAATGTTAGAAGAAAATTTTTTCAAATAAACGAAATTTTGTAAAAAGGAATTAAAAATAATTAAATTTGAATTTTAGGAATTTTTTTTTATTGAATTCTCAAAGAGCTTTAAAGAAATTGATAATAATTGATTTAGAAAAGAATTTGAGTTAAAAAATGTAGAAAATAATTGAATATTGTAAGAGTTACCTATTACTAGGAATTTTTAGAAAGAATTAAATTTTAAAAGGTTTCAAGTTGAAATTTTTTAAGATTTGAATTTTGAATTTTTTTTTTGTTAAAAATCAGTTAAAAATTACTTCTTTGGAAAATTTTGAATAATTGAATTCTCAGGTAAATTTCTCAAAAATATAAAATATAATTGATTTATAAAAGAATTTTAGTTTGAAATTTCAGAAAATAATTGCATTTTGGAAAAATTGCAGTTGCAAATTTTAAATGTAATGAAATTTTAGAAGTTTTGAAATTGAATTTTTTTTTCAAATTTTAACTTCTATGGAAAATATGCATAAAAGTTTTATACATTTATTTAATAAGTTTATTGAACTTTGAATAAATGAATTCAGAAATTTAGAAAAAGTTAGTTTTTAAAAAAATTACAATAAACATTTTTTGAAGATAATTGAATTTCCGTTAGTAATTAATTGAAAAATTTGTCAAACAATTGTGAATTTTTGTCAAATTATAAGGAAATAAGTTTTACGTGTACACAATTTTTCTAAGGATGTAAAATTGAGACAAAAAACGAATCAAAAATGTTTTTTGTCTCAATTTGATATCCTTTGAAATTCTTTGTATGAATTTAATTGAAATTATTTTAATTTTTTTAAATTAATATAATTTAATTGAAATAGAATTAAATTTAATTCTAATTTAATTGAAATATAATTTAAAAATGAAAATAATTTGCAAGAACTCATTTATTGAAATTAAAATTAATTTTTTTTTTGCAGAGCAGTGTGAGACGGGCAAAATGCTGACTGCGCATCCTGAGATGCATGAGAAGAGGGATATTGTCCCCCTTGGCGGGGGGCAATATGGAACTGGCGGGGGTGGTATGGTGATTAATGAAAAATGTACCGCTGATCAACCACCCCCGCCACCACCGCCGCCGCAACGTGATCCATCAGATCCAACGATCAGCGCAAAGAAACTTCCGAAGAAAAGAAAATTTGATCCATCGGAACTTGAGGAAATGGATAAGACAAGCAATGTTACCGCAAATGTCAATAATATGATTATTCGCGCCAATAATCAGCCAATTAGTTACACCACATGTCATCAATCATCAATTCATTCAAATATGTCTTTACCTCATCAACAGCAACGCCAACACTCGCCAATCCAACAAGTACCTGTCCAACAAGTAGAATGCTTTCAGGTACATTTTCTTCTTATCTGTTCATCAGAATAACAAATTTTTATTTTTGAGCGAGGAAAACAATATTTTCTACGAGGAGAATTTGAAAATTTTATGGAATTGTCAATCGAAAATTCTGATCAAATTATTTGGAAAATGGAGCGAATGAAAATTTGTTAAAAATGATTAGTTTGAATTTTCTGTATTTACCTATTAATTTTTAATTAATTTTAATTTTTACTTTTTATTTAAATTTACAAATTTCTATTTAGCCCAATTTTTTTATTGGGATTTTCTATTTTAATATTTTATTTTTTTATTTTATATTCTTAATTGATTTCTTATTTAACAGAATTTCTATTTCACTGAAAACGGAAAAAATATAGAGCAACTTTTACTATTTACAAAGAAAAACGTAAAGTGTCTGAAATTTTGTGCGAATTTCTGCTTTACGACTTTTACTATTTTCGGAATAAATTTTGCTCCACTCGAAGTAAATTTTTGACTCATTTTTATAAATTTACTTCGAATACTGCAATATTTACTCCGAAAATAATAAAAGTTACAAAGAAAAAATCGAATATAAAACTTTTATTTAACTGTATTTTCATTTTAAAAAAAATCATTTCCGTTGAAATGAGTAATCTGTTGAATCAAAAATCTGATAAATAAAACTTGGATTAATATTAAATTATTGTTGAATCAGATTTCTTTAAAATAAAATTTCATTTAATTTATTTTTTATTATTATCAAAAATTTGAATAAAAATTTTCGAAAAAATTCAATTATTTGCAAAAATTTTAATAGAATTCTTGACATGAATTCAATGATTTTCATAATTTATAAAATTATTCTCAGGAATTCCATTATTTTAAAAAACAATAAAATTTTATTATTCTTAGAAATTCAATTATTTTCATAAATAATAAAATTCTTCTATGGAATTCAATTATTTTCAATGAAACTTTAATAAAATTTGTCGAAAAAATTCAATTATTTTCGAATCTTTTGATACAATTCTTCATAAGAATTGAATTATTTTCAATGCAAATTTGATTTAAATCCTCGAAAGAATTAAATTATTTTCAACAATTGACGTGAATTCAATGACTTTCATAATTTATAAAATTATTCGTAGGGATTTATTTATTTTCAAACAATTTAATAAAATTATTTACAGTAATTCAATTATATTTTCATAAATAATAAAATTTCTCTAAAAAATTTAATTATTTTTAAAAATGCTGATAAAATTCTTTATAAGTTTTTTGTTATTTTCTATTCAATTTTAATTAAAATTCTCAAAAAGAATTTTATTTTTTCAAAAGTTTTAATAAAGATCATGTCAAAATAAAAATTTATAAAATTCTTCTCGGGAATTCAATTATTATTTGAAAATTTTAATGCAGTTCTTCGCAGAAATTCAATTATTATTTTTACAAATTTTATTAAAATTCTATACATAAAAATTGAATTATTTGCAATAAAATTTTAATTAAATTCGTCGAAAGAAATTTGTAAGAATTCAATTATTCAAGTATAAATAATAAAATTCTTCGGTGGAATTCAATTATTTTCGAAATAATAAAATACTTTAGATAAATTCAATTATTTTCAATACAATTTTAATAAAATTTGTCGAAAGAATCCAATTATTTTCTAATCTTTTGATCAAATTCTTTATAAGAATTGAATTATTATTTTCAATACAATTTTCCTATAAAGATTCTACGCAAGAATTAAATTATTCCAGATTCAAAATTAAATTATGATTTTTAATTGAAAACAGTTTTGTTGAATTAATTTTTTTGTTTTTATTATTTTTTTTTTTTTTTTCCTTCGAAGACTTTTATTATTATGAAAATAATTAAGTTCTTGCGAAGAATTTTATTAAAATTTATAAAAATCCTAATTAAATTCTATCGAAGAATAGGCATTATTAAAGATTTTGACGATAATTGAATTCTTCCAAAAAATGAATTAAACAAAAACTTTTTAAAGTAATCGTGTTTGTTAATAATTATAATTAAATATTTGATTACCTATTGAAGTTTATGAAAACTTTATTGAAAATAATTGAATTCCTACGTAAAATTTTATTATTTATAAAGAATAATTTAATTCTTAAGAAGAATTTTACAACATATAAAAAAAATTGAATTATTTCGAAGGATGTTTCTACCAATCTGGAAAATCAGAAAATAGCCGGGAATTTAATTTGACCGGCAAATTAATAATTAGTTGCCATTAGCTATTTCGGTAGTATAATATTATTATTTGAATAGTCTCCACCCTTCAGCAAAAAATAAAAAATTATCAAAAATTCGAAAAACCGAATTTCTTAAAATTTAACATTTTTTTCTTCTCTTTTATATCATTAAGCTTTATTATTTTTTGTGCTCTTCAAAAATACTTTACTTATTTAATAGTCTCCAACCTTTGGTAAAAAATCTAAAATTATGGAAAATTAGCAAAAGTTCAAAAAACCGAATTTCTTAAAATTTAATATTTTTCCTTCTTTTTTATGGCATTTAGCTTTATTATTTTTGTGCTCTTTAAAAATACTTTACTTATTTAATAGTCTCCACTCTTTGGTAAAAAATCTAAAATTATGGAAAATTAGCAAAAATTCAAAAAAACGAATTTCTTAAAATGCAACATTTTTTCTTCTCTTTTATGGCATTAAGCCTCATTATTTTTGTGCTCTTTAAAAATACTTTACTTATTTAATAGTCTCCACCATTTGGTCAAAAATCTAAAATTATGGAAAATTCAAAAAACCGAATTTCTTAAAATTCAACATTTTTCCTTCTTTTTTATGTCATTTAGCCTCATTATTTTTGTCTAATGTAGCAAATTTCTTACTTTACATACTGATCTTTAAATAAAAAACTTTAATAACTTTTCCTGCAAAGCTTGCTTAAAGATTAAAAATCACTATTTTTTTAGAAAAAATTTGATCTAAAAAAACGAAAAAAAATTTAAAAATACTTTTTTTTTAAAAGTTTTATTGTAGAAATGGGTTGCATTTATCTAAAAAAGTTAGCTAAGGATAGTTTTGCATTCATTTTACAAAAAATAAAAAATGATTATTAATATAGATTTATTATTTATTAAAAATTAGATGAAAATATTAAAAAAGTTGATTGAAATATTTATTAAAAGATTAATTTAAATATTTTAAAGAATTCTCTCTCTTTTTGTTGCAGATAACCTCAGGCCAGTCGGTGGTTGTTTTACCTCCACAGAGTACAGCAGTGGATTATTCGCTGCGCGATGAATCATCGCCACCGCGTTCACGTCCACGGCCACCTCCCGTTGGAATTGATCTCAGCGAGTGGTGCAATCATCGTGTATTAGCTTTAAGAGATTCTCGATATTTTCCTGGTGTTATACGTAGCGCGAGTCATGGCGAGGTACGAATTGAATTTGATGGCGAGGGAAAAATAGTGCATTACAGTGATGTGTTTGGCGTTGGGAAGTACGATGTGATAAGCGATGCAAGCCCATCGGTGGGTCAAGTGAAAATAGATACAAAAGTGTGCGTCAGGTGTCCAACTACAAATAGTCACATTGACGCAATGACTAATATGTTCGTTAAAGGGACTGTGTGCAAAATATTAACAAGGCCAAAGGGTTTTGTTGTTAAGATACCGAGGGATGACGATCAAAGTGACAGTTTTATTGTGAAACGTGCTGATTTAAGATTGGTGCAACCACCATGGTGGGATGAACTCGAAGAGGGAATGGAAGACTGCGAATCTTCGACTGGTACTCTTTTACTCTACTTTTCTTTTTTACTTTCTTTTACTCCTTTTCCTTTTTTCCTTAATTCTCTAATTCTTTCATTTTTAATTTTTTGATTGAACTATCGAAAAAATCTATTCCGATTCTTAAACATAAAAGGAAAATTAAACTACCGAAAGAAATCGGAACGATTCCGGTTCCGAAAGAATCGTTTCCGAATCTTTCGAAACCGAAATCGTTCCGATTTCTTTCGGTAGTTTTAATTCTCTATTTGCAATTTTTTTACTTTCCTGAACTTTTATTATTTGTTTCGTTTCGATTCCTTCATTTAAATTCTTTTTTTCCATTTTCCTTGTTTTTCTTCCTCCTTCTCAAATTCGCTGGATCAGATTTTTTTTCAGTACTTAATATTTCACTTAGTCACTTTTTTTAGAAATATTTTATTTTACATTTTTTTTTTACTCTAATTACACTTTTGTCGTATTTTCATTACGAATTTAAAAGGGTGGGAATTTCTGGCAATTATAGATTGAGAAAAGAATTTTTTTCATTTGTTCGTTGGGAATTTCTTGCAATTGTAGATTGAGGAGAGAAAATGAATCGATTTGTTTATTTTGTAGATTATCGGAATTCCTTGGACGCTTCAGGGACGATTTTACAACTGCATTCGCACCAGCAAACATCTCATGTCTCGACTCATGGCGACTCGAGTAGTTATTACAGAACTACTGCTACAAGTCCACTCATGCCATTGACGAGTACACCGGTTCATTCGGCAACTACAGCACTCAGTAATGGGACTAGACCGTATGACGATATTGAGAGTGAAGACGATTTAGATCGGGAAGATATTGCATTTCCAGATGCAGGTGAGACGAATTTTTATTTTTTTCTTTAACCCCTTTCACTGATTTCTAAATTCAATTATTCAAAAGTTCAATAAACTTATTAAATAAATATATTACTTTTGTGCATACTTTTCCATAAGAGTTAAAATATAAAAAAAATTAAATTTCAAAGCTTCTGAAATTTCATTACATTTAAAATTTGCAACTCCAATTTTTACAAAATCCAATTATTTTTCAGAATTTCAAACCAAAATTCTTTTATATTCAAATCTATTATTTTTAATATGTTTGAGAAAGTTCCCTGAGAATTCAATTATTCAAAATTTTCCAAAGAAGTAATTTTTAACTGATTTTTAACTAAAAAAAATTCAAAATTCAAATCTTAAAAAATTTCAACTTGAAAGCTTTTGAAATTTAATTATTTCTAAAAATTTCTACTAATAATTCTTGCAAAATTCAATTATTTTGCAGGATTTTCAACTAAAATTCTTTTCTAAATAAATTATTATCAATTGTTTTAAAGTTCTTTGAGAATTTAATTTTAAAAAAGTCTTAAAATTAAAATTGAATTCTTTTCAATTCATTTTTACAAAATTTCGATCAGATGAAAAAAATTTTCCATTTATTGTATATTCCGAAAATTCAACTAATTTGAAAAAAATCAATTGCAACTTTTTGAAAAATTGAATTGTTTTTAGAAATTTATAGTAAAGAACTAAAATTCAATTGTCAGATATTACAATTTAAAATTTTCTCAAATTCAATTATGTACGACATATTTTGAAATTTAATTATTTTTAACTAAAATTCTCTTAAAAATCAACTATTTTTTAAATAATTTTCAAAAAGTTCCTTAAGAATTCAATTATTTAAGAAAAAACACAATTATTTTACAGAATTTTCAACTAAAATTCAAAAGATTAATAAATTTTCAAAATAAATATTTAAATGTTACTGAATTTCTAGAATTAAATAATTAAAATATAATATAATATAATAATTGAATATAAGAATTTAAATATTTTCTGGAATTTTTAACTAAAATTATCGAAAAGTTTAATAATTTTGTAAATTAAATATATAATATCAAAATTCTTAAAATTAGTTTTTTAAAATATTTAAAAATAATTTTTGAAGAATAATAGTTTTTCATTTATATACAATTGAAAAATTTCCAAATAATTGAAATTTGCTTTAATTTTGGAATAATATAAATAAAAGTAATCAAATTGTTGAAGTATTGTAATTTCAAATATGAACATGATTTCTCGGAAATTTTAATATCTTTAAAAAAGTAAATTTAAAAAAATGTTAATTCAATTTGTTTCTAGATAATTGAATCATAAAAAATTATGATAAACAGTGCAAAGACATACTTTTTTCAAAAATATTTTAATATAATTTTTGGAAGCTCTTATATTCACTAATTTTCATTTTTAAATGTACACTTGAAGATTTTTCATTAAAATTTTTGAAAATTTAATTATTTTCAAAATTTGCAATTAAAATTTTTTGTAAAAGTTGATTGGCAAAAATTGTAATAAAATACTTTTAAAAAATTAATTACTTTCAATTAAATTTTACAAAATTTAAATTATTCAAAATTTTTTTAATTGTATATTTAGAAAATTTAATTAGAAAAATTATTCAAAGATTATTCAAAGATAATTTTTGAATGATTTTTCTACAGTTATTTTTTACACTATAAAAATCGAAATAAGTTTCATTTTATGCTAAGAATTTGGTACCTATTTTATTGCAATATTTGGAAGAAAAGTCGCAAATTTGGAAAATATGTCGAAAAAAGTCGAATTTTTTGAAAATAGTGGAAAAAAATAAAAATAGTAATATTATCCAAGACCTGCAGATGTTTTCGATTTTCATACATTTAAATCATCTTTAATATGTAGAAAAATAAAATCTAAAAAATTGTATAAAGAAGTAAAAAAAAGCTTTTTGATCACAAAAGAAATTTTATATTTTACGGATAGTAAATAAAATATTGCAAATATCCAACGAATAAATAAAGAATAAATTCTAAAAGCAGAAAAATATAAAGAAGTTATTTTTTGATTTTTTATTTACATTGATAAAATTATTTACAGATGCAAAATTGTCAGGAAGCAGTAAAAGGAGTAGCATGCAAAGTCGAGGTAGTACGAGTAGTCTTGTTGAGCAACGAAGCATAACTCCTCGTTCTCAAGCTGCTACACCCAGGTAACTCATTACAATTTATAAAAGCATTATAGTATCAAATTTATTTTAATTTATGACAATGAAATTTGTTTTTAATGATCACGAGTAGTCAGTATTATTTTTTTTTTCCACGATAAAAATTTGATTACATTACTTTCTTTCGTTTCGCTTAGCCAGAAGATAAAAGAAGAAAATACAAACTATAGATCAAAATTGTAGTTTTTAAAATGAATTTTACATTTTTTTACAATTTTTTTGAGAGAGAAGAATGTTTATTTAACTATTTTCGTTACAGATCTCAGGCGGCAACGCCACATAAATATAAAAAGGGTGATATAGTAGTTACTCCAAGTGGAATTAAGAAAAAATACAATGGCAAGCAGTGGAGAAGGCTCTGTTCAAAAGAAGGATGTTCCAAGGAGAGCCAACGACGAGGTTACTGCTCTCGTCATCTTAGTCTAAAGGGGTCCGGACTTAGAGGACCAATAAATACCTTTTCTGGGTAAGAATTTAAAAAGCCTAATTTCTGACTAATATTATTAAAACACTATTTTTTGGAATTAATTTAGTCGAATCGTTAATTCAATTCATTCTTTCAGTCTAATATTATTAAAAATTTTAAATGCAATTGTCTAATCGAAATTGAATCCTTAGGGGAAGAGTTGACGGAGAAGAGACGTCTAGAGATTCGGAAACGTCGCCAAATTACGGAGATAGAAGAATAGCTGGCAGATTTGATCAAGACGAAACTGAAGCCGCCAATATGCTTGGTAAGATTCTTTGGAACCTTTTTTTATTCCTTTCTTTTATTATTATTGTTTTTCATTAGTATTTTTTTATTAATATCATTATTGTATTTTTTTTCTTTATTGATATTATTGTATTTGTTTCTCAATGAATATCAAATTATTGTATTTTTTTTTCTTAATTTGTTGCAGTATCTTTGGGAAGTTCGAGATCGGCGACTCCGGCTTTCTCATCGCCAACTGGTCAGTCGTCGATATCGCCGTGCATAAATCAGTCCCCGGTACCAGCGCTGGGACTGAATCAGAACAACGTATTTATGCCAATTTCAAGTCCGGCACATCACGTCACCCCCTTAATATCCCCCAGTGCAAAATGGAAACATTCGCCAACACAGTCAAATTTTTTGGTGCAATACCAGCAACAGGTGATAAAGCCGGAACCAAATCGAATGGTGAGACCAAATCGACCGGCACCGACTGCTCCCGTCCCAGCTAGTATAGGAACCAGTGTTATAAGAATCTCCCCAGTTGGACGTGGAATGCCCAATCAGAATTTATCACTCTCTTGGTCGGAGCAGAGTCCACCTCCTAGACATCCGTCGGTTGTTACTTCAATTGCTCAACATCAGCAGCAGCAACATCAACAGCAGCAGCAACAACATCAGCAGCAACAACAGCATCAACAACAACAGCAGCATCAACAACAGCATCAACAACAACAACAACAGCAGCAGCAGCAGCATCAACAACAGCAGCATCAGCAACAACAGCATCAACAACAACTGCAGCAACACCAACAACAACAAGGCATAATACTTCAGCAAGCTCTCACTTCCAATAATGGTTTTCCCACACATTCCGACATCTCCGAACAGAATCAATTATTAAAACAGCCTCATTCTCCTCACGTTCCATTGACGGCTCCTCCTCCACAAACATTAACTCATATTCATAAAACTCAAGAACAACCTGTGGATTATGCTCAACCTCAACAACAACAGCCACAACCACTCTACGTAATGCAGCAAAATGAAAAAAAGTATCTTGTTATAAAAAATAGTATGGATGTTGCTTCACCAGTACATGTTGTCAATCATGATGAAAAGTACCGGCATTCTTTAATTAATCCAATTGGCTCTCTTCCATCGTTACATCAAATCCAGTGTCAACCACCACAATCGCCAGCGGCACCATCATCCGTTCATGAGAAATTGTCAGTTGTACAACAGGTAAAGATTTTTCTTTTTTATTTTTATCTCTTTTACACTCTCGAATATATTGGATTATTGCCAAATTCGACTATTTTCAGTTTCGATCATTTTCATACATGTTTCTGGATTAATATATATATATATATATATATATATATATATATATATATATATATATATATATATATATATATATATATATATATATATATATATCTCTTTTTCTAAAAATATCTCATTCACTTGAAAGTAAAATACTGGTTCATTATTAGTCGCAAAATTTGCAAAAATTCGGGAAATTTCCTTTCTTTTTATTTTGTAATTTTATTTTTTATGAATAGATTTTAATGAAGTTTAAAGTTAATTGTTTACTATTTTCTTTTATAATTTTTTCTTTTTACACGTTTTGAGTTTAATAATTAATAAATTTCTAATTTAATGTTGAATTTTTGTTAAATTGAATTTTTGCAAAATTTTTATCAAAAAATTTTTAAATAATTGAATTTTTTCCAAGAATTTTATTATCTATGAATAAAAAAATTTGAAGATAATTGAATTCCTTTCAAGAAATTTATTATTTATGAAAATGATTGAATTCCTTCGAAGAGTTTTATTATTTTTGAAAAATATTGAATTTTTGCAAAGAATTTTATCAAGAAATTTGAAAATAATTGAATTCCTTCCAAGAATTTTATTATCTATGAAAGTAATTGAATTTTTGCAAAATTTTTATCAAAAAATTTGAAAATAATTGAATTTCTTTCAAGAAATTTATTATTTATAAAAATAATTGAATTTTTGCAAAGAATTTTATCAAAAAATTTTTAAATAATTGAATTCCTTCGAACAATTTTATTATTTATGAAAATAATTTATTTCTTATAATGAATTTTATCAAAATTTTTAAAAAAGATTGATTTTTAGCAAAAGGTTTTAATATTTATGAAAATAATTTAATTCTTGGGTAGAATTTGATTATTTTTTAAATTAATTAAATTTTTTCGAGGAATTTCATTAGAATTTTTTAAATGAATTGAATTGTTTCGAAGAATATCATTAAAATTTTTGAAAATAGTAATAGTTATTAAATAATTAAACTTTTGTGAGGAATTTTATCAAAATTTTTGAAAATAGTTGAATTTGTTTAAAGAATTTTATCAAAATATTCGAAAATAATTGGATTTTTTCGACAAATTTTATTAAAATTCTATTGAAAATAATTGAATTCCTAGGAATAATTTTATTATTTTTGAAAATTTCATTAAAATGTTTTAAAAAAGTGGATTCTTTAGAGGATTTTAATTAAAATAGGAAAAAAATTAAATTCTTTTAAGTAATTGTTAAATTGTAAAAATTAATTAATTTTAATTATTTAAGAAAATAGAATTGAATTCCTGTGAATAATTTTATTAAATTTTTTGAAAATAATGGAATTTTTTCGAAAATTTTAATTAAAATTGTATAGAAAATAATTCAATTTGTATAAAGAATTTTAACAAAACATTCCAAAATAATTGATTTGTTTAAAAGGAATTTGTTAACATTTTAAAAAATAATTGAATTACTGTGAATAATTTTATTATTTAAGAAAATACCAATTGAATTCTTGCCAATAAGTTTATTAAAATTAATAGAAAATAATTGAATTCTTTTGAAGAATTTTATTAAAGTTTGTAAAATTAAATGGATTCTTTAGGAAAACTATATTAAAAATAATAATTGAATTCTTATAAAGTATTTTATCAAAAATTATTTTAAAAATAATTCAATTATTTTAAAAAATTTAATTAAAATTGTTAAAAATAATTCAATTCTTTGGAGGAACTTTATTCAAATTGTATTATAAATACGTGAATTCTTTTAAAATTCAAATTGTTATAAAAATTTTGGAAAACAATTGAATTCTTTCGTTAAATTTTATTAAAATTGTACTGAAAATAATAGAATTCCTGCGAAGAGTTTTAATATGTATGAAAATAATTGAATTCTTTGAATAAAAATAATTGGATTCTTGAGAAAAATATTATTTAAATTTTCTAAAATAGTTGAATTGTTTCAAAAAAATTTCCGAAAATTTTGAAAATAATAATTATTTAATTTATTACTTAATAATTGAATGCAAAAAAAATTTTAAACTGAAATTATTCAAAAATTAAAGTTGATATTTGAGAAGAAAAAATTGAGTAATAATAAATTGAATACTGCGTTTAACTTTTGCTAATTAATAATAATTCGTAATTACTAATTAATTATCTTCTTTTTAGACGAATAAAGTTATTCCTCACATACCTGTGCATACGGACATTCAAAGGATCCAACCACCACCAGCGAGTGTTGTTATAGGAACAACAACGACGCCTGTAACAAATATTTCCACCCCAACGAGTGTCTATCAACAAGTAATTGTACAACCAACGCCTCATTTAATTCAAGTACCGAAAAGTGTATGTCAACTTCCACGTGAGGAAAGCGCAAAAAATAACGGAGTCTTATGTAAGTTTTTTTCGATTTCATTTTAATAGTGCAATTTTGTCTCAAAAGTTTGATCGTTGTTTACGAAATTTTTCCCACTTTCATTCAACTTTCAATATTAGTGTAGAATATTTGCAAGTTTCACATTTTTTTCATTAAATTTTTACTAGAAGAAAAACTTGTACTTTATTAATAATTGTAATGCCAGCATGTAGTTTGTTTATATTATCATTTTTTTAGAGTATTTTGAATGAAATTTAATTTTTTAGTCTGCTCGATATTTTTTATTTTGTATCTTAGTCTAAAATTTATGTCTAAAAATAGAAGACAAGTCCCCGTAATTATTGACAATTGTCGGATAAACAACGTAATAATTAATTTACAATTATTGTTTGTAATAACGTAATAATAACAGTGCACCTAGAATAGATATTTATTTCACAAAGTAACGATTAACATTCACACACTCATACAATGCAGTGATTAACAGCTTTAAATTTTTTTTTTCTTTTTAACCATTTTTTTTCTCACCGCAAAAATAAGTGCATAATATTCAAGTGGATAATGGAAACAAGAATTATTTTTTGTCATTGTGAAAAATCACGTAAAAATTCCTCGTGTCGTGCACAGTAATATTAACAATCTACAATAATGCTAAGAGTAAACCTTAATAAAATATTAAAAATATTTTTCAAAAAAAAAAAATAATAATAATACTTATTAATGTTACATATTAATTTTAATAAAATATTAAATAATACTTATAAAAATAATAATAATGATATGAAAAAGAAGAAGAATAATAAGAATAATAAGAATAGTAATAATTAAATATAGAAAAATGAATAAATAAAAAAGAAGGGATTTTAATTTGAAATAAACAAAAAAAAAACCCGCATATTTTTTGCGAGTTTAACTAAATGGTAAGGGTTTCACAGATGGCAGCCATGATGTTACTTCAGCATACCAGACCCATCCCCCAACATTTCTCAACAGTGCAGGACGTAACTGGAAAAAAGGTTTGGAATTCCAAATGAAAAGAAAACATACGACCATGAAAGCATGTTGTAAAAAAGTACAATGGTATCGAGTGTAGTTTTAGAAAATTTTTCTTTTTTGTTTTTTCCAGTACGTATACATCTCTATTCTTATTGACCAAAAAAAAAGACTTTGAAGTAAATACTTTTGCATGAGTTTGTTTTCTCACTTTCTATTTTTTTGAAATCTTATCAAAACAAAGCAAGTACCATTGTTAATGTTACAACAACAAAAAAAGTATTTTATACATCTGATTCTTCGTGTATGCTCTTAATCTAATCCTCATCTCATTCCCCCTTTTTCTAGCAAGGCAATGTATAATATCGCTTTGACTGCTGAAAATTATATGTTTCTATTTACTAACCACTAATTCAAATTATCACTCTCTACAACTTGCAATTTCCGTTTCATTAAAATTTTATTCTCATTAAAGAAAATGGATTTTTTTCGTAATTATTTTATTAGGAGAAAATTAGAAATTTATTAGAAGGAAAGTCAAGATGTATTTGTAAATAATTAACGAATAATAAATAAATTATACGAAATGATAATAAATAATATTATTGCTATGAGAAATCAATAAACAGTAAATAAATAAAATTGATTAATGAATTTGTTTCTCCGGCTAGAGAATAAATTAAATGGAAGATAAAACTGAAGAGAGTGATAAATTGGAGACAAAACTCTTCGCACATTAACTCATTATATTCTTAAGGGTTGTAGCAGCGTTGTTGCAGTGTCGTCGATTATAATCGCGAGTTGATTTTTTTGATAGGCTGCTATTTCCCTGTAAAAAATACTAACAACATTCATTGCAACTAACTCCAAAACTTCATTGCAGCTTTTTCCTGGCAGACAGTATTGGATCAACCAGAAGTGAGTCCACCACCATCGACATTGAGTCCACCTCTGAGCGCACCGCCAATTCCAATGACCCTTGGCAATCCTCCTGAAGATGGTCCTGGACCAGAACCAATAACCCCTGCCGAGGAAGAGGACGACGATGTCTTTGAGCCAACGCCTACAACACCATCGGAAATTGAGGCCAATGCCAATAAACGACGTAGTCAATCTCTCAGTTCTTTGCACAATAAAGAACCACAAAGTCCACTTAAGGTAGATTTCAGGTTTTTTTAATTTTATTTTTTTAGTAAGCTTGTTGCAAATAGTTTCAAAATTATTATATTATAATATAATAGCTGTCATTTTTTCTATTTCTGACAATAATTTATTTTAAATAACTTAATTTAATTGAAGAACTGCGATAAAGTTAAAATTACTTATAAATCATTTAATAAAGTATTTTTTTTTGAAAATTTTAATTTTTAACTATCATAATGAATATTAAAATTATTTCCAAAACTTCAATTATTTTCGAAAATTAATAAAATTCTTCGCAGAAATTCAATTATTTTGAAAAAATCTAAAAAAAAATTGTCAACATTTCAATTATTTTTATAAATAAATGAATAGCAAAATTCTTCGAAAAAATTCAATTATTTTGAAAAAATCTTATTATCTTTATAAATTAATAGCAAAATTCTTCGCCGAAATTCAATTGTATTCAGGAAGTTTTATAAAATTCAATTACTTTCATAAATAACAATATTCATCACAAGAATTCAATTATTTTCAAAATTAATAAAATTCCTCGCAGAAATTTAATTATTTTGAAAAAATCTAAAAAAAAATTGTCAGCATTTCAATTATTTTTATAAATGAATAGCAAAATTCTTCGCCAAAATTCAATTAAGGTTTTATTGTTAATGAAAATAATTGAATTTATATAATGAATTTTATTGAAATTTATGAAAATTTTCTAGCTAGAGGATGTATTACATATTTATAAAAGTAACTGAATTCTTAGATAGAATTTGCTTATTTTTTAAATGAATTAAATTTTTGCGAAGAATTTCATTAGAATTTTTTAAATGAATTGAATTGTTTCGTAAAATATCATTAAAATGTTTGAAAATAGTTGAATTTGTATAAAGAATTTTATCTAAATTTTTTAAATAATTGAATTGTTTCGAAAAATTTCATTAAAATTTGTAAAGTTAAATTTATTCTTTGGAGAAATTTTATGAAAATTGTATTAAAAATAATAATTGAATTCTTATAAAGAAATTTATCAAAATTTTTGAAAATAGTTCAATTCGTATAATGAATTTTATCAAAATTTTTCTTAAACAATTGAATTATTTCGAAGAATTTCATTAAAACTGAAAAATTAAATAAATCCTTTGGCGAAATTTTATGAAATTGTATAAAAAATAATTATTGAATTTTTATGAAGAATATTATCAAAAATTTGAATGAATGAATAGCAAAATTCAATTATATTCAGGAATTTTAATACAAGTCATTGCAAAATTCAATTATTTTCATAAATACCAGTATTCATCACAAGAATTCAATTATTTTCAAAAGTAAGAAAATTCAATTATTTTTAAAAATTTTAATAAAATTTATGGAAAAATTTCAATTATTCTCAAAAATTTTTCTTAATTCAACGATTTTCAATGTTCTACTATTTTAATAAAATTTCCCAAAAGAATTCAATTATTAAACAAAAATTTTGATAATATTCTACACCAAGATTTATACAATTTTAATCGAACTCCTCGAAAAATGTAATTATTCTGAAAAATTTTATTAAAATTCGTCGAAAGAATTTAATTATTTAAAAATTTGTTAATAAAATTGTGTATGAAACATTCAATTATTCAATAATTTATTAATTTTTGTAAAATTGTCAAAATTATCAATCCTCCAATTTATTAATTTTTGTACTTAAATCATTGAATTCTTTTTGAATTTTTTAATAAAAATTGATTTAAAAATGAATTTGAGTTAAAGTTTTAGATAATAATTGAATTTTGGAGAAGTTACTAATAATTGCAATTTTTAGAAATAATTGAATTTTGTAAAATTTTGAAATTAAAATCTTTGAAAATTTGAATTTTTCATACTCTTAATTAAAAATTCGATAAGACTAATTTTTTTCAAAAAGCTTAATCGAATTTTTTTAAAATTATTAAAATTTTTTATTTTCTAATTTATATTTAATTGAAGAATTTCCTAATAATTGAAATTTCGTAAAATTGAATTGAAAAACAAATAAATTTGAAAATTCGCAAAAGAAACTTTATCAAAAATTATTAAAAATAATTGATATTTCAAGAAGACTTTTAGTTAAAAACTTTAGAAAATAATAATTGAATTGAAATGATGAAAATAATTTTAAAGAAGTTACAGTAACAATATTCTTATATTATAATATAAAATAATGATTTTATCACTTGGTCGTGTTTAATTATTATAAAACATGAAGAAAGCGATTATTCTGAGTCGAAGACTCGGAGTGATCGATTTCTTCTTGTTTTATAATAATATTCTTATAATTAGGGAAATTTGTAAATAAATGAAATAGAACATTTTTTTGAGTATTTAATCATTTTTAGAGTGAATCAGAATATTCTTTAAGGTCAGAGAAAAAGTTAAAATTTAGTCTGGAAATCGTGGAAAAACAATTAAATTTTTGTGGCAAATGTTTTTTTTTTAAATAAAATTGTATTTTTATAAACAAGTGATTGAAATTTATTAAAAAGTTATAAAAATCAGAAAAAGAATCAAAATTTTGTCTGGAAGTCAGGGAGAAATAATTAAGGTAGAACAAAATCAAATTTTTGTTTCAACTACGTTGAATTAAGATTTTACTCTTCAGATTGAAGAGTCGATATTTTGATCATTATATTTAGAAATTTTGAGGAAATGATCATTTGATGTTATGAATAAATTGTATTCACTCAAGTTTAGTACACTAATCAACATAAATAAATTTTTAATATAACAAGAGAATATTTGAAATACCTAATGATAGAATTTAAAATTACAGACAAAAGATCGTATTCGAAGGCCAATGAATGCATTTATGATATTCTCGAAACGTCATCGTGCAGTTGTACATCAAAGGCATCCGAATCAGGATAATCGTACGGTATCGAAGATCCTCGGTGAATGGTGGTACGCATTGGGTCCCGATGAAAAGCAAAAATATCACAATCTCGCATCGGAAGTTAAGGAGGCGCACTTTAAAGCACATCCCGAATGGAAATGGTGCAGTAAAGATAGACGAAAATCATCGACAACAAGTTTCAAGGGTGGCGATCAAAGGGGAAAATTAAATAGTACCGGTGAAGAAACAGACGCTGGTCCACCGTCTGACGATGTTCCATTAACACCAAGAGCCAATGAAGATGTCACAATGCCTGTTAATTCTCTTTACAACGAAAATCCAACAGTTGAAATTCAACAGACGTACAGTTCTCATCGAATACCAGAGACGACAACACATATTGAAACAACGGAATTAGAAACGAAGCAGGAGGACGAGGGTAATGCCTCAGATGATGATCAAATGGTGATTTGCGAAGATCCACAACCTGAAATTGATCTAAAATGTAAAGATAAATTAATTGACAGTGACAATGAGGGACAGGATGATGATCCTGATAAGAAAATGCAAATTTATTCAACGGGACAAAAATCTGATGGTGTTAAAACTGACATCACTTGTAGGCCAAAACCAATTAAAGGTGAGTTTTATTTTAACGGAGAATTTTTTTTTAGAAATTTAAGTTGAAGAGTTGATCAAAATTACAGGCTTTGCAATTACTTTGTTTTATTTATTAATTATCAATCTTTTGTTTTATTTATATTTAAAGATTTTCATACTAAGTTTACCCTCGATTAAAATTTTTAACTATTAATGTTTGAAGTTTTTAAAATTTTTTTCTCAGCTTAAAATATTAATAACAACCATTCAATTATTTTCTTTTGAAAATTCTTCGAAAAAATTCAATTTTTTTTTTTAAAGTTTAATACAATTCTTACCATGAATTCAATTATTTTCAAAAAGTTTAATAAAATTCTTCCCAAGAAATCAATTATTTTTCTAAATAATAATATTTTTTGCGGGAGTTTTCAATTATTTTCAATATAATTTTAGTAAAGTTTCTCTCGAAAGAATTTAATTTAAACAAAATTTTTTTCATAAATAATATTTTCTGCTGGAAATTCAATTATTTTAGATACAATTTTAATAAAATTTTAGCGAAAGAATTCAATTGTTTCTAAAAATGTTAAATAAAATTCTTTAGAAGAATTCAATTACATACTTTAAATATAATTTTATTAAAATTTTGTGGATTCAATTCAATTGTTTTCGAAAATGTAAATAACATTCTTTATAAAGTTACAATTACAAATTAAAATATAATTTAAATTTAAAACTATGTTGTTTATTTAATTTTTGTTATTATTCGTTCTTTAAAACATAAACATTTTTTACTTTTAAAAATTATTTAGAAATATAATCTTATTTTTGAAGAATTCTAACTAAAAAATTGAAAAATAATTGAATTGCACAAAAATTTAGAATTGAAGTTGAATAAAATTTTTAATAATATCTCCTACAGTATTTTAATAAATTATTAATTTCCTAGAAATTTATTAAAATTTTGAATAATTTTATATAAAAAAAATCGAAAAAAACAATTGAATTTTGGAAGATTTGCAGTTGTAATTTTTAGAAATAATTATATTTCAGAAGGTTTTACATTGAAATTGTTAAAAATTTTAATTCCTGTTGAAATATAGATAAATGACAATAAGTATTGAAATATTTATTTTACCAGTTTTTTTGAATTTTTGAATAATTTAAGTAATTTTGAAGAAATTAGGTTTTTGAAAAATTGTAATTAAAATTTTTTGAAGATAATTTAGTTCCCAAAAATAATTTTAAAAAATTGATACAATTGAAAATTGTTTGAAATTTACCAAATTTCACTGAAATAAATTTTGTAGTTGAAAATTTTTTTTTTTTTTTACTTTTAAAAATTATTTTGAAATATAATCGTATTTTCGAAGAATTCTAACTGAAAATTCAGAAAATAATTCAATTTTACATGAATTTAGAATTGAAGTCATCACTAGGATAAAGAAGGAAGTTGATATTCTATTCTAGACATCAAGGAAATACATAATCAAATTTTTGTGATAATCCTGAATAAAATAAATGAATTTTTTTCCAACATCGACTAAAGCGAGTTTCTTTTAATCGTAAAATTTAATTTTTCGATAAGTCCATTTTTTGAAACTTTTTCTCTGTCTTGCGAAATTAATGAAGAACAGTATTTCAATTTCAATCAAATTTGTTATTTTTCACTTTTGCTCTACTTTTTTCCAAAAATTAATTATCGAGTGCGAAGCCAGAAATTGAAAGAGTTATCTTTAAAAGGAATTTTTGATAAAATTTGATAAAGTTCAATGGTTCAAGAAAGAAGTTTAAGAAAATAAATGATTATAATTACAGCACGTCTACCGTCAACGAGTATAGAAACAACGGCTAAATACCATCATGCTTCTTTGGACAAAGGTGGTACGGTCTCCGTTTTATCGACCACGTATCCTTATCACAGTCCCGTCAATCCCACAGGAGTGTCAGGCTTTCAGCCAACTGGAGGTGCTTTCATCACCATGCCCGTATCGCCCAAAGTCATCAAGCCGGAAGCCGTGAAAAGCGAACAACAATACAGCACACAATACACTGTCAACAATCTTGTTGCCAATGTCCACCCTGAAAATGGAAGAAACAAATTCACTGCTGCACCAGTATTACATTCTGTAAGTGTTTTTAATATTCTTAACAACTTTTGACTATTTATTTTTTGACTATTATTTTTTATTCCATTATTTTCCTTTGATTTGATTACTTTTCGTTTTTAAGTTTTCAAATATCCTCTTTTTGGTCATTTATTTTTGAAAAAAAAACTAAATTGAAACTGAGCACAGTACATTTTATTGTAAAAATAGAAATTTTTTAAAAAATAAACAAAAAAAAATTCGCTCAGTAACGAACAAATGATTACCGATACTAACAGATTGGATCGAAACCCATGATGGCTCTGTTAAAACAACAGCAGCCATTACAACCTTTAGGCACTGTTCATCGACCTCCGATTACAACAACAACTTATCCGTCGTCACTCACTTTGACATTGGTTGATCATGATCTTGTTGCTGTATCGAAACCCCAACAGACTGCACAATATATTGGGCCGGCTGGACCTCATTCGCGAATGTACTGCGGATTTCAAATACCAATTTCAGGTAAATACACTTCTTGCAAATTTATTATTCAATTAGAAGTTAGAACATTAAAATTATTTAATACAACAATTTAATAAAACAAAAATTATTTAATATTGAATAAATATACAGGGCTCGAACTAAATCCGTAAATTTGTTTAAAGCCCGTAAAAGTAAGTTTTTTAAAAAAAAAAAAGTCCGTAAAGTTCGTAGTTTCATTGAAAAAGCAAAAAATTTCGTAAGTTTAACGTAAATTTGGAGAATTTTTGAGAAGTTACAAATAATTGCAAAAATTCAATTTTATAGTATAAAATAAATATTTAATTAACGTTCGACTTGATTTAAAATTGTAGTAAAAAATATTGAAAATAATAAAATGTACAAATTCGGACAAAGTGAGGATTTTAATAATCTACACCAACTTTTTTCGAGAAGTAAATTAACAGATTTCTAATTTTTTAATTTCAGATGCCAGTGGACGTAACATATCTGTACAAAATTTAATTCCCGGCAAAGTAGAATCCCATGGTGTTATTGTTAGTAAATCGTATCCAGTGTCGACATCAAATCCCAGCACTCCAAGTTATCGGGGAATAGGTCATTCTATCGCTAGACTCGCAGAACCTGAAAAGAATGAAAATCACAATCAAACGTATGGTGAGTAATTTTGATTTTTTTTTACAAAAGATTTACAAAAGAAATATTTTCATAAAAAAATGCGTAATGAAGAAAAGAAAAACAATTTAAAAGAAATTTTTAATAATATACAAAAACAAATTTATTTTATTTATGTAAATTCAAAATATTAATAATAGAAAATTAATTGATTGGAGTAACTGAAAAATAATGAACAGAACTGAATAAATAATAAATAGTTTTTTATAGAATAGAATTTAGTAAATAACTTAACAGAGATAAAATTAAATTAAACAGATTTTATATGTTGATGAATAAAATTTGTTATTTTGTAGTAAGCAGTATTTTCTTATTTTTAGTGAATAATAAAATGTTATTTTGAGTAATAATAAAATTTTTTAGTTTAATATGTAATAAAATTTCTTTGTTTCAGTAAATAATATTAAAGAACAAGAAAGGAAGGATTCTGTGAATAATTTGATGATTATCGACAAACAAAAACCCCCGTCAACGCCTCATACACCCCATACACCTCACAGCAATTCCGGAAGTGGTGATCATTCGTCTAATAAATCATACACTGTTGAGGAAACAATGGGTTCTACTAATGATGTTGCTGCGAATAAAGGAACTTTTATGCTAGCGCCCACACCTGCACAACTTGGTCGAGCACCCTTACAAAGGAGACAATCAATGGGTAAATATTACTGCATACATTATTTTTTATCACCATTGAACCATTTCTATACTATTTTTTGCAAAAAAAGTAATTCTCTATACCTTTTTTTAATTAAATATCAAATTCAGTTTCTTAGTCACTTACTTACTACGTTAGTATTAAAAAAAATACGATTAAAATAGAATAGCTGACTTCGCACTCATCTACTAAAACCTACGATTTACTACTTTTTTTTACGATTTGCAACTATTTTGATCACTTTTTTTCGATTTGCGCCACTAAAAGATACTCTCCTGTTTTTTTGAAAATTTGCACTACTTTAAACCCGCTAATAGTTGAAATAAAAAAAATTAAAACTTATTTGTTTCAAAATTACCTATTTATTGTGCTTTATTAATATATATAAAGATTTTGTTACTAAATTTATCCTCGATTTTAAACTATTAAAGTTTGAAACATTTGACTTTTCTTTCTCACCTTAAAAAATTAACACCATAAAAAGTTACAGTTGCAATTTTCAGAGATAGTCAATAATTCTATCAATTATTTATTTTTGTATTTAAATAATTGAATTCTCATAGAACTTACTTATAAGAATTGGTTTGAAATTAAGAATTTTAGTTAAAATTTTAGAAAATAATTGAATTTTTCACAGAATTTGAATTATTTTCAAAAATTTTAATGAAATTATTCTCAATAATTCAATTATTGTCATAAATAATATTTTTTACAGGAATTCAATTATTTTCAAAAAATGCAAATAAAAATCTTCATAAGAATTCAATTATTTTTATAAAATAATAATATTTTTGAAGTAATTCAATTATTTCAAAAAATTTTTTTAAATTTTAAATCAATTTAATTATTTTTATAAATAAAAAAATTCTTCACAAGAATTCATTTTTTAAATCTAATTTTAATCAAATTTCTCAAAATAATTCAATTATTTTTAAAAATTTAATAAAATTTTCCCAAAGAATTCAATTATTTTTGTAAATAATACAATTCTTTGAATGAATTAAATTATTTTCTCTCCAATTTTAATTGGAACAGAAATTTACAGAAATTGTAATGTTTTCAAAAAATTTAACAAAATTCTTCAAAGCAATAAAGTTAAAAATTTTAATTTTAATAAAGTTCTTTGCAAAATTTCAATTATTTTCAAAAATTTTAATAAAATTATTCGCAAAAATTCAATTATTGTCATAAATAATATTTTTTGCAGGGAATTCAATTATTTTAAAAAAATGCAAATAAAAATCTTCATAAGAATTCAATTATTTTTGTAAAATAATAATATTTTTAAAGTAATTCAATTATTTCAAATTTTTTTTTTAAATTTTAAATCAATTCAATTATTTCTATAAATAAAAAAATTCTTCACATGAATTCATTTTGATGTTTTAAATCTAATTTTAATAAAATTTCTCAAAATAATTCAATTATTTTTAAAAATTTAATAAAATTTTTCCAAAGAATTCAATTATTTTTGTAAATAATACAATTCCTTGAAAGATTTCAATTATTGTTAAAATTGTTAATTGAATTTTCGAAGCAATTCAATTATTTTCTCTCCAATTTTAATTCAATTCTATGCAGAAATTGTAATGTTTTAAAAAAAGTTAACAAAATTCTTCAAAGCAAAAAAATTTAAAATTTAAATAAAGTTCTTTGCAGAATCAATTTTGAATATTGAATATTGTAAGGTTTATAAATAATTAAAGTTTCAAAGGTTTTACATGGAAATTATTTAGAATTTTAATGCTGTTGGAAAAGTACTGATAACAATAAGTATATTTAAATATTTGTTTAACAAAAATGATTGAAGTTTTTAATTAATTTATTTTAAAAACTCCCAAAAATAATGTTAATAAAAAATTGAAATAGTTGAAAATTTTATCAAATTTACATAAAATAATTTTTACATTTTAAAGAATTTTTTTGTTTTTACCTTTATATTTTGATTTTGATTTTTTTGTATTTTGAAATATAATCGTATTTTCAAAGAATTCTAATTGAAAATTTGGAAAATAATTGAATTTAAAAATAGTTAGACTTGAAGTTATTAGCGCAGGATAAGGAAAGAAGTTAATATTCTTTCTGGAAATCAGGGAAATACATAATGAAAGTTTTGCATTAACCTTGAATATAGAATAAGTTACTTTTTAAGTTTTTTTTGCACATTATACGGACTAGAACGAGTTAGTCTTGAAATTACTTTTTGCTAAGTTTTTTAAAAATTAATTACCGAGTGCGAAGCCTTAAATAGAGATAAAAAAATTCAAATTTAAAAAATTTGCTTCTCAATGATAAAAATTTGTCATTATTAGCAATGCCTCCCACATCAAATGCAGGAGATCATGGGCCTCTAACGTCTCAACGTTCAGACAACAGATCAATTAATAGTTCGTCCCAAAATTCAGAGCAAATCTCGCAACAGAATTTATCAGAATCTCTCGCATCGCCTTCACCTTCAACAAAAAAAGGTTCTTTCTTTAAGAAAAATTTTGAAGATGGCATGGATAGGTATGTTTACTTCAATTTTCTATCCCCCACAATTCCCTTTTGTTTTTTGTTATTAAAATATTTGTTTTCATGTATAATAATTAGGGAATTTTGTCATTTTAGGGTCCTTGAACAAGTCAATTTTCAAGAAAAATTTTCATCCTTACCGGAATTCAAACCGGAGGATATACAAAGTCCTAGTGCAATTAGTTTAAATGCATCAGCAGGAACATCAGCCCATGGCCCTGTCAGTTCTAATTTACATTCTTCCAATATTGCCTCATCCCTGCAAAGTTATCGTAAAAAATCTGGAACAGGATCTCATCGAGCTTCAAGTAATTTCCTTTGTTTTTTGTATTTAAAAAAGGGAAAATAAAAACGAAAATAAAAATTTTATAACTAGAATTTATACTTTTCTGGAAAAATTAGGAATTAATTTTGTTATCTTTATTTATTTTAGTTAATGAGGAAGAAATGGAATCTGATGTACCACTTTCGGCGACTTCAAAATCAACGGCAAATGTGAAATTAACTGGTAATACGTTCTTTGGACCGGACTTTAATGTCGATGCGTATAGAGCTAATTCGGATATATTGGGAGATGTGGACGCCACTTCGCCGCGAACGCCAAAAACTCCTGGTGGCGGTGTGGGAAATACGGTGGGCGTCAATAGAAGTGACAACGAACGTGGTCATAGGAAAATTTTAGAGCAACGGCGACAACTTGTTATGCAATTGTTTCAAGAAAATGGTTACTTCCCATCAACGCAAGCTACCTCTGCTTTTCAGGCGAAGCACTCGGACATTTTTCCAAGTAAAACAAGTTTGCAGTTAAAAATTCGAGAAGTTAGACAAAAACTTAAATCTAATTCCACTCCAATGAGTGCCAATAGTCTTGTGAGTCCATTGCCCACTTCTGAACCATCGCCCAATATTTCTGGTGAGTGAATTTTTATACTTTCTTTTTGTTTCGTCATTTTCTTTTTTTTTTTTTGTTTCTTTTTTCACCAATTCTACAAAATCGACTCGAATCAAATTTGTTGGATAACAGAAATTAGAATTCATCGATAAATGAATTTGATTAATAATGAAGAAATTAGATTTGTTTAAATTAAACTGTTTTTTATTTTTCCAAATTTAACAACATTGTCATTTCATTTAGTTTCGACGGATTCAAGAACACCTTCATCCAATTGGCGTCAATGGTGGCTTGAAAGTAATAACTGCTAAAGGTATTATAAAAAGCGTGCTGTTTTTCTTTTCATTTTAGTTTTACCTTTTCAAACTGGTGTTAGTCTTTTTTCCAAGAATTCGTTTTCTAATTACGAAATTCTCTTTTTGTTTACGGTACTTTGATATTATTTATATTTTTATTACAGGCTTCGGATAGTATGACTTTTAGAATTTTTTTAAAATTTTCATAAACGGCATCTTTATTCGATTAATTGCAAAAAAGGTACTTTTGGCGTTTTCTTCCAAATATTGCAGTAAAATAACACTTCTTTTTCGTATGAAATACAAATTCTTTCGATATTTATACTATAAAAAAATATCTTTCAAAAGTATTTAAAATAATTTTTTTACAGATAATTAAATTTTTGAAATATATAATTAAAAACTTTGTAAATAATTGAAGTTTTGTAAAATTTTATTCAAAGTGATTGTATTTTTTAATTTAACTTTTTTTCTTTCAATTTTTTTCTTATTTTATTGAAATTTTTTATAATCAAATTTTAAAGAATTTTAATTACAAATTTTGAAAATAATCGAATTAAAAAAAAAACAAAATGAAAATTTCAAAATGAAATTTAATGAAAAATAATAAAAATTAGCTTCAAAACATTATAAATTAAAAAATATTTTTTAAATAAGTAATTATTACAGTTTTTTCACTATATTTTTTAAAGTTAAATTATTTTAAATATTTTCGGTTAAATATTTCCAAAAATTCAAATATCTACAAGAAATAATTAAAATAAACAATTTTAAATAATTTGATTTTTTAAAATTTTGGAGAAAACAATTATTTTAAAAATTTTTAGTTAAGGTTCTTCAAAAAAATTGATTAATTTTTTTAAATTATCCAATAATTCTTTTCGAATATTTCAATTATTTTGAAAATTTACACTACAATATTTTTAAAAAAACAAATAGGTACTTAGAATTTCTTTTCAATATTTATCTTTTAAATTAAATTATCTTTTCAAGAAAAGGTTAGTTTAGTTAAAAATTTTTGGAAATAATTAAATTTTGGGAAGCATTACAGTTATTTGCTTTTAGAAATAATTAAATAACGAAAGGTTTAAAATTGAGAGATCAAAAATTTTAATTCTTGTGGAAAAATAAATAGCAAGTAGGATTTAAATATTTATCTAAAAAAATTATTGAAGTTTAGAGTTTATAATTTTAAATTTTGAATTTGAAATTTGAAATTAGAAATTAGTGAAAGATCAGGGAAATAAAAAATGAAGTTTTTGTGTTAATACTGAACGACTTTTTTTTATTTCTTTGAAACGAATTTTTGCACCTTAAAGTCGATCCGAGGCCTGTATTATTAAATGTAGAATATATTATTTTTTTTTATTATTATTGTTTTTATTTTATTTTATGAATCGTGACAAGTCCTTTCGTAGAAAGTAAAAAGTACTATTTTACTTATTTATATTCGTTTATCATGTTCAGGATTTCATTATAATTAAGATTTATTTATTAATTTTTTAATCCAATTTTATATTTATTTCGTTTATATATTTTATTTTTTTATTATATAAAATTTCTTTCTTTTTCTTTTTTCTAATCTATTTATTTCCTTTTTTAAATCGATTTCTGTTTTTATAGCTAATTTTTTTCAAATCAATTTGAAATACTAAGGAAAAGGATTCTTTTCTTAATTAAATTTCTGTTTTCATAAATCAATTTCTTTTTTCTTATTTATTTATTCTTTATTTATCATGGTTAATTTGCAATATTTTGCTTATATATTTGTTTATGAATTTATCTATTAGTTTATTGTATTTGTTTACAGTTTTGTGTATTGCTTTTTTCACTTTTTTTTATTAATCTCTTTATTACCTTTGTACATTTTTTTTTATTTTTAATTTCAAAGAAAATTTTTTCAAATATCATTTATATTGCCACTACATTCGTATAATTGATACGTTGGCCATTGACGCCAAAGAATGGAGGCTTTATAAACAGGTATGATTTAATAATTCAAACACTTTCTCATTTACATATATATGCGATTCACACAAAACTTTAAACACAATTACACTGATCAATTCGAACAAATTGCAATTACAACTTTCAATTTTAAAATTTAAATTACTATTTTGGTTGGCTAAATTCTCAAAAATTCTTTGAAGAGTAAATAAAATTGAAAAGTAAATAAATAATATTTTTGAATAACTATTAATAAATAACTGAAAAAAGTAAAAAATAAATTGAAAAAAAAGATTAAGAATATATTATATAAAGAAATTGTGATAAATATTTAAATGTTTATTTTATTACTAGTTTTCGAATGTTGGGGTTTTTAGTTTTGGTTATTGGTTTAATTTCGTCAACCACTGTAGAAATAATGTTGTACTTGCTTGTATTTTTTAAAAAATTGAATTCAAATTAAAGGGAAATTTTAATTTTCAGGTCCCTTAACTGCTCCTCCCACATCAATGGGAGCTCCCCAATCACTGCCTGTAAGCAGCAGTGGTAGCTAGCACCCACGAGTCAACTGTGATACTTTGCATCCCCTAACTCCTAAACACGAATACATCATTATCCTCTGAAAAGGATTCTGCTGTTTTCTCTTTTCTTGCTTAGAAACAAAAAAAAACAAAGAAAAGAAAAAAAATTTGTTAAATGTACAGTTTCCTTGCGGATAAACTGTTCTTAAGACTTCAGTGCAATTTGAATCTTGATCCTAATTGTCTTGTATAGATAAATGTACAGATCTCTCTCAGCGTGCTAACATACAAACGTCTCAGTTTATTTTGAACAAATTTAAAAAAAAATAGTTGATTTCTCAAACTATAAAGCACAAAGTGAAAGAGAACTCTCAATAACCTTCGATAGGTGCGAGCACTATTCTCCAAAAAAAAATAAATAATCGAAGACAATACACGAATCTCTATTCTAAATTCAAAGACAGTCTCTCTCTCCCTCTATTTCTCTAAATATAAAGAGAACAATTATTTTGGTACCGAATGAGACTGTTTAGAATAAAAAAAAAATTATAAATATAGAAAAGCTGATCGTTGTAGATTGGCACGCTTTGAATGATTTTTAAAGAGAGGCCTAAAAGCCATTGTTAAATGTTGTTGAAAATACTATGATTGACAAAAAAATAAAAAAAAGGGTTAAGGGGGGACGAGGGAGAGAGAAAAACAAAGAGTGCATGTATGCGTGAGAGAAAGAATCGTAATCGGAGACTATTAGAATTATATAACAAGAAAATTATAAAATGAAATCAGAGTTTATATACTTTAGTTATACTTCATAATATACTATAGTTGAAAGAAAGCTCTATAATGGATTGAAGGACAAAAACAACAAAAAAGAAACTGCATTAACCATAGCACAAAAAAAAGTTATGTATCCGCAATTCATATTTATGCTATCGTAAACACTGTGGCAAAGTCTTGAGATGAAAAAAAGGAAGAACGAAAAAATTTCCGAAAGAGTTAACAAAAAAAAAAAAAATATGTCTATTATTATACCCGGTCTTGATGACTCGAGACCACGGTGTGTTTTGGTGATTTCTAGATTATATCGTATATTATATATATATAAATATATATAAAAAGAATAATAATGAAAAATAACGTGCCATTGTGCGGCGACAAAATGGGAAATGCAATCGTTGCGTTTCTCTTGTTAGTAATAAATTAACTGTTAGACGCTCCTCGGGATAGTTAAACTGTAAAATGTTTCTTGAAAGTACTTATCAACTGTTTTTAAAGCCTTGTTCAAGTTCAGCACATCTTCACGATCTCGATATTACTACTATTATTATTGTTTTTTTAGTTTCGATTTTTTCACAATGAATTTTTTAAGTTCTTTTAGGTTCGATTTTTTTATATTTTTAATTTTTCTACACACTGATTTGATTTTTTTATTTTTGTGTCCGAATTTTCAAAATATTTTTATGATCTGATATTTTTATATTTTTGTTTTTTAATACTACTTTTACGTGATTTTTCAACATATTTTTATGTTCTTTTTTTTCAAAATACTAACTGGAGGGTTTTTTTAAAAACACATTTTTGTGTTTTCGAGTTTTCAAAATATTTTCATAATCCACTGATTTTAAACTTATATTTGTGATTTTTCAACATATTTTTATGTTCATTTTCAAAAAAAAAAAAAATAATCATACTTCTAATTTTAAACTTTTATAAATTCGAGTAATTAAAATATTTTTATGATCCGAATTTTTCTCAAAACTTTTTCGTATTTTTACAAAAAATGTTTTTTCAAAATCTTTTCAAAATCCTTTTACGATTTTTCGAGATATTTTTAAATTCAAGATGTTTGAAAATAATTGTCTGATCTGATTTTTTTTACAATACTTGATTGTATTAATTTTGTTTCTTGATTTTCCAAAATTAATTTTATGTCCTGGCAATATTTTTTCTAGTTGCCTTTTTTAAACACATTTTTGTGTTCTAGATTTTTTTCAGCTTTTCTTGAATTCATAAAAATCAACTTTCTTTTATTAATTTAATTAAATAAAGAATTATAAACTTTGATAATACTTTATTCATCAAATTAATCAAATTAATGAAATAATAATAATAAATTTTTGTCTTCTTTCAAAAAATTGCTATTTTTTAAAAATTGATTTCTTTTGTTTCGGAATAATTTTCTTAATGCGAAACAAAATTGTTGAAGATTTTTATACAAAGAAATATTTTTGTTGTTTTATTCAAAAAGTTGTTATTAAATCTTTTAAAAATTGAATTGTTTTGCTTTGAAATAATTGTTGTTTCAATAAAAAATAAAAAATTGTTGAAGAATTTACAAAGTTTAATTCTATGATTTGGTTTTATAAAATTAAATATTAATAATATTGCTATTATTACTACTGTTAATTTCTATTTTTAGTAACTAACGGTTATTACTAATTTTGTGTCTATTAGTATTATTTTTACTATGTTAACAAAAAATGTTTTTGAAATTTTTGACATTAACGAATTTTACTTATTTTTTTTTTTTTACTGTTTAACATTTTTTACTCGAATTAATACTTTTTCGGTAATTTTTATTTTACTATTAAGCAAAATATTGCTAAAAATTATTTTTCCCTAGCAGGGAAACATACTATCGAATGTTTTTAAGAAAATTTCGTTATTTTTATATTCGGAAAATTTCATGTTTTAGTTGTTTTTTAATTTTTACATATTTTCCACTTTTTTTTCTTTTTATATATCGAGTGATTGAAATTACTGCATTGAACCTGAACGAGGATTGTTGAATTTGGCTGTAAAATAGGGGATGTAAATTAGCAAGAACTTGGCGAAAGCGCACTTTAAAAGAATTTTTTTTTAGGGTTTCGCGCCACAGCACGCATTACCTTTATATAGTTAGGATAGATTTCTTCGATATATTTTGTAAATAGATGCGTACAGTACATTAATTGAATTATTATTATTATTATTATAAAAATCGTAGATTGTAAATTTGAAGTAGACAATTATGGTAGCGTTACAATCCATAATGTAACGACATGAATAATAAGAAAGGCAGGATTAGGGTAGATTACAAAAAAAAATATATATATATATGATAGAATAATGGGCCTTGATACGTCGACGGACTTTTGTGCTCTGGACGGTTCCCCACATCCTCCTCCAAAGTTGCCCTTTTCCTTAAAAAAAAAAGTGATAAATCACTTTTAAAAATTGTACATAAAATACTACATATTATTCTCAGATAACTCATCATGTTATAGTTCTTTTGTGAGACGTTTAATGTAAAGGTGGCAACAAATTAAGTTTTTGCTCTTATAGGAGGGACGCTTATTCCTCACCTTTTTATTTTTAATTTAAGAAGACAATTATTCTATTTCTACATACTTTTTTCTTTTCTCATGTTTAAGTTTTTATTTTTTACTATTTACCTTTTATTATTATTATTTTGTATTTTACTTCTTCATTTTTTATTAGTTACTTCTTTTCTACTTCCTTTTTCTTTTTTTGTTTTACTTTTTTTATTTTTTACTCGTTATTTTTATTATTCTTCTAAATTCGAGGTTTTTCTCGATAATTATTTTAGTTTTTTTTTTGATATTTCAAAAGGATATTTTTTACTTTATGTACTTTTATCTTTGATTACTAATTTCTAATTTTTATTAGTTTTTAAGTGAAGATTTTTCTATCGAATGGAATTTTAATTTGTCGAGATTTTTAATAAGCGATTTTCATTTTATCGAATAACAAATTGTTTTAAATAATTTTATTTATAGACTTTTCTAACATTTTTTTTCCTTTTTTTCTTTTTTCTTATTTTCTTTTTCTCTTTTCTTTTTATCTTTTTTTCGTTTTTCTTTTTATTTCTTTTTCATTTTCATCTCTTTTTCTTTTTCCTTTTAATCTCTTTTTCTTTTTCCTCTTAATCTCTATCAAAATGAAGTTTATTTTGATTTTAATTTAAATAATTAAATAATTTTTCTCCTATTGTCTTCGACGAGAAATATTTTAATGATGAACAATCGAGTCTGAAATAGGGATAAAGCGTCCTTCGCGATTGCCCCCGCTCAAAGAAACGATAAAATTACTATATTTTGTACTTGTGTAAGCGTGTAAGCTACTTTCCAGTATTGATAAGATTTTTGAGAAGGCTTTGATACTTTTCAATTTTGTTTTTTTCTATTTTTTTTTTCTTTAACAAGGTGATTAAATGTGTTTCATGATTTTAGCAGCCATGCAAAGTGACTGTGATCTAGAAAAAAAAACAGAAGTAAAGTAAAGTGGCGGCTATGACACTAACAAATTTTTTCACCACACACACAAAACTTCTCTTCCTGTCCTGATAATTTTTTTTCTTCTTCGAGCTTTATTGTATATCTAGCTGACTTCCAAGCTATTTTTTAATCCAACTCACAAATTTAAAAATACGAAATCCGTGAAATAAAAGAAAAAAAACTGTATAGGAAAAGAATCAGTTCTCTGAGAGAAAAAACTTATGAATCTGAATCGGATTATCATATCTGTATGATAACTATTAGTTGCTATTATCGATTGTAACAATTATTATTCTATTGTCCCTTGTTTAATTTTTGAAATATTTTTAAAAACTGTTATATAAATATTATATATATCGATCGAATATAATGTTATGCAATTATAACAAGCATACGAAAAAAAAATAATGTCACGTGTAGAAGTGCTAAAAAGTCTCTCTATAGATATATAATATATATTATACAGTAAAGACGTCTTTTTATTGATCATATCTCACGATACATGATTATACAAATATATAAATATATACATATAATACAATTATACAGAAGATTATTTTTTATTTTCTTTTTATTTTTTCTTCTCGTTCCTTTTGAATAATCGTGTATCAATATTATTAAAAATAGAAAATTTGTTTCTCTGCAAGAGAAAATGGAAAATTTGTTTAAATTATCGATGACTGAAGTTAAAACGTTCTTATTGTATATTTATATATTCAACATACATCTGTGCAGTAAAAATCCATCTGTATATACTATAATATATTTGACGATTATGCAGGTAATACACGCATACGTAAACGATAAATCATTATATAGAAATACGAAAACTATGATACTCTGAAAAAAAAATGTGTCGACATGTTTAATGTACATATAAGGCCTATTTTCCCATAATGTTCAACGCACTCTTTTTCAAAAGAAAAAAAAAAAAAAGAAAAATCCTCGTTTTTTCAACTTGGATTTTTTTTCCACATCACAATGTACTCTTCTTTTTCTGTTTTCCTTAAGAGTATTAAATTTTTTGAAAATATATATATATATTAAAAAACAATATGGAAAGATGCCTCGATATGTATAAATATATTTGACGTTTTAACAAATATCAGGCAGAGGTATTAAAATCTTAACCAATCCGATGAATTTCCGTGAAATCGACCACATTGTTTCCGACGAAGTAAGAATTTTTTATAGATAATTATTATTATAAGTTTAAGAATGTGCATTTTCTTTGCTCAATCGAATAGAATTCTAAAAGAAGAAAAAATTTTTAAAAATTAGAAAAAGAATAAATAAAAAAAATAAAATTTATTTTGTTATAAAGAAAACTTTTTTGTACATTAAAAATAAATTCTAAACTTTTGTCACTAAATACAAAATTTTGTCTACGAAATTTTGTTTACATACTTTTATTTAAATTTAAATTTAGGTGCTTGGAGAATTTTTTTGTCTTTTAGAATTCTATTCAAGAACAAACCGGATTTTTCATAAGGGGGAAACTCGAGAATTCTCTTTTGTTTCCGGTTATTTTTTCGAAAATCTCGTCGAGTTTGTAAATAATGTGTAAATAAAAAAAGTTATTCAACCTTTTGAAAAGAATCAAGATTTTCGCACTACTAAAAACTGATTATTTTTATTTAATTAAAACAAAAACGTATGATTCACAATTAGTAAAATAATTATTCTCGCAAAGATGGAAAATTAAAAATAAGCATTATTTTGAAAAATTTTTCTCGAAATCTTTCTTGAAATCTTTTTTTTTTAAAAAAGATATAAAAATAATAATGTAACAGATTTTATTTTCAATTTTTTCGAATGAATTTTAATTTCATTTAGAAAAAATATTCAATTATCCCAAATAATAATTCAATTCTCCAATAAGAAAAAAAAACGAGTTTTTTCATGATGAAATAAAAAAAATCCGGTTTTTGGTACAAATAAATGTTTTTTTGGGCTACGAAAAATCATTATTATTGATTATATTACGAGGTTGACGCTTGATGTAGAAAGAGTTGAAAAAAAGAAAAGAAAACTACTTTTGGAAGTACAAAAAATTTTAAAAAAAGAAGTTAGTGAAAAAAAAACTTTGTCTCGGAACAGGATGTTCTTTGCGGAAGTATAATATCTCGTGCCTCTTATTATGCCACAAAGTGCTTGATATTGCAGTCGAACGACAATCTCCATTCATTCGGAGTAAATATTTGTTAAAAAAAAAAGAAAAAAAAGATTCTAATTTGAGTACGATAGCTACTAAAAAAAACAGCGATGATGATTTAATTGATCCGATCATGTACATAAAATACACACCAATTTATTATCTCCTCGAAAAATTGCATGGGTTTATTTCACTTAACGCGAAGGAATTGAAAGGAATTATAAACTGAAAATTGTAAGTCTAAAAAAAAGTCAATTTTGGAAATTTTAAAAGGGGATTTTACCAAAAATTTCTTGAAAAAATTGAAATTTTTCAATCAATTTAAAATTGTAATAAACTTATTTTATTCGATTCGTCAATTTTATTGATTAGAATTTAATTTTATCAACTTTGATTCATTCAAATTCAATTTTACCAATTTTTATACATTAAAATACAATTTTATCGATTTTATTATTTTAAATTGAAATTTAATCAATTTTAAAAAATTTTTTTCGCAAAAATTGCGAATTTTTCAAATTTGTGAGTCTGGAGTTCCCCTTTTAAAACAAAAAAATGCCTAAATTGTTATTTATTGAACTCGACGGGACCATCAATTTATTTAAAGCAAAAAGAAAAAAAAATACATCGTTCTTTTGTTGACTTAAAAAAAAGAAAAATTTTTAAACATTTTCTTTCATTAAAAATTGTACTTAACGAACGTGAAATTGGAAAGAAAATGGCATTGTTAATAATAAAAGAAAAAAGAGACCCGTTCGCCTTTCAATTGTAAAAGTTTGTAGCTTCCTCCTCATCCACTTCGCTGTTAATTAATTAAGTCTACCGGCCTCTTTTTCTCTTTAATTCAACGAGAGATTAAAATGCGAAAAGCCTTACAGTGTTTTATAAAATATTAATTTTTAATATTACAAGAATACTATAAATTTTCTATGAGTATTAAGAAATAAAAAAGAAATATTAAAAATGGTTCTAAATTTAGATATTAGAATTTAGAGAGTGAAAAGAAAATGGATTCGAGAATTACTTTTTCGCATTTAAATCTCTAGTTTGAAAAATTAATCGTGATTGGTAGGTTTTAACTCCAATGCCCACAATGAAAACTAAAAAAGAAATTAAATGAGAAAAAAAAACCAGTTCGTCGGACCAAATTGCTTCTGGCGCACGCAGATGTTCTAGTTTTTGAATATTATGATATCTTGTCAAAATGTATGCTTGGAGAGAAATTAAATCAGTGACAATTTTATCCAATTGCATCACATGCTTTTTCGTCTTCGAAAATATTTTGAGAAAATCTGAAATTCTTGACAAGTTTAAAAAAATTTAATAACAAATTTTGTTAATACCGATATAATAATATAAATAATTTTATATTAATTAATATTAATTAATTTTCATTACCCAATTAATATTAACTAATAGAATAATTTAATATTTTTTAATTTACATTTCGTTAAACATCCAATAATTTGTCCCCTACAATTTATAAAATATACAAATTTCTTTCAATACTCAAAAACAAAAGTAAAAAAGAAAATCTTTCCTTTCGAAAAGAAAGCATGTGATGTCAATTTTGTATAACAGAAGGCAAGAGTGCACTATAATTTTATAGAGAAAAAAAAAGTTGTAGAAAAAAAAATTATAGAAAATTTTTATTTAATAAGTGTATAAAAGAAAATGTTAAATGTGTCCATGTTTTTTGAAGAAAATGATTAGCAAGAAGTAGAATTTAAGAGAGAATGATTGTTTTATTCGGGGGGAAAAAAAAGGACTGAAGTGTTTTTTCTAAAAAAAGTGGAACCTTGTTAAATCGAATTTTATGGGAAATGTTTTTAAAAAAAAGAGTGTATAAATGAAAAATAAAAGGAAGGGAACAATTCTTTTTTTTTAAATAACATCAAGATTCTACTGTAAATAAAGTTTATTTTAAAAATAGCCAACTTTTAATTACATTCAATTTACTTTTAATTCCGCGTTAATAATGGAATAAAAAAAAATAGTTAATAACAATGTGAACAAAGTAAACAAAAGTTAACAAATTTAAAAGTATAAGTTTTTCAGAAAAAAAATTCTGCTTCTTGGATCATTATAAGAAAGTATTTTTCAACTTGAAAACATGTAAAAAAACAAATGTTTTTTCTTTTGCCCCGTATGTAAAGATTGAATGCACTCACAATTTTTGGTATAAAAAAAACAATGTTTAACAGAAATGTTTAACAGAAAATATTTAATATAATCGATAATCGACATGGGATACAAAAGAAAGTCAATACGTAATTCTTCCATTGTGTCTGACTGAATGATTTGGTTGAGAAAAATAAAAGTTATTTGAAAATTGTTTCTTTTCCTTCGTTTTCAAAGAAAAAGTGTACATTCGAAATGGGTATTCGAGTATGCTGTATACAATTATTTTACAAAAAAAAAAAAAAAGAAAAAGAAAAAAATGTAAAGGAGGCAAAATATATTCAATGTTCGAGGACATCATCTTTTCTATGTTTTTTTTCTCAATTTTCCCTCTGATAAAATTGTTTTATAAAATTTATTTTAATTTAAAAAAGTTTCGTTAAATTCTGTCTTTCTTTTTTTTAAAAGATTTGGTTTCATTTTGCTACTTAACGCGACGGATTTTTTCCGTTTCTTCCGGCGTGAAATGTAACACTGTCGAAATAGCATTTAACATGTGTCGCTTACTTGACGGATCGCTGGTGATTAAATAATTAACAATTACGTTCTTAAGATATTCCAAATTTGCTCCTTCCCTCGATTTGCAGGCCTCCAATCTATAAAATATTTCAATTAAAAATATTACTTTGATAATATTAATTATTTATTTCTTTTATAATTTTTAATCTAAAATAATTAAATTCTTATAGAAGAAATTTATCCAAATTTTTCAAAATAATTAAATTTATTGAGAAAAATTAAATTAAAATAATATTAAAAATATTTGAATTCTTATAAAGAGTTTTATCGAAATTTTTTAAAATAATTTAATTACTGCGAAAAATTTTATAATTAACATTTTTTTAAATAATAGAATTCATACGAGAGAAATTTTATTACAATTTTTTTAAATAATTGACTTCTTTCTGGAAATGTTGTTAATTATGAAAAAAATGGAAATCTTGGTAAGAATTTCTTAAAAATTTAATTAATTATATAAATTTAATTAATTATTCTTAAAATCTTATTATAAAAAATGGTAGTGAAATTTTTCAAAATAATACAATTTTTGAAAATCATAAGCAAGAATAATTAATTATGTATATACTTACCTAATAAGTGAATTTTTTAATTGTTTGGAAGAATTCATTTATTTTTATAAAACGCAAAATTCCTCGAAAGAATTAAATTAAATTATTTTCAATACAATTTTAATAAAATTTCTATAAAAAGAAAATTATTTTTAAAAAAATTCATTGAATTCGATTATTTTCAACAATTTTGATAAAATTCTTTAAAAATTAATTATTTTTTCAAAATTATTCATAAAATTCTTTCAAAAAATTTAATTATTTTTAAAAATTCTGATAAAATTCTTCAAAACAATTTATGTAATTATTTTTAAACATTTTAATAAAATTCTTCACAAAAAAGTTCAATTATTTTCATTACAATTTTAATCACATTCTTTGTAAGAATTCAATTCTTTTCATAAATAATAAAATTCTTTGCTGAAATTCAATTATTTTCAATACAATTTTATTGAAATTTCTCGAAAGAATTCAATTATTTTCAATACAATTTTAATTTAATTTATCGAAAGAATTCACTACATTAATTTAAAAATTCAAAACATTTAAAAAGAAAAATTAGAAATGTTAAGAAACAAAGAAACAAACAAAAACTAACTTCAAACTGCGAACAGATTACCGGAATGCAACAATTATTAAATATAGAAGATAATTATTATTTTTGAAATTTAACTCTAAATAATAATAGTTTATTAAATTTATTATAATAAATAATTTACTGAATTTTAATTTACCTGGTTATTTGTGACTGTAATTTTTTTAATTCGTCTTTATGTCTTTCTGTTTCGTGATAAAGATCACGTTGCCTTTCACGTAATATCGCTTCGAGTTCAACATTTTGTTTTCGTAAATTTGAAACTTCTATTTCTCGTCTCGCTAATTCTTGAGCGTAATGCAACATTGGCGGATTATTGTCAGCAGTTAATAAACCAGTTACTAGATCAGCTGATGGTTCACTCGTCATATCAACAGTCGGATAACTTTTAATTTCCGACGATCCTTTACTGGGTAATAAGGCCTGAAATGATGATTTTAACGTTAAAATTTCCTGATCCTTTTCATCAATAACGGCTAGAGAACGTTCTCTTTGTCGTAATAATTGATGCTCCAGGGCTACAATTTTTCCTCGATATTCATTATCCTTTTGGTTCATCAGTCTCTCCAATTTCATACGTTCATCTTGCAATATCTAAAAATTAAAATAATTATTTACAATTTTTCCTGAAATCTAACAATTATTCTTTTCTAAATTTTTACGATTTTTCTTTAGTTTCACTTTCCGAAATTTTCAATATTTTCTATAAGTATAGTAATTTTTATTTCAAATTTTTTTTTGCAATTATGAAAATTTTCATTTATAGTTTTATTTTTCAAAATAATAATTTTCTAACTAATTAAAATATTAATTATTAAGAAAGGAAAATTTAAAAATTTGTAAGATTTAAAAAAATTCTAAAATATTTGAAAGCTCACTTTGTATTGATTTTCTAATTTGACTTTAAATTCTTGTTCGCGTTTCAAAATTTCCTCGTTTAACAATCGTATTCTTTCTTCTAAATTTTTATTGTGCGTTTTAATCCGTTGCAACTGAGTCCATTCGTTTGAATTCTCATGCGAATGTTTCGAACTGTGTTGTTGAATATTTGTCAATTCACTTTTCATTGTGTTATTAGATGAAACTGTTTTCTGTCGCTTGAGCTCTTCGAATTCTTCCAAAAGACTCTCGTATTTATTCCCATAATCCTGACTGGCATCACTTAGATTTAAACTATTTAACAAATCTTTGACATTCGCGTAAGAATATTCTTTATCGAGATTCATTAAATAAGTGTAAAGTTCACGTATATTTGATGTTAGTTTCTTTGGATCTTTGGAAAAATCGTTACTACTGCAATTATCCGCATAATCTGTGGATTCAAGATGATTTAATTGATCCTTCAATTTTTGTATTGCCTGCTGATCTTGCTGTCTTGCTCTGTCATAACCACCGACAGTTTCTGAAAGTTCTGCCAAACGGGCTTCTAAACTTGCAACACGTTTTTCATGAACCATCGCAAGTGCTCTTGCATGCTGTTGCGCGGCCGCTGCTTTTTTCTGTTCCTTATAATTCAGAAAAATAAAAATTTTATGTATTAAAATTAAAAAAACAATTCTTCCTCTATAAGGAAGCAAAAAATAGTAAAAATTGAGTATAAAAAAAATAAATATAACAAAAACAATATGAAAATATTAAAAAAATACATATTATTAAAATTGAAATATAAAAATAATAATATAAAATTGAAATTGAAAATTAATAAATTTACTTCATGTATAGCTGAACGATGTTGTTTTTTCATTGCAGTCATTTCGGCCTGCAGGGAAAGAAGCAAAGGTGGAGTCTCCTTAGCAGCAGCTTCTGCTTGCTTCAATTTATTCTTCATTATTTCCAATTCAGCTTCTAAAACTTTACTCTGAGATTTACTGGACACGTGGCCTTTCAATTCCTTAATTTGTCCTTCCAATTGTTCACGAATTCGTCTTTCATTGTTAACAACCTTTTGAAGTTCCCTATAATAACAAAAAATCATTCTTTAAACATTATTTTAATAACTAGTAAATGATACGCGCAAAATGTAATATTTCATTTATTATTATTTTGCATATTAAAAAATTTTATATTTTTAAAAGTATTACAACTACTTTCAACAGTTTTTATAAAATTTTTAAGGAAAACTAATTATTTTTGTACATTTTAATAACATTTTTTGATTAAATTCAATTATTTTCATAATTTTGAAGAAAATTCTTTCAAAACATTGAATTATTTTTAAAAATTCTGATAAAATTCTTCGAAACAATTGAATTATTGTTTAAATATTTAATAAAATTATTCGCAGTAATTTAATTATTTTTAAAAATTGTTATAAAATTTTTCTAAAAAATTCAATTATTCTCAAAAGTTTTTTTTTATAAAATTCTTTGTAAATTTCAATTATTTTCCAAAACTTTCAGTTAAAATCATCTAATTTGTAAAAAAATTACATTATTTTTACGAAATTTAAAGATATTCAATTATTTTAAAAATTTTTTGATAAATCTTTGCAAGAATTCAATTATGGTAATAATTTGTAATAAAAATGAAATAATACTTCATTATTGCAGAATGATCAGAGTGCTCCCTTTCTCTTTCATGTCTCTCCATAATTAGTTTATACTTCAAATGCTCCATTTCCGAATGCGAATTATTTTGCGCACATTTTAATTTATCCTTCAATTCTTTGATTATTTTTTCATGCTGTTAATTGGAGAGAAAATATTAGATAATTCAGAATTTAAATAATTCTCTGATTCAAAAAAAAAAAGAAGGAAAAAATACTTTACTTCTTCTCGATCGCTTCTCAACTGTTTCTTATCAATTTGAAATTGAGCTTCCATTTTTGATTTTTCAGCAGAAAGAGTCGCTAAAGAATTCATTAATGTATTTAATTGTAATTTTAGATCATCCACTGTTTCCGACTTTCTCTCCTCTTTCCGTGTTTGCAACTGAAAACGAAAAAAAAATCCATTAAATACTAATAATCAAAAACGAATTTACATATTTAAATTTTAAAAGGCAATTTTTCAAAAATTAAAATAGAATTAAATTAAAATTTATAGAATTACATTTGCTTGTAAATTCACGTATTTATTATTATTATTAAAAATAATTGAAAAACGGTTTTTAAAAAAAGCGAATATTTATTATTATTATTATATTTATTTACCGGTGATGATTTTGATGAATTCCCATCTTCAACGGCACTTTTTGATTTAGAATTTGCTTTCGGAATTTCTTTATCAGCCCTTTTTGCCTCCTCCATCTCACTTTGTTTAGAATTATTATCTGAAAAACAATTGAATTTCAATTATTAATTATAAATTATTGAAAGAGTGTTCTTTTTTAGTAGAAAAAAATAAACAAAAATTTACCTGTATCTTCATTGTTAGTGTTGCAATTTAAATTTTCACTTTTTTCCTTGCTCTTTTTGTTATTCATATTCTTCACCCTTTTGTTTATTTTTATTATTTATTTACATAAATATTACAAAATCACAAGAAAATAAGGCACAAGTGACGAGATATGAAATGTTTTTATAAACATAAGGAAATTTGTTTAAACAATTCAATTCCTGTAAGTGAAGAAAATAATTATTAGATCAAATTCACAACGGTGAAAAGTCATTGTTATTGTGGAATTAAAATTATTTTACATGGAAATAAAGAGAAAAATTATTAAAAAAATGAAATTTATAACCTAAAAACTTTTCTACCTCTGACATCACATCAGCTGATATCTGTCAATGGCGCAAACTGTATACCTGTCAACGTCACTTTTACCAATTTGTTAGTATAAATAAGTTTTTTCTATTTTTCAAATTATTACTTTTTCTTTAATTATAGTTTAGTTCCAAAAATTTAGAAAATTTGCTTCTTTGGTCTTTTTTAAGAACTTAATCTAATTATAATTCTTCATAAATTGTTTAGGACATTTTTTCTAGAATGTATTATTTAATTACTCTAATTTAATACTCTACCTGGCCCTATTAATTTTTTTTAATATCTTTTTTTAAAAATTTGTTAGTTTTTTAAAAGAATTATAATTCAAGGAAAATTCATTTGTAAGTAACTAATTTTTGGTTTTCTTTTTCTAAATACAAACATGTATTTAAATATTATAAACATACGTGAAAAAACTAATTATAATTACCAGAAGCATGCAATATTTTTTAATAAAAATATATAAAAACTATATTTTCTTTTTTATTTTCAATCTGAAAGAACTGAAGATTCTATTTCCAATGTTACCGGTCCAGAATTCTGAATATTAACCTCCATCATTGCTCCAAATTTACCATCTAAAATAAAATTTATTCTTTACTTAAAAAAAAGTGGAGACAAAATTTAAAATTTTTTGATAAAAGTAAACATTAAAAAGTGTATACCTTTTATTTTTTCTGGTTCATAATCTTCACCAAGTTGAGTGAGAAATTTATTGTAAAAAATTTCCGCCTCATGAGCGTGCATTGCTCTGTGAAAATCAAGTCGATTACCTTTCAAAACATGATAAAGTGTAAATTGACTTATACAAAGTATTTCGTATTTCTTTTCTTTTACATTGGCCGACCACTTTTTTCCATCTTCATTGTTAAAAATCTTTGTATTCAATATTTTCTTCACTCTGCAAATAAAATTTAATTCATTAAAAACACAACTAGAGAAAAATATATGTAAGATTTTATCGATTTTATATACTTTTTATATTTGCAATACAACTAAAATAAATTTATTTATTTCAATATTAACGGAAAATTGAAAAAAAATAGAAATACAAAATAGAAAACAAATAAATTTTAGGATCAAATACTGTGATGTAAACAATTAAATTTAAATATTGTTATAAATTTCTCATGCAGTTGGCTTTAAAAAAAAATGGAATAATTTAAAACGTCAAGACAATTATTTTAATCATTTTATTACATGTATTCCATATCATTCAGTGTGTCGTCTCTTTTTATACCAATTAGAACACACAAGCCATTTTCAATACTGCTAATAATTTCTCCATTAACTAAAACAATACAAATATTTTACCATTTTTTTTACATTTTTAACAAATTTAATTTTTTGAACTTTCTAAAAATTTACAATTTAAAATCTAGTCAATAATTTTAATCTACTAAAAAAGTTATAAGATTAAAGTTAAAAAGAAAAGTGCAAGTTGTATTTTGGAATTGAATTGTTAATTCATTGTTCTTTTTATGAATTAATAATTCCTTTAAGTAGTTTTCAAAAATTGTTTCAATTATTCAAAAACGGTTTTAATGTATTTTTAATTTATTTTTCATATTTTTAATATTATTTTCTCAAATTAATTAATTAGTCTGATATAATTTAATTTAAATACAACTAATCGAACTAAATTGAATAACACGTGACAAGGAATCGTTATAATGAAAATAAAAAAAAACAAAAACTGTTTTATTATAATAAATTTCAATTACCCGAAACACTTGCTTTAGCAACACGTTGAATGATAGCCTTCATTTTTAAAAATCTTTAAAAATCTTACAGTGATTTATTATTTTTATCATAAAAATAATTACTTTCACTTATTGTGATTACTGATTAATTAACATATTAACAATTCATAAAAGTATGGCTTGACCTCTGACTTAACCTAAAAAAAATGTAATTCTCTCATTGGTGCTTGAAAACACTTTGAGGACGCTAGGCGAGTTTTCATTAACCAATCAGAATTCATGAAGAAATTACAATTCCGCATTACTTCCGTCATGTGAACTTTGCAAAATGGTGTTTGACTTTTCAGATTGTTTACAAGCAGTTTGTAAAGCAAATAATTACGATTTTAGTGGTTCCTGCATGTTTGTGTGTTTGTTTATTTGTGTTGAATTTAATGAAAATGCAAAAATTCACATTATCTAATGTGTTTTTTAATTCGAAACGATAAAATAAGACAATTTCATGACCCACTTGTTGCGTTTAGGTTATGATGTTATAAACAAAGCTATGATGTTTCTAAAAGTACGCTTTATCTCATAAAATTTGTTTTTTAATCAAAATAAGGAATGGAGGCACCTGGATTGAGCCTTTTCCAGGCCTCAGACATTATACAAATTGGTACAAATACTAATCCAGGACAGGAAGAAGAGGAGGAGCAGGAAGATTTCAAACGACGTAATGAAGAGGTAAGCGAGAAAAAATATTTTCTTCTATTGATATTTTTTGAATTCTATTCATATTTTAAAGTAAATTAATTATTATTTCACACATGTTAATGTTTATTTTATTTCTTTTTAACTTTCCTTAAGTATTTTGAGTCTTAACGAAAACCTGTATTTAAAAGAAACTATTGAACAGGTTTCAAAAGTTTGGTAAATATTTCATTAAGAATAGACATTTTTGTGTTAAAATATTGAAGTAATTTTGAGATCTAGACTAGGGAGATGTTATCAGAGACCTAGACTAATCTTATTTAATTCCCTCGTATCGTAAATGTAAACTAGTGCAATGTTTGTAAATAACTTTTAGTTGCATTTTGTATGCTTTTGCAATTTCTTTTTTCGCTTAAAAAAGTGATTCGGAAAACTTGAATAATTATCAAGTTACCTTTTTGACACACAAAATTTGTAACACAAACAGGATTGCCACAGGTCAGGGAATTCAGGGAAAAGTCAGGGAAAGTAGAATTGGACAGGGAAAGCAGAGAAAACTCAGGGACTTTTATTAAAAGAACTAGAAACAATTAAATGTTTACAATTTATAAGAAAATTCTGAATTTTTGTGTCTTTTTGTTACAATTTTAAAAATTATTTTCAGTAATTTTAATAAAATTCATTACAAAATTCAATTATTTTCATAAATAACAATATTCATCATTAGAATTCAATTACTTTCATAAATAACAATATTCATCACAAGAATTCAATTATTTTCAAAAATTTTAATAAAAATCTTCGCAGAAATTCAATTATTTTCAAAAAATGTAAAAAAAAAAATTGTCAACATTTCAATTACTTTTATAAATGAATAGCAAAATTCCTCGATAAAATTGAATTATTTTCAGAAATTGTAATAAAATTTATTGTAAAATTCAATTATTTTAATAAATAATAGTATTCATCACAAGAATTCAATTATTTTCGAAAATTTTTAATAAAATTCATGGCAAAATTTCAATTATTTTCAAAAATTTTTCTTAATTCAATGATTTTTAATATTCTACACCAACATTCAATTATTTTCGAAAAATTAAAAATTTTACAGAATTCAATTATTTGAAATAAAATTTGTATAAATTAAAAAAAAATCAAACATTTTAAAATTTGGCATTAAATTCTTTGCAGTAATTCAAATATTTTCATAAATAATGAAACTCATTGTAGAATTTCAATTATTTTTAATACAATTTTAGTCGATTTCCTCGAAAAATGTGATTGTTCTTAAAAATGTTATTAAAATTCGTCGAAAGAATTCAATTATTTAAAAATTTATTCATAAAATTATACGTATAAGAATTTAATTTTAAGAAACATTCAATTATTCAATAAAAATTATTTATGTTTGTATTTAAATAATTGAATTCTCGTAGAATTTTCTAAAAAAAATTTATTTAAATATTAATTTCAGTTAAAATTTTAAATAATAATTGAATATTACAAGCATTATAGGATGAATTTTTAGAAATAATTGAATTTTGTAAAGATATTAAATTGAAATATTTTAAAATCTGAATTTTTCATAAAAGTTCTGAAAGTAATTACATTTTTTGAGGAATTTATTTAAAATTGTAATAAAAATAATTGAAATCCTGTGGAAAATTGTATTATTTATGAAAATAATTGAATTCTTGCAAAGAATTTTATTACATTTTAAAAAAATGAATCAGGGAAAAGTCAGGGAAAAAGAAAATTAAATTTTTGTGGCAGCCCTGTTATTTCTTATTTTACGACTAGATTTTTATTTTTCAATTTTAATTTAACAGATAAAGGATCTCTTAACGGGAGCATTTGACGATTTGGAGGAAGACGACGCCAGTTCGATAAACAGTAGTCACTATCATGACAATTCTCACTACAGTGATAATACAAATTCGGTGATAAATTCATCGTACCAACCAAATTCCCATGAGAAAGGACCAACCGTTTCACAATTGCAAAAAGAATTCGGTGTCTATACTCACAATGATGATTCCTATAATCATGAAGCATCATCATTTCACGAAACAACACCCGATGGAATACTACGAAAGAATCTCCCCGATATTCAAAAGGAATTTGCCTTACGTGATTCGCCATCAACACCATTTGTAAAAAATAATCGAACTAAAAGCACCGAGAAGAATGCGACAACAAAAACTGATTCACCATACGATTTACCACTTCCAACAAATGTTGGTGGATTCAATCATGAACGTCGTGCGCAAATTAATGACGATTATTCCTATCGCAATAATTATCCCTACAATTATGACACTCCATCAAATCATTATGACGAGGACAATAATTTCTCGAACAATGGTTATATCGATGGATACGATGAAATCCATCAAACAAATCAAATAAGTGAATACGGCGGCGGTGGTGATAATGAGAGAGCGTCTGAACATTTTAATCATTGCTATGAGACAAGTCCAAATGGAAGACCATTGGACGATCGTAGTGCGTACAAGACTGCCGAGTATAATAGTAAGGAGCAATTGGAGGTTTTGTATTCGGTGAGAATGAGAGAAATTCAACGATTGACGGAAGATTTACAACAATTACGCTTGGAGAAGGAAGATGAGAAGAATCAGCTGAGCAGGAGATTAGCCCTTGCGCAAGCTGAAACTGAGAGATCAAATTTATCACGAAATCAGGCTCAAAATGCTCTTGGTAAGTGATAATTTTAATAATTATAATAATTATTAATAAAGAAATAATATTTCTTTCAAATTTTAGTTTCATTTTAATATTTATTTATTTTAATAATTATTATCTTAACATTTATTTTTCCTACTTCTTTTAGTGGATGCAAAAGCTGAAATTGCAAGCCTTCAAGGACAAGTGAAATCCTTAAAGGACAGAACGACTATTTTAGAAAAAACCAACGAGAAGGTGAGAATTTTTCTCTTAATTTGACTTTTATTTTCAATCTCTGAATAATTTCAGATTCAAAATTCTGAAAAATTCACTTTATAACAAATTAATTATTATTTACAATTTTTTAAAATGCTAATAAAATTATTCGCTAGGAATTCAATTATTTTTTATAGATAATAAACTTTTTCGCAGGAATTCAATTATTTTTTATATATAATAAACTTTTTTGCAGGAATTCAATTATTTTTTATAAATAATCAAAATTCTTCGCTAGAAATTAAATTTTTTTAAAATAATAAACTTCATCGTAGGAATTTAATTCTTCTTTCTATATAATAAAATTATTCGCAGTAATTAAATAAAATTTTTCGAAAGAATTTAATTTTTTTTTTATTAGAATGGCATTATTTAAAAAAAATTGAATAATATTCTTCGCAAGAATATAATTATTTTTTATAAATAATAAAATTCTTTATAGGTATTAAATTATTCTCAATACAATTTTAATAAAATTCTACGCAAGAATTACACAATTTTTAGTACTTACAATTTTTCCCAAAAAATTCAAATATTTTTAAAACTTTTAATAAAATGCAGGGAAAAATTCAATTATCCTCAAAAAATTTGAATGAAATTTAATAATCAAGTTTTTAATAATTATAATTAATAAAAAACACGATAATTTTAAAATCTTTAAAGAAATTTTCCTTAAAAATGGACGATTTTCGAAATTTTCAATTAATATTATTTAAAAAATGTAAAGAAATTCTTTAATTATTTTTGAAAAAGCTAATAAAATTCTTGAAAATAAAATAGAATATTATCATAAATAATAAAATTCTTCGCGGGAATTCAATTTTTAAATGAATTTAAAATTTTCCAGCTTACCGATGAATTGTCAGAAGCGAGAGATTTGGTTTTTGATTTACAACAAAAAATCTCCGTTCTCGAGAGAGTGCAATCACTTCAAGCAAATGATAAAACGGAGGCAAAATTTCTGGAGCAGGCTCAAGAGAAACATGCCATCGAGGTGAAAAATATGCAGACACAAATTGATGTACTTACTGACAAATTAAAAGCGAAGGTATATTTTTAATTTCTAAATATTAAATAATAATTACACTACAATTAAGTAATTTAATTTGTAATACTTCCATTTTACATTTAAGGATTCAATTATTCGCATTTAAGGATTCAATCATTTGCATTTAAATTCAATCGAAAATTTTCGAAATTACAAATTCAAATTTCACTGTCCAAGAAATATATTTATGGAGCGTTTAAATGTGTCATTGATTGCAAATGCAATTTATAATTTCAAATGAATATTTAATAATGTTGCAGGAAGAAGCTTATAAGTCGTTCGAATACAAATTGGAGGACATGAGGAGAGCACACGAAGCACTTATGGTTGACAAAGCAGACACAATGAATCGTTTGACGCAAGCATTGGAAGAAAGTCAAACTCAATGTCATAATTTAATGGCAAATAATAAGGGTCAAGAGTCTTTAAAATTGCAAGCCGAATTAAATTTGGTAAATCGACAAAAGGATCAACTCGAGAAAATAATTGACGATTTAAAGGTAAGAATTTATCGAAATAAAAATCACTCGATTGTCATTGAGATAGTTAGAAGTCAAAAGAATATAAAAATCCAATCTTTCATTTACAGCATAAATTAGAAGTAGCCAAAAGCGATGCAGTGCAATACGATTCATTACTCAGTTTGACAATGGAAGACGAAACAGATTCAATGCGACAATTGAAATTAGGCGAAATTCACAATAAATCGAAGAGTAAACCTAGTGACGACGTGACAAATAAACTAAGAAGTGAATTACAAAGGTAAATTTCAATTGGAAAATTGAATAAAAGTTTTTTTTCTTCTTTTATTTAACATTTCGTTGCCCATCATTTGGATGATGAAAATAAAAATAAATTTTCAGATGTTTAGCTGGACAGGCAGTGAAAAGAAAGGAGATCAATCGACTAGAAAATACTCTATCGCAAAAGGAGAAAGAGCTCGATAGAGCGACAACTGTCGCGGAAACATGCCGTCAAGAAGCCGCACGCTTTGCAAAAAGAGTCAATGAACTCGAGATTGAACTCAAATCATTATTAACGGATCAAGCAGCAAAGGCAAATACTGAAATAAAAAAATTGTCCACCCATTTGAGTGAAGTGAGAAAACAATATGAAACATTAAAAGCGGAGAAATATGAGGTCGACATGAGATTAAATGAAGCATTAAAAGACAATGAGGAGATTATTTCGAAAATTCGTCAAGACACTTTAGCGCAATGCGAAAAAGAAGCTGTCGATGAATTCAATAAGGAATATCTCGAGATTCACGATAAAGCTGTAGAAAGAGTTCGACAGGAGGCACAATGTGAAATAGTGCAATTAACGTAAGATTTTTCACTTTGTTTCTTAACTTTTCTAATCTTTTTCTTTAAATGTTTTCAATTTTTTAATTAATTTAGCAAAATTCATTAAATTCTTGTAAAGATTCATCAAAAATTTTGAAAATAATTGAATTATTTTTTTATTGAATTTTTCTTTTTAAATGTTTTCAATTTTTAAATTAATTTAGTGAAATTCATTGAATTCTTGCAAAGATTTATCAAAAATTTTGAAAATAATTGAATTCTTTCGATAAATTTAATTAAAATTGTATTGAAAATAATTGAATTCCCGCAAAGAATTTTGTTATTCATAAAAATAATTGAATTTCATTGAAGAATTTTATTATTCAGCAAAATAATTGAATTCTTGCGAAGGATTTTATTAAAATTTTTAAAAATCCCAATTAAATTCTTTTAAAGAATTTCTTTGCATTTTTTTAAAATAATAGAGTTTCTTTAATAATTTTAATTGAAAATTTTGAAAGCAAATGAATTTTATGAAGAAGAATTTTATTAAAATTGCATTAAAAATAATTGAATTCCTGAGAAGAATTTTATTATTTATAAAAATAATTTCATTCTTGCAAAGAATTTTACTATTTATAAAAACAATTAAATTTATTCGAAATGTATTAAAAATTTCTTCTAAAATTTAATTCTTTCGAGGAATTCAACTAGGATTGTCTTGAAAATAATTGAATTCCTGCAAAGAGTTAAAACTCTTTTAATATTTATACAAATAATTGAATTGTTTCGAAGGATTTATGAAAATTTTAGAAAATAATTGAATTTTTTTGAAAAATTTTATAACGGATTAAGAAAAAAAATTTAATTCTTTCGCAAAATTTTATTGAAAGTAATTGAGTTTTTGCAAAAAATTTTACTATTTATAAAAATAATTGAATTCTTCCGAAGAATGTTATTATTTAAATAAAAATAATTGAATTATTGCGAAGAATTATATATTTAAATTTTTGTAAATATAAACAATAATTTGTTTTGTACTTAAAAAGAGAATTTTTTGAATTTTTATTATGAAATTATTTAAAAATTTATATTTGAAAATAAAAAACTTTGTAATTTGCATAACAATAAAACATGGAATACTATCTTCCGCGCTTAGCATTTGATAGTTTTTTAATAATTTATCATTTTAATTTAAAAAATTTATTTTATTTTACAAACTTCTGTATTTTGATTTTATTTTTTGATTTATTTTTTTTTTGCTCTGTTTTTTATTTATTTTTTGATTTATTGTGTTTTGTATTTATTTTGATTTATTGTGTTTCGTATTTATTTTTATTTATTCTTATTTATTGTGCGTTGTATTTATTTTTATTTATTGTGTTTTGTATTTTGTATTTATTTTGTGTTTTGTATTTATTTTGTATTTTGTTTCTTTTTCAGAGTGCAATTGGAACAGACGCAAAAGGAATTGGATCGAGTCAAAGAACTGTACATAGATGTTTGCGGAACAAAAGAGCAACTTATAGCGGATCATAAAAATGAAATAGAAAACCTCAGAGAGGAATATAGTTGTATAGAAACGCGAAAGCAAGAATTTGAAAAGACATTTAAGGATTTAGAGACACAGACAAAAGTTACCGAAAGATTGACAAAGGAATGTGAAAGCTTTAGAAACAGAGTTACCGAATTAGAAAAAGATTTAGCGTGCGAGAGAAAGAGGAGAGATGAGCACGTTAAAAAAATACACGTCGAAATTGAACGCGGTAATTTTTTAATTCTTAATATTCTCCTCGTAAAATTCAATTAAAATTGTATTTTTAAATAATTTCTTATTTTTCAGCAAAAGAAGAGGCATTAAAAGAATTACGAAATTCACATCCCGATCATCAGATAAGTCTCCTTCTTCCTGACTGTTCCGAACATTTGGATAAAATAACACAGGTTTGTAATTTTCCATTTTTTTCCGATAAAAAAAAAAAAATTTTACTGCAAAGAAAATTAATAAAATTTTATTATTCTAATTCAAATAGCTCGAAGATGATTGCAAGCGATTGGAGGAGAAATTATCAGCGGCAATGGAGGAGCAAAAGAGAATGACGGATTTACAGACAGAATTGGAGAATATAAGACTGAAGCTCGCCCAGGTGGAAATTTCACAGGAATCATGGAAACAAAAATACGAGAAGGCAGTGTCCGATCATAGTCAATATCGATCAAAAATATCAAAATTAGAAAATGCCTTGTCGAATTCGAGAAAAAATTCAACACTAGAAGATTCGAATGATAAAATGCTCACTAGTTTGTTACAAACGGAAAATGAAACATTAAAAACAAAATGCGAGAGTCTTGCCAGTGAAAAGAGTGTATGCAAGGAGAATATCACAAAATTAGAAATCGATCTCTCCGAGGCAAAGAAGACAATTTCAAATCTCGAGAGTAAATCGAGAAGAAGTAGCGAATTGAAAAAAGAATTATCAAGGTATAAAGACATAGTCGTTCGAAACGAAAAAACCGATTCCACAATTCTCGAAGAACGAATAAAATCTTTAGAGAAAAATTTAGAAATAAAAGAACAAAAATTACAGCGATTAAAAGACCTGGAGAAAATAAAAGAGGACAGAGATTATCTAATAGTAAAATTAAAGAATCAAGCTCAACAATTTGAGCAATTTATCAAAAATCAAAAGCAAGTATCGGCAGAATTAAATCTTTCGCCTCGTAGTTCAAACGATTATACGGACATACAGAAAATCAAGGAGATAACAACAAGGGAAGTGCGTGAAGAAATGGAACAACGCGTTGCCGAAGAATTGAAGGCAATTGAGAAGAAACAACGGCAAAGTCTCAAGGAAATTGAGGAGAAAAATCGACAGAAACAAAAAGAAATTGACGATAAATATAATCGTTTACTTCTCGATTTACGAATGAAACTTTGTGACAAGACAAAGGAAGCGGAACAATTACGTGAAATGATGCACGCGGAAAAAATGAAATTACACACATCATTTAAAGTGCAAGAGCAAAAAGTCACACAAATGATTGAGGCAAAACTCGAAAAGTTTAATCAAGAACTTTTATCGCGAAAATGGCAGATTCATGAATTACAGGAAAAATTGAAATCAAAGGAGAATGATGTTGAAGATGAGCGCAATACAATGGCGCAAGTTATGACTGAATGGGCTGCAGAAATACGTGAAATTAAAGCAAAGGAAGTTGAGGCTACAGAGGAATTGAAAAAAATCAAGGAACGTGATGATCGATTGATTGCAGAAATTAAGGAACTTAAAGAAAGGGAAAAAGAATTGCAAATGAGTGTTAAAAATTGGAATAAAAAATATCAGTCAGCTAAGGAAAGTGCAAATAATTATAAGGTATGTCGGAAAATTTTTGCAAATTTTCCATTTTCAATTCATTTCTACTTTGTTTTCTTTTTCTATATTTAACTTTTTAGGGATTATTTTTATCACTTTTTCGATTTTTTCTTTTTTAATCAGGGAATTCATCAAAAATACTGGAAAAAATATCGAATTTCTAGAATTGATAAAACAAATTCCGTTTTTAGTGAAATCTTTGAAAATATTCATATTTTTTTTCAATTTTTCAAAATATAAAATTGAATTCATTTTAAACAATTCAATTCTTGAAGAACTTTCAAAGAATTATTAATTATAAATTGTTCAGCGAATTTTATTTATTTAACTTTACTTAAAAATTCAAAAATAATTGAATTTCAGAAGTTACGTTCGCAATTTTTATAAATAATTTAATTTAAGCAGTTTTAAATTTTTAATATTTGTGGAAAAGTGATTTAAATAATTTTTCTTTTTAAATGTTTGGATTTTTAATATTAATGCAATTCTAATTTAATGTTTTGTAAATTAAATGATAACAAAAATTAATTCAACAAAATTGTTTTCTATTAAACATGATAATTTAATTTTGAATCTGAAATAGTTTAATTCTTGCATAGAATTTTATTGTAATTTTTGAAAAAACTAATTTTTAATAAAATCTAAAATCTGAAATAATTCAATTCTTGCAGAGAATTTTATTAAAAATTTTTTGAAATAATTGAATTGTTTCGAAAAATTTTAGAGAAATTTTGAAAAATGATTCAGTGCTTTAGAGAAATTTAATTATAATTGTATTAAAAATAATTCAATTATTACAAAGAATTAAAAAAAAGTTTTTTTTAATAATTTCAATTTTTGCGAGAAATTTTATTAAAATTATATTCAATTATATTCAAAATAATTACAAATGATCTGAAGAATATCATTAAATATTTATAGAAATAATTGAATTCTTTTGGAAAATTTTACACAAATTTCATTCAAAATGATTAAACTTCTACAAAGAATTTAATTATTTATAAAAATAATTGAATTTCTGCAAAGAATTTTATTATTTATGAAAATAATTGAATTCCATTCTAAGAATTTTATTATTTATAAAAATAATTAAAATTCTTATAAAGAATTTTTTTAAATTTCGAAAATAATTGAATTTCTTTGAAGAAGTTTATTATTTTCAAAAATAATTGAATTTCTGTAAAAAAAATTTGATTAATTATGAAAATAATTGACCTCCTGGCTAAGAATTTTATTTTTTGAAATTCTTTTAAGAATTTTACTTAAATTTTCGAAAATAATTGAATTCCTGGTAAAGAATTTTATTATTTGTGGAAGTAATTGACTTCTTTTGAAAAATTTTATTCAAATTTAATTCAAAATAATCAAATTGCTGCGAAGTATTTTATTATTTATGAAAATAATTGAATGTCTTTGAAGAATTTTATTATTTCCAAAAATAATTTAATTTCTGGCTAAGAATTTTATTATTTTCAAGAATAATTAAATTCTTTTGAGAAATTTTATTCAATTTTCATTCAAAATAATTAATTTTCTGTGAAGAATTTTATTATTTCAAAAATAATTCAATTTGTAAACAAAAAATTTTATTATTTTCAGTTTGTAAAAAATTCTTTTTTTCTTTCAATCCTTGTGAATTTCACTGAGAAGAATATTTTGGAAGACTTGCTTTCCCAATTTTTATAAATAATTGAATTTTAAAAGATTTGAAATTTTTGTAAATCTTATTTCCTGTAAAAAAATAATTTAAATATTTATTGAGAAAAAAATTATTCATGTTTCGAATAATTTTACAATTCAAGATATTGACAAATGTAATAGAAACATTTTCTTGTCTATCTAATTTTTTTTCAGTATGAATCAGAATATTTTTTAGTTTCATGAAAAAATTTAAAAAATTCTCTCTGGAAATTGATGAAAAAACAAAATTAAATTTATGTGTCAAATTTATTTTATTTTATGTGTCATTTTATGAGGAAAAAAATACTACAAAAACAGATAAAAATGTAAATTAAAATTACTAAAAAGAAATTTCATTTCCAGGAATATGCGTCGAAGAAGGAGAAATATTTTCACGACGAATGCAGACGTTTGGAGGAGGGCTACAATAAGGCAATGAAGGAAGTGGACCGAAAAGTCGAGGCAGAAGTGTCATTGCAGAAAGAGCAGGTAGCATTAAAAGTAAAAGAACTCGAGAGTCAATATGAGGAGGAGGTAGAAAAATTGCAACTTAAAATGAAGTACAAATATAAATGTTAAATAATGTATGAAAGAAGTGAAAGAAAAAAAAACTATTAGCATGCAATATAGCTTTTTTGTAGTTTAGGGTAAATTGTAGTTAGAAGAGGCTGTTGAGGCTAGTTACGTTATTAATTTAAAGCACTTCATTGTACAACACTTGAAATAGGCGGTTTTATTCTCAATGGGACCAGTGAGTCAAAAGATTAAAAAAAAAATTTTTTTTTAAAATACTTTCGATTTTACTCTGGCGAAAAAATAATAAGCTCTCTAATTTTGTAGATAATAAACAAACCAAGCAGTCATCACCGGTATTATCGAAAGTGAGATTTTAATGTACAAGTTTTTCTGTATAATATCCAATAGAAAAAACTCGGTGTTAATGTATAATTAGAAATTTATCTGAGGAAGAACTCTTGAAGTAATTTTTCTCAACGCGTTATTGTAGAAATTAAAGAATTTTTTTTTCTTTTTTTTTTTGAGAGAGAGTTGACGTGGCTATTTTTTTTGTATATATTATTTAAAAGAAAAATCAAAAAAATGTTTTAAATTATATACGAATTAGTTTAAAAATAGTATTTTCTATTTTCGCAGATTATTATTAATTAATGAATTAATTAATAATGAAAAGAACATTATTAACATTATGTTGCTCTCGATCTCTTTTTTTATTTTACATATACATAGTTTTACATGACATACCTAGAAATAATATTAAATACCATAAACACCAAGATTAATCTCCAATTTAATTAATCAGTAATTAAACATAACAAATACTACAAATACTCGAGTCATTTTTGTATTATTTTTTGTTAATTTAAAGATTTAAATAGAGCAGAAAATACTCATAATTGCTAAAATTATCTTTGAGATTTGAATTTAAATGTTTGTTCACTAAAAATGTGTATAAAAAAACGAAAAAGACTTACGACGATTTTAAGAAAAGTAAAGCAAGTACAAAATAGATTTTAGACTTTTAAAGAAGAAAAAAAAATGTTACCTCGAAAATAAAAGTTGAGAAAAAAAAAAAAATTATACAAAATTTATATTTTCGGAAGATGAAAAAAATTTTCGACATAAGAAATTTTAGCAAGGAGAAAAAGAAGAAATGTGTCTATATATTTTTTTCTATAAAATAAGGTAATACCAATAGTGAGTTACCCAAAATTAAAAGAAAAAAAACTGCCTAAATTTTTCCTTGTACAATGGACATTTGTAAATTTAAGAATTTTCAAAAGTCTTTGACAAGAAATTATTTAGTCTATTTCGAGTGTTTTTTAAATTGATTTTTAAAGAAAAAAAAAAGTTGTGCATAATTATGTAATATAGTCATTAATTAAGTTGCTATTAATTTCAGGTAAAATTTTATATTTCGAAAATTTTATCAAAATTTTATTTTTGTTACTTACACCTGAAGAAAGAGAGAGAGTTAATGAAATCTCTACGATTTTAATTACTCATCATTTATATGCCATAATTTATTTTAATTCTCCTTAAGTTTAGTTGTAAAGAATTTATTTTTTGTAATTTTAATTTTTACAAATTATTTTCTGGTAAAGACCCTATTTTTAAATTCATTTTTCTATTTCATTTTTCAATTTCATTTTTCAATGAAAAAAAGAGATTAATTTTAAAATAGTAACTCGCTATTGCTGCTTTCCTTAATTTATTTTGTTTTTTCGATTATTGAAAAAAGGATTTTTTTTCTGTAAATATTAGAACTTCAATACATTTCAGTCATTTAAAAACAAAGTATATTCCACGTTTTAATCTGTAATTTTATAGAGAACTTCCAATTCCAAGAAGATTTATATAGTATAGTAGATGTGACATATAGTATTAATTAATTCAATAACTGAATATTTTGATTCAACTCGTCGATTAATTGCAATAATTTTTTTTTTATAATTTAGAAAAAGTCTCTCTATGAACGAGTGATCAAAGTATTTAGAAAATTATTTCATGTACTCGAAAAAAAAAACAATTTTATGTAATTTGTACAAAGTATAATTCTATCGATAAGCTATACATATATAAATATATGAACATGTATATGCATTTTATTTTTACGTACAAAAAAAAATTGTACAAATGAGAAAAAAAGCTCTCTTATTATTGTACGCGTTTTGTTTCTATAATTTACATTATTAAAAAAAACTGTAAATTTTCGCAAAAAAAATTTTTATCTTCGAAAGTTTTAAAAATTAATTTTCAAATTAATTTTTAAATTTATTTTCAAATTTATTTTATTTAAAAAATTTTAATTTAATTTCGTGTTAAACATTTGAATTTAATTTTTATCATAAAACGAGAGTTTCTCATTATGATGAAAATGTATTTCGTTTCTTCAATTCTGAATATAGAAAATAAAAATAAAATATATATATGTTATCACAGAAAATGAAAAATTGTCGATTATCCTGTAAAAAAAAATTATGTGTTCACGTAAAAAAAAAAAATTCAAAGCAGGATGAATGAAAATTGTATAATATTTAAGATCTCTGACCGTTAAATTGTACTTTTAATTTATAGTGTATAAAGTCGTTTATATTATCGAATCTATCAAAAAAGGAATTCACTTCATTTAATGAAAGTATACATTTTAAATTTTACTTATTAGCAGTATTTCCCTAATGTATGTGTGACAGTAAAAATGGACTTAAAAATGAACAAAAAAAATTTATATTACAATATCACTGAGAATTTAAAAAAAAAAAGAAGCGTTATTTCATTTTTTGTATTTTAATTAATCATTTTCATTTTTTTTTTGTAAATTTAAAAAATCTTTTACTTTCAAATTTCTTTTTCATATCATTATTTTATTTTTACAGTAATAAAGCAATAAGATGGGAAATTTATCATATTTAGTATTGGAAAAACAAAAACAAATATTAATATTTATTAAAATAAATATTTCATTTATTAATATTTATTAAAATAAATATTTAATTAATTAATATTTATTAAAGTAAATATTTCACTTATTAATATTTATTAAAATAAATATTTTATTTATTAATATTTATTAATATAAATATTAAAGTATGACATCTTATTGCTTAATATAATTCTCTAGATACTATATCTATCGAAATAAAATCATCCCTTGATAGAGAGTATTATTATGTAATAATTAGTTAGTTGTATTTTTGTACGTAGATTAATTTATTTTTTTGTAATAAAGATTATCTTGCCGAAATAATTTACATTATTTTTTCCTTTATGTTTAACGACAGAATGAAAACTATTGCTTTAAAAATGCATTTTTTTTTTAAATAAAACAAACGAAATTTTTGTTTTTGGTGATTTTAATATTATACAATGTATTGGGTACTGTATTTATTTTTATCGTCCAAAAATATATATGTTATAATAATGGAAAAAATATATTGAATTGTAAATTGAATTTAAAGAGTTAAATATTATTATAAAATCCTTTTCAGTGTAAAAAAAATGTCTCAAGAGAATTTAATTTATTTTTCTTTGTTAAATATAAAAAAAAATTAAATCAAATTAGTTATTTAAATGAAGAAAATAGTAAAATTTATTATTTTTTTTTTCACAAAGTAAATACGGAAATTAACATTTTTCAAAATCTAATTTGCATTATGTTGATGTAATATACTTCAAAATATCTGGTCTAGGCAAATAGGCGCTTATTTTGTAATAAAATGACGTATTAAAGAAGTTGATTTGAAAATAAAAATATTGGATTTGAATTTTCTTTAGTAGGTATCTAAAAATAAACTCTTTTTTTTTATTTTCTTTGTTTCTTTTTAATGATTTTTTTAATTCTTATAAAGAAATGTAGAAAATGAAATTAATAAAAATATATAAAAATAAATATAATTTAATTTAACTATAAATTTATTATTAAATTATTTATAGATTTAATTTTTTCCCCTATCGGAAAAGGGGGAAGGAGAAAAAAATAATTAAAAAATTGTTTATGAAATTTAAATACAAAAAGTATGAAAAATAACTAAAAAATTGTTTTTGTCTTGAAAATATTAAAATTCGATTAAATTAATATTTTGATTAGAATTTCCATAATAAAATTATTCTATAATCTGTCGTCTATTAATCAAAAACAAAAATATAAATCTACGTCATTGGACCAGACCTGATTGAAGGATTCGGATGAAACAATGCCCTTGCATAACACGCATTCCCTAAAAGGCCGAATGACTTTCTCGAGTAAATCCCCATTGACTTGATGTTTTATTTTTATTTTTGTTTGTTTTTTTTTGTTTGTTATTTAAAACTTGTACATATCCATTTTTGGATGAGCTGTCGTTAAAGGTCATCTACATTTGAGAATGAGCTTAGTTTCAATAACGCATTCTGTTGAATCAACTTAATTGCATTCACTAGAATTTTACAATTTTTTTTTGTTTTTATTTTTTCCTACAGAATTTTAGAAAATCTAAAAAAAATTGATCTAATCTGATGGATTTAAAGAAATTACTTTGTTTATTAATATTTTTACTCGAACTTCGATTTCGAAACCGCAATTTTTAAGTAATCGAAAAAAAACAGTAAAAATAATAATTAAATTGAAAATAATAATTAGTTGAATTTAAATAAATAAAAATTCCTTTTATAAATTAAGAAACGGATTTTTAAATTTTTGCGAAATTTCACTTTATGTTGACATTTTCAATTTAAATACTAAACATCATTGACATTTGCCACTCTTTTCAAAAATAAGAAAATTTATTATATATAAAAAATAGTAAAATAAAATTCTATGTAACGAAATTGACATTTAACGTTTCCAAAAAGAAATTAATATTAATAAAGAATTAAGAAATAATACAATAGCCAAAAATTGAAATTCTAATGTAATTCTACAAATCGAAACTCTCATCTTTTTGATAGTTTGAAAACCAAATTGAAAAAAATACAAAAAAAATATACAAGAATAAAAAAATTAAACGAAAAATATTTTAATTATTGAAAAGATTTTTTTCTACTTTGTATATTTATAATCGATACAATATATTAGCATTCTTTTGACGTCATAAAAAAACTTGTCGCATTCCGATAAAAAAACTTTTTTTCTCCTATTTTTATAGATGTGTGTAAAAAAAATTTTTTTTGTGCGGTCGTTTCTCAAGCTAATTAATGAATACATTAAAATAAAAGTTTTGAGTTTATAAAATCAATGAATATTATAGTTTCTTCGAAGAGGAAAAAATTATTTGAAATAATAATGAATTTAGTTTTTTGGGGAAAAATTCTTTAGAAATAATTTTCAAATTTATTATTAATTATAATAAAATAATGTAAATTCTTTAACGGTGATATCAATATCAGAATTGATTGCAAAAGTCCTGTGCATTAAGGTCATCGTCGCTGATGTCATAAGCCCGAGAGACATATATTTAAATGAGCGAGTATGGCTAGATGATATATCTCTGATAAACACGAAAAATAAAATCAGATAAAATCACCGTTTCTCTCGCACACAAAAAAAAAATTCTGAAAATTTCAGAATTCTTCTTTTTTTGATTCTAGACACAAGGTGGACGACACACTGAGTATTTGAATAGCAAAAAGTAATTTGAATATTCAAAGGGGGAATATTAGTCAAAATAAATATTTGGTAAAAGAAAAGAAAACGAGAAGAGATGAATTAACACAAAAGTAAAAGATTTTTAAAAAATTAATCCTGTAACTAAACTGAATAGTAATTTACTATCCTGAATTATTCACTATGTTTAATTATTTTCAATCTTGAAGAAACTAATTCGAATTCATTAAAATTATCTTCAAAATAATTAACTTAAAAATGGAAAAGACGAAAGGACAACATCAGTGTAAATTTATTTGTTACATAATTACCAATTCTGTAATAAATTTAATAAATTTTACAGTCAAACTTTCGTTCTATTACGAAAATGAGTAAAATTTCCCAAAAGGGTAAAATTTGAGAAATGTTTCAAAAAAAGAATGAAATGTGGAAGAAAATTGTCAATAGGATTTGATTTTGAAAAAAAAGGAATCGAGACTGAACGCGATAGGATAAGAAGAACCTTACACTTGACCTTGCATCGAAAACTCCCTACTTGTCTATCTGACCTTGTTCGCCGAAGAGTTCTTCAGAGGTGAGAAAAAAAAATTAGAAATGCGATCATGAACAAGTAGAAGACAAACAGATATTCCCCTACTGTTTATTTTTTTTTTAAATCAAAGTAGGCGAATTCTACAATTTCCTGACTGATTAATCAAGGTTGTGCGTGGGTAATTTCCAAAGTAGGGAATCGAAGGCTTTATATAAAGAAAAAGGTGGGATTTTACTTCTCTCGCGTTGATTTTGCTTTCATCATCATCTCAGTTCGCTTTTGCAAACACATCAGTTTATTTCGACCCTCCACACTATTTAGTTCATCGTTTAAGGTAAACGAGGTAAATAAAAGAGAAGAAGCGACAGATCTAGAAAAAGAAGCAATTTAATGAATTTATGGATATTTAATAAAACAGGAATTAAATAATATTTAATAAGAAATATTTAATTTTTTAATATTTCCCCAAGAATATTGAGATTAATTAAAAAATTAAAAATTACAATATTCGCCTAAAAATTTACATACCTGTTGATTTAAAAAAAAAACGGTTTTGAGATTTTTAGAAGACAATTTTTCTTTAATTTTAATTTTTTCCCTTTAATTCAATTTTTAATTTCTATTTCAATCCAAAAGAAATAATTTCTTTCAATTTACAGTAGAAACAAACATTAATTCCTTTTTGAATTAAATCATCTGATTTAGAAAAAAGTTTTTAATTTGCTTCTCCAAAAATTCGATTTTTTGTAATAATCGAATAATAATTGAAAAGTATTAATTAAAAGAAAAGATTAAAATTTTAAAAATTGTGATTTTAATACAGAAAAAAAGAAAAATTAACATAAAATTCACGTGTGAATTGCAGAATTTAAAAGATGACAATCAAGCAGACAGCGGTTCTGCTGTTAGCAGTGTTGTTTTCTAGTTTAATTGAAAATGGTTTTGGAATAAGTCTAACAGGTGAGTGGAATTTTTCAGTTTCAATTTGTTTCAATTTTTTTCATTTTTCTTTAAAGCAATAAAAAATAAATATTCAGTTCTATTCTAATATTCATTCATTCATTAATATTCTATTATGTTGATTAATTCAATTTTTTTCTCAGTAAATTTGCAATATTGACCGTTATTTTCTCTATTCTTTTTCAATAGTTGAAAATAATTTTTCAAAATGACAAAATTTTTTGATATTTAATTATTTACACGAATTTAACTAAATAAATAATTTAGTATTTTAAATTTTAGAATTTAATTTTATTAATTATTAATTTAGTAAACTATTAAGTAAATTATTAATTAATTGATTTAATTTATTAAATTTTAGTATTTTAGTATTTAAAATTTGCAGTATAATTAAATAAATTTAATGACTATAATTGATTTTAATATAAAATTATTTTAACACAAAATTATTGTAATGAGAATTTAAAGATCTAAACATTCCAATGAACGAAATTTATTTTTTTTCTTCTTAAAATTAAATTTTTATTGCAATAAATTTGCGTCTTTATAAAAAAATTTATTACTAAGCTTTTAAAAGAAAATTAATTAATTAAAATAATTTTTATTGCAATCAGTTATTATTAATTAATTATCAGTAATTAATTATTAAGCTTTTAAATGGAAATTAGTTAATTTAATTCATTTTTATTGCAATCAGTAATTTCAAAATAAAAAATATTTCGTTCATTTGCACTTTCAAAATTTGATAATTATGAAGAAACAAATAAATTTTGTCCATTTGAACCTTCAGATATTTAGGATAAATAGTTAATAATATTAATATTATAATTAATTATTATGAGCCACGAATTTTTAACGTTCAAAGGAACAAAATATTTTTTCTAGAAATATTTTCAAAAATTACTGATTGCAATAAAAATTAAATTGATTTAATTAATAAAATAACTTAAATTAAACTTAAATTATTGCAATAGAAATTTAATTTGAAGAAGAAATAAATAAATTTGCAGTTCAATTTGAACTTTTAGAAAGACTGCAAAATTATTATGTAAAAGTCATTTACAACATGAAGTTATTTATAAAACTGCAAATTTAAATATTTCAAGTGTGTTAAAATGTAATTTGTTTTATTTATCAAAGAACTTGAAAATTAATATAGACGGATAATTATAAAATTTATGTAGGTGGATGTGATGCTCATAAATGCGGCTACAATGCAAAGTGCACATTAAGTGAAGGACGACCTGTATGTTCCTGCATTAATTTACACATGGGAGACCCATTGGTGCGATGTACAAAAGTTGAATGCTTAGGTATGTAAAATTTTTTGCCCAAAAGAATGCCAACAAATCTCCTTTGATTCTTTTTTCGATTTCAATTTCAATTTCAATTTCAATTCAAAATGTAAAAATTTTTTTCCTAAAAGAATGCCAATAAATCTCCAACAATTTTTTTCAGTTTCAATTCAAATTGTAAAATTCTCTCCCCAAAAAAATGCCAATAAATCTCCTTCGATTCTTTTTTCTTTTTTTCAATGTCTATTTCAATTTCAATGTAAAATTCTCTCCCAAAAAAAATGACAATTTTCCTTCGATTCTTTTTTCGGTTTCTGTTTCAATTTCAATTCAAAATTAAAAAGATTACAAATTTAAATATATTTTTTAAATATGTATTCTAAATATATATATAATTATATATATTTAGATTTAATTTAGAATATATTTAATATATTCAATATATTCACAAATATATTTAATAGATTCAAAAATATATTTAATATATTCAAAAGTATATTTTGAATATTTCTTTTAATTGTTTTGAAATATTTGTGTTTCAGTGAACGAGGATTGTTCATCGAACAGAGCTTGCATTAATAATCGTTGTGTTGATGCTTGCGCCGGTACTTGTGCAACAAATGCATTATGTGAAACAAGAAATCACGTACCCGTTTGTTATTGTCCACCAGGATATGCCGGCGATCCATTCACGCGCTGCGAACTCGAAGATCCATGCAAAAAATCCCCGTGCGGTGTAAATACAAAATGTGAAGTTATTAACACTGTGCCAACTTGCTCCTGTTTACCTGGCTACATTGGCCAGCCATTGAGTGGTTGTCGTCATGAATGCGAAAGTGACAATGAATGTCCTCAAAATAAAGCTTGCTCAGCATCATTCCGTTGCGAAAATCCATGCAAGTGCGGCGATAATGCAAACTGCGAGGTCGTCAATCATCAGGCAAAATGCACCTGTCCACCTGTAAGTTATTTCTTTTAATACAATCACATCATCAAAAATCAGATTATAAAATTAATAATTTTAATTATAAACAAAATAAAAAAATATTAAAGAAAAAAATATAAATTATTAACAAAATTATAAAATTTCTTTTCATTTAAATATTTTTTTATTTATATAAATAATAAAAAGATTTAAATGAAAACAAATTCGAGTTTAGACTCGAATAAATTAATTTTATTAATAATAAATTAAAATATTGCCGAGTCATAGTTTCAATTAATTCCTAATTTTCATAAATTAAACCTTACGAATTAATTTAAGGTCCCTTCTCTCGTGGAGCGTCACAATTATGTAAATTCAAAATTAATTAATTTTACTATTAACTGAAAATTCATAAAAATTGATTAAATTTACCAAAATTCGTATAAATTAATTTTCTTTTCACAAATTCGAATAAAATGATTTTACTATTTAAAAAAATTATTAATTATTAATGATTAATGATTAATTATTAATAAATTGATTTTATTTATATAAACTGGAAAATTTGCAGTATAAAAAAATATAAATTCAATTATCAATTCTTTATAAACTGGAGTAAATTGATTTTATCAATAAAAAAAAAATTTGTAGGAATTTAAATAAACGTGATGGTAAAATAATTAATAGAAAAGAATTATGAGACCTTTAGTATTATTTTTGATTTTCAGAATTGGCAAGGAAATCCTTATATCTCGTGCCGAGCGGAATGCACATATGATTCAGATTGTTCCAGAGGCAAACCAGTTTGCTATTACTCAAAATGCGTAAATCCTTGTGAGGGTGCTTGTGGTGTTAATGCCAATTGTGAATTGCGAGGTACAACCCCAGTTTGTAGTTGCCCCAAGGATATGACGGGAGATCCATTTACAGCTTGCAGACCATTCACACCAGGTAATAATTTTCCTAGAGAAAAATAATTTCATATTAAATATTAATTGTGAATATTAAATTTTAATTATTGTTAAATATTAACACTATAAAAACTTATAAATTCTATTAGAAAATTCTACGAGAATTCAATTATTTAAATCCAAAAATAAATAATTTATTGAATAATTGAATGTTTCTTAAAGTTGAATTCTCATAAATAATGTTATTAACAAATTTTTAAATAATTGAATTCTTTTGACGAATTTTAATAAAATTTTTATTATATATAATATATATAAAGATAATTGAATTTTTGACGAGAATTTTATTACTTTTGAAAATAATTGAATTTCTCCAATTATTTGTAATTTCTCCAAAATTCAATTTTTTAAAGTATTTTTATTTAAAATTCGTCTATAAATCCATTATTTTAAATAATTAATTAAATATATATTAAAAAATTGAACAAAATTACAAAAGAATTTTAATTATTAAAATTTTTCATAAATCTAAGTTGTTAAATTTAATTAAATTTAAAAACTAAAATTTTCTAAAATTTCAAATTAAAACGTTTTGAAGATCATCTACTTATGAAAATTGTAAACGCAACTCTTTTCAAATTCAATTAATTTTGAAATATTATTTAAGTAAAATTATTCATTAAAGAATAAATAATTTGTAAGTAATAATTTTATGATAGTTCTTCAAGAATTAAATTATTTCATAATTTAAAAATAAATTATTATGAGAAATAGAAAAAATTGAAGGTTTTTTTTATAAGAATTCGTGGTAATTTCATATAATTTATGAGGCAAACAAAAAAGACACCAAAATTCAGAATTTTCTTATGAATTCTATTTCAAGGATTTTTATTAAAAGTACTGGAAAAAATTAAATAATTTTTTCCAGTACTTATAATAAAAATCCTTGAGTTCCCTGATCTGTAGCAATCCTTATTATAATTGAAATTTCAAATAATTTCAATGTTTCAGCCTCATTGGCTGAAGTTAGCAACGTTTTTAAAAACGAAAACAAAAAATAATGCAACAATTTATTTTCTTTTGGCTTCAAATTCATGTTATTTTTTTAGCAATTGCCTTTTAAGTAACAATTTTATTAAGCAAAAAATTTTTCAAAAATTTGCGAACAAGAAAATAAGAGATAAATTTAACTTAAAATAAAATTCCTTTTCCATTATTCGTTTTTAAAAAACGTTAGCGGACTTCAGCCTCATTCAATGTAAAATCTTTTGAAATTAAGCAAAAAATTTCTCAAAAATTTGCAAACAAGAAAATAAGAGATAAATTTAACTTAAAATAAAATTCCTTTTCCATTATTCGTTTTTAAAAACGTTAGCGGACTTCAGCCTCATTCAATGTAAAATCTTTTGAAATTGTTAAATATGAATAAAATATTTACCGTTAAATTTGTTTTTATATTTAAATTAAAATTGAATTTAATAGAGGATCTCTGTGAACCAAATCCTTGCGGTGTGAACGCAAAATGTACACCTGGACACGATAATACCGGAAAGGAGAGACCAGTGTGCACTTGCCCTCAGGGATATATTGGTAACGCTCTCACAAGTTGTCAACGAGGTGAATGCTTCACGGATAATGAATGTCCAATTAATCGAGCTTGCATTGACTATTCTTGTCAAAATCCTTGCCGAGGTCATGAATGCGCATCGTCAGCTATCTGCGAACCAAGAAATCACATTGCTGTCTGTACCTGTCCCGATGGAACTCGAGGCGATGCCGTTGTTACCTGCAATCCAATTGTTGGCACTCGATCCAGAAATTACAGATTAGGATAAATTTTCCGATTATTTTTCATTAACGTGTGTGTTTTTGTTTGTGCCTTTCGATAATTCCTGCAAAAAAAAATTTATCAACTTTTGTTCCTAACAGTTTAATAATAATAGGATCATTGTTTTCTAGAAGAAAATATTCTCGCCTTAACGTATTTATCGATATTACACTTATTAGTTAGGTTGTTATTTATATACAAGAAGATTAAATAGATTCTATAAAAACGTATAAAACGAAAAATGACAGATGATAGAATGTAAATTATATTTTAGAGTTTAATTGTGTGAAAGATAATTCTGCGAATGTATACTTTTGGAGATATTTACAATCTTTACTTTCATTTATACTTAATATCAACTCGTTAGATTTGTACAAAGTGAATAAATCAATTAGTTTCTTCTTTATATTGAATAAAAAGTATAATAGTCACAAAAGTTTATTTATATTATTGTTGAACTTACCTCGTTTTGTAAACTCCTACTTCTCCAGTGTAATTAGTTTTATGAATTGTTTTCAGCATGTTTACAAAATAATGTCAAAAAAATGCAGCGAAACAATAAAATTTGCTTAACTTTGAAACAATACCTACTAAATTTCTTTTCTTTTCTTTAAATAAATAATATTAACAATTGACAGTTGACAGTGATTTATAGGTTAGGATCCTTCGAACAGACGGAACAGACTTTTCAAACTTTAAAACAACTTCAGAACGTTCGTCAATTTGGACCAATAAACGTTGAGCATTTAAAACTAGTAGAAAAAAAGTAACTAGATCTAAGGGTTGGTATCCCTAGCGATTATTTGCTGCCGTCCCGCGCACATTTAAAAATTACCAATTAACACAACTAACACGGATTATTATTAACTATTAATGATTAACAAGATTAAAATAATTGAAAATATAACTATTATTTTCCTATCGAAATAGTAAATAAGGTAATTTTTTAATCAATTTATTAATTAAATTGATTTTTAATTAGTTAAAATTTAAAAAAAATTCATTAAATCAATTTTTCCACGAGTTGGAAATTCGATCTTTTTTGAATTTGTTGGAGATTCAGTATAAATTAAAACAAAAGGAGGTAATTAATTAAATTATTAACGCAAATTATATATTTAAATTCAAATTACTTTATTCATAAAAATACGAATCCGACTTGCGTTTCAATTTCTACTCAATAACAATTTTTTTTTAAGTTAAATACTATATGGAAAATGGTTTCGAATATAGAATATATTGGTCACAGCAAGGAGAAAATAATAATAAAAAAAATCATTAAATAATTGAACGAACATAATTTTTGCGCTCTTACATTCAATATACATTACACGAAGCTTATCGTCATCAATTTTTCCTCCCCTCAATTCTTATCCTTATAATCAATAATACCACAAATCTTAAATTTTATCGCGAATTGAGTATAAAAAGTCCTTTTCAAATGAATCATAATATTGTTTACATTATTGTTTTTAAGAACCTCTACTTCTTATTATATATACATTAGATTGTAGTTGGAAAAAAATTCTTTTAAATAAACTCGTATTTTTTATTATCTCAAGTTTAGCATCACTTGATGAAATATCTCTTACATTCCAATTTTTCCTTCAATAACTAATACTGAAGAGGATAAATTTTTAACTATTAAGGCAGTATGGTAATATGGCTTCATTTTTTTTCACAATCAAATTTCGACTTTTCGCAAATTTTCATTTTGTCCGTGCCAAAAAAAAGACTATATTTGAAATTTCAATTTCGTTGTTATTCTTGAGCAATCAAATTTTAATTATTAATTATTAATTTTTAATTGACGATTTTATAGTTGAATGGAAAAATTTTAAGTAAAAATTGAAAAATTTGTAAAGAACTTATTTTTTAATTAAATTTTCCAACAGGATATTTTTTTATTTAAATTAAATTATTTTTTATGTACACATTTTTTCAATTAGATATATTTTTTTTGGCATGGACCTCACTTTTTTATCTCTCACAAGATATGTGCGTGTTTATCCTTTAAATTATAAAATTACTGAATGAAACGTAACAATAATTTTTAGAAAATACAATTGAATCTAATTGGAAATATAGTTAAAAATTTTCTTTATATAATATATTTATATATAAATTTCTAACAATCTAGAACGTGATTGCAATAATGGTCGTTAATTTTTCTATTAAAAACTATTTGGCATGAATTTAAAGACAGAGATCCTCTTTTCATTATTTAATCACAATTAATACTATTAAGTACCAAGTACTTAATCATCGAAAAAAGGAAACTTTTTATTTAAGCCCAATTCTGAATTATTATGACGATTTTTCGGACCTTTCTAAACCATATTCATCTAAAGATTTAACTATCAAATTAAATAGAAAAATAAAGATAATATTTCCATTTTTTTTCGTAGAATTGAATAAGAAATAATTCGCAAGTTTTTTAAATAAATTCTTAACAATCATAATAATTTAAAGATTAAATAGAAAAAAAAGAAAATAATTCAAGTAACGTTCACATGAAATCTGGAAAATTCTACGGATTGCAAATTATTTTAAAAACTAATAAGGTACACAGCCTTAAGACCCATTTTTTTAAAGTTCATCTCAACGTAAGGTACAAAAAAAATCCTTTTTTTTCAATTAAAAAAATGAGCTTCAGTCGTTAATGTCTTGATTGATATTGAGAATTGCTGATTCGAATTGTTCTAACAATTCAATTTTATCGGACGACACCGAATCAATGATGATTGTTTCCTTGATTTCTAAATTCGAAACGTTACTTTGATCATAATTATTAATTCTCTCGACTGGATTATTGCCCTCGTCGATTATTAATGGTCTAGAATTGTCACTAAATAAGTCTTGATTCTCACTGTCAGCCTTTTCATCAGATATTGAAATATCTTCATTAAGAATTTCAATTGAGTCATCCTGTTCGATGCAGGATTGTTTTGAAGCACTCTTTTTCAAATCACCAATTTCATTGCTTGTGTGCTTACGTTCGGCAATAATAAAATCTAATGTCCCTTTTATTAAAGCGTACAAATTTTGCAAATTATCATCTGATACCTGATCTGATTGTTGTTCTATTAAAGAATTTGATATTATTTCCTCATTCTTTTCAATTTTATCAGTCTCTTTTTTGGATTCTTGGGGAGATTCACTTTCATGATCATTATTATCATTAACGTTATCAACAATTTCTTCATCGTCGTCATCATCATCATCATCATCATCATCGTCGAGAGTGACTTCCATCACAGATTGAATCACATTTTTTTTATCATTCACATCGGATATTGTATTATTCATCCTTGTCTCAATTATTTGCGAATTTGATTTTATTTTTCTTTCATACGTCTTTGTATTGTTGAGCTTTTCATTTAATTCAATGGGATTTAATTTTTTTTTATTTTCAGTGAAATCTAAATTTAACTTTGTTCTAGATGGCGCTGATATATGCGCTTCTTCCAATTTCACGTGTTCGATATTATTTGCGGGCTCGTCTGCTCGGTCATAAAATTTTGTGTTTTGGATTTGAGAATATTGCCAAAAGTTTGCGTGGTCTGTTCGATTTGTTGTGTCTCTTTGTGATTCACTTGAACCACTGGCGATGATATTGGACTTGTTATTGACTGGAAAAAAAGGAAATGCATTTGTTTTTTACAAATCCTTATATTAGCATTTGAAAAGGAAAAAAATTGTTTAAAAACAATTATTGATAAAAGGGATAAAAGTTTCAAATTGAATCAATTTAATGAAAACTTAAGAAATTAATAAAAACTTAGGAAAATTTAATAATTTATTATAAATTTATTATCAAATTTAGTAGTAAAATAATAATTTTACTGAATCAGGGTTGCCAGAAAAAATTTATTCCGCTTTTCCCTGATTTCTAGACTTTAATGCTTAAAAGCAAATATCTGATTTAAAACTTTAAAACTGTCTACCTATTTTAAAAATAAAATTAATGATGTTAATTTCTTTCGATTATTATCAAAAAATTTGAATAAAATTCTTTGACAATTCAATTATTTTACATAAAAATTTAGAAAATTTCAATTATTTAAAAAAAAGAATTAAAATATTTTAAAAGACTAATTTTTCAGATTATTTTCAAAAATTTCAAAAGAATTAATTGAGAATTCAATTATTTTAAATAAAAATTTTGAAAATTTCAATTATTTCAAAAATTTTCAATTACTTATTGATAAACAGTCAATTATCTTAAATAATAGAATTAAAATATTTTAAAAGACTAATTTTTCAGATTATTTTCAAAAATTTCAAAAGAATTAATTGAAAATTCAATTATTTTAAATAAAAATTTTGAAAATTTCAATTATTTCCAAAATTTTCAATTACTTATTGATAAACAGTCAATTATCTTAAATAATAGAATTAAAATATTTTAAAAGACTAATTTTTCAGATTATTTTGAAAAATTTCAATAAAATTCTTTGAAAATTCAATTATTTTGAATAAAAGTTTTCAAAATTTCAATTATTTCCAAAATTTTCAATTACTTATTGATAAACATTCAATTATTTTTGAGAAAATAGAATTGAAATATTTAGAAGACTAATTTTTTAGAATTTCAAATAAAACTATTCAAAAATTTAATAATTTTTTAAAAAGATTTTAAATTTAAATACTTTAAAATTAACTAATTTCTAAAATTTTTAATTGTAATTCTTTTGAAATTGATAAAGAATTTAAGATGAGAATTGGATCTTTCGATGCTGCTTTTACAGTAACAATCTTATGAATAATTTCAATTATGATTCTTTGTAAAATTCAATTATTTACTAATTATTAGATTAAAATTTCTTGAAAACTTAATTTTTTTAAAAATCTGTAATGAAATTCTCTAACACATTAAAAAACTATTTGCATTTCAATGTCAGAAAATTTCTATTAGTTTAATAATTTTTTAATAAAATTGAAAAAAAAACTAAATTGAAATTTCGTAGAGATTTAATTTTTTCAGAATTTTAATTAAAAAATTATTTAAAACTGAAAATTTTTTGATATTTATTTATTTGTGAAAATTGCAACTAGTTTTTACTAAAATCTTTTGTAAATTCGATAATTTTTTAATAAAATTTTTTTAAAAATTTAAGTATTAAGAAAATTGAATTAAAATTTCTCCGAAATCTCATTTTTTCAGAATTCCAATTTAAATTATTTGAAACATCAAATTTTGTTTTAAAAGCTCCCGTTATTCAATTATTTGTAAAAATTACAATTAAAATTAACTAGTCTTTTCTAAATTAATTAAAATTAAATAACTTTAAAAACTTTACTCTAGAATTTTATTTTTTTATAATAAAAAAAATAATTTTCAATTCTATTTCCCTAAAATCTCTATTAATTTAATAATTTTTTATTAACATTTTTTCAAAAATTCAAGTAACTTAAAAATAATTGAATAAAAATTTCTCAAAAATCTAATTTTTTTTTAAAGAATTTTAAAGAAAAAAATTATTTAAAACTTAAAATTTTGTTCTAAAATCTTCTGATATTCAATTATTTCTGAAACTGTAATTATTAACTTAAAATAGCAATTTTTGAAAAATTTTATTATAAAACCTGAAATTAAATTTTTTGTTGAAATTATAATTTTTATAGAAAATCTTTTTTCAGTTAATTGTAATTATAAATTTCCGAAATTCTATATTCTAGAATTTTATTATTTAAAATAAATTTAATTATTCTCAAAATTTCTAATTTTTAAAACCTTCTGCAATTCAATTATTTCTGAAAATAGAATTTTTAACTACGATATTTTCTAAATTAATTATAATTCATCACGTATTTAAAAACTGATTCGAGAATTTAATTATTTATTTGTATTATTAATTTATTTCAATAATTTAATTTAATATAGTTTATTTTAAATTTATTTAAAATAAATTAAATTGTTTACAGAAAGAAGAAAAAATCAAGGAACTGTTTTAAATTTCATAAATTTTCCAGGTGAAAAATTTCTTTAAACACCAAAAACCCGAATTTTTGTGGTTATTCTAGAAATTTGATATTTTTCCTAAAATTCCGGACATTATACTGATCAATTTTATTTTCTCCGCCTTTTCCCCAATTTTCCCGACCCTTGGCAACCCTGTGAATAATTAAAATTTCTCGAACTTATTTATCTCAAGTACAGTTATTATTTTTTTTTCCTTTTCGATTAAATAAACATCAACTCACCTGAGAACAATGGGTTGAGTAAGTTACCGAATCCTGATACGTTTTTGTCGTGTGAATTGTCTTCGTCGGACGATGAACTATCGAGTCCATGTTGTCTGTTGTTGGACACATAGATTCTATTGAGACCGGGTAAACTTCGAGTGTTGTTTGATTTTCTACTGGAAGAAGCGTTACTTGATTCTGTTCGACGACCGCCGCCGACGGCTTTATTGCTGCTGATGATGGAATTTGATGATTGGGTGAGTGGCATTTCGGGCTGACCGTGTGTTGTACTGTAGCCACATGGGCTTGACAATTGATAATTAAGGATTGGGTTGTTTTGATTTCCAATTTTTCCATTGTTTTTTCTTCTTCCTCCTCCTCCTCTGGCTCCTCCTCCTCCATTGTAATTCGTTGGTTCGGGGATTTTTTTAACGACGTAGTATGATTGCTGTTGATCGGAATTGGATGATGTTGATGATTCTTGATGGGTGGAATAATTTGGCAAATCGAATTTGTTTTTGTTATTGATGAAGGTGATGTTTCCCGAGTGGGTGAATTGATCGATGAATCGGATTTCTGATGTGTCGGTTCGATTGATTTGTGTGGGATTATTAATTGTTGGGTGATTGGTGAGGGACATTGCACTTGTGGAGATGGGGATGAGATAGGTGGACGATGGCAACTGGTTGATTCCAAAATTTGTGGGCACGACGTTTCTTTTTGTAGTTGCATCAATTTTATGAAATCCACGAGTCGTTTTATTGACTTTTGGGTCTTCTCCTGTTTTCCTAATACCTCTTGTCGTGTACGCCGCTGTAGCTGTGAAAAAAAATTGCAAATAAATACTTGAAAATAAATTCAACATAATTTTTGTTCAGACTTCAATTTTCTCGATTGAAGAACATCAGAATTGTCAACTTTTTTTTTTGAGTAAAATTTAAATCAAGTCTCCAATTCTTCTGCATAGAAATAATAAGTATCAAGCAAAAATATTTCTACCAAATTGCACTCACAATGAAAAATTAAATAAAAATTCAAAATGACAAAAAAATATTAAATTACTCGACCTACATCCATTTCTTATGTTGTATCTCGCTAAGAATATATTTTAGTCTCAGTCTCAGAGATGAATTTAAGTCAAGTTGAACAAGTGACTGGGAAACTCTTCTAAGATTTAGAAATAGGATATAAGATATAATACAAATACTAAAATAAATTATAACCGAACGAACGAAAGCAAAAGCGTGGAACTTGCAGGTTTTCTTGTGTATACAATAGAAACATAAAGCACGGCAACAATTAATGGAAATTCTTTTTTTTTCTCTAAAAAAAAGACAGTTAAAAAAAACGAAACAATAGCATTCCAAATAAAAATTGAACATTTTAATTTGAATTCTTGCAAATTCTATTTTATACGCAGGTCGCAAAACGAACCTGAAGAGATTGGCTGAGTAGCTGAGATCGTTTTTCCAATTCATAAACCTGCAATCTCAGTTCCGAGTTTCGCTCGCGCAGCTCATATCTTTCTCTCTCTTTTTCCTCTGTAAGATATTTCGCGCTTCATTACGTCGCTATTACCACGCGCGAAAGACAAAAAAAGTTCTCTGTCATATGACACATTCAATGAAATCTCTTTTAAACAATTTTTCTAATTAAAAAAATTTAAATTTTATCTCCCCTGGATATTCACAGAATTAACTAAATTTTGATAATTATTAATTCAATTGTAATAATAAAATGAACTGAAGTAAATTAATTACAATGAATTGAACTGTAACAATTAAATGAATAATAATAAATTTATTATTTTAATAATTATTGAAATTTAAATATTGTAATAATGAGCAAAATTAGTTAAATCGTAAAGCAATAAAGTAAATTATAACAATAAATATTTAAGCTTCAAGAAAATGAAAGAACTTTTTCATCAGTCGCTCATTAGAGAACAACTACTCTATAGGAAAAAAATATTGGAAAATATAGAAAATAAATATGAATAATTACCTAATTCATTTTCCTTCTTGCAAATTACTCCGGTAAATGTCGGACTGTCTTTTAAATTGAGCGCACACGCGGGACAAATTTTCGGAGGTGGTGGTGAAACTGTGTGACATGAAATGTGATACTTCGATGAGCATTGTTGACATATTGTCAAAGTTCCTGCAAAAAAAAAAGAACGAGAAAATTATTTTTCTTTTTCAAAATAATTATCGAATTCTACTAATTATTTTTGGCAATTTTTAAGTGAATTTCCACTTAAAAAGTCTTTTGACATTTAATAAAAGGGGACTCTTAATAATAAATTCTCTTGTCAAATAAAAGACCTCGGATTGACTTTAAGGTGCAAAAAAAATCATTGAAAATAATTGAATTTTTAAAATAAATTTTAGGGTAATTTAAAAAACTAATCAATTTATTCGTTGAATTTTAAATTAAAAACTATTTGTAATAAATATTTTTTTCAAAATTTTAATAATTTACAAAAAAATGTAATCTTTCGAACATTTTTAATAGAATTATTTAATTATTGGAATTTTCGGAAACTTTTTTAAAAAATATTTCAAATATAATTTTTGAATGTAAATTTTCATTAATTTCCATTTTCAAATTTTCTTTTGAAAATTCGTCATTAAAATTCATGAGAATTTAATTATTTTTCAAAATCTGCAATTCAAACTCTCAAAAATTTGATTTTAAAACATTTTAATAAAAAGATTTTAAGAATTACTTTTTTAAAAAATATTTCAAATATACTTTTTGAAAGTTAATTTTCATTAATTTTCATTTTCAATTTTTTCTTTGAAGATTGGTCATTTAAATTCATGAGAATTTAATTATTTTTCAAAATCTGCAATTCATACTCTCAAAAATTTGATTTTAAATAATTTGAATGAAAAGATTTTAAGAATTACTTTTTTAAAAATTATTTCAAATATAATTTGTTGAAAGTTAATTTAAATTTAAATTTCATTAACTTTAATTTTCAAATTTTTCTTTGAAGATTTTTTATTTTAATTCTTGAAAATTCAATTATTTTACAAAAATCTGCTATAAAAATTCTCATATATTTGATTGTAAAAAATTTTAATGAAACACTAAAAAAATTCAATTTTTTTCCATAAAATTTTACAAAATTTCAATTATTTAAAAACTTTTTAATTATATATTTCGCAAATTTTATTATCTGGAAAAAAAATTATAGAAACTTTAGAGAAATATTCCAAAATTATTTTTCACTCTACAAAAATCAAAATAAGTTGCATTTTATACCCAAAAAAAAAATCGTATTTTATTTCAAATATTTGAAACACGAGTCGAAAATGGCAAATTTTTTGAAAATAAGTAAAAAAAAATCGCCTTTGCTTGAAAATAGTTTGTAAAAATCCAGTCATATTATCCGAGGCCTGAAATCATCTCTTATTCAACAAGAATGTATTCCTTCTTTTTCTAATTATTACTATTTTTTGTATAAAAAAGAATTTCAATTAAATAACTATAAATTCTAATTTATATCTACTTTAAATAATCCTCAGAGTTAACGTAAAACATTCATTGATTATTTTTTTATTTCTATTTACCTGGATTTCGGCAACTTATACAAATTGCCGAATCAGCTTCAATTCTCTCAATCGTTAAACTCGACGGTAATCCCGGAATATGAACGACTTTACTGCCAAGTGTTTTATTATTTTGCGATTGAGCATTATTTTCATTTCCATTTTTCGTCACAGTTTTATTTTCCACTCCATTTCTCAATATATTTGGTTTCGCATTAACTTTCTGCGTTGAGATCAATATCTTTGATGATGAAGAATTTTTCGTGGACGGTGGTAATGATTTATTGGCTAATATTTTTCCCGACTGTTGTGGCGTTGGTGACGGTCCAATTGACCTAGCAGCACTTTGTCGTGTTTGCGGCGCTTTCCCCGCCGATTGCAAGTACGAATACCTCTTTCGTTTCTGAAAAATTTATTGAAAATTGAATCTTTTTTTTTTACGGTAAAATTGAATTATTTTCTAATATTAAGATTAAGATTCGAAAAACATTGAAACTATTGTCAAATTATTGATTGTAATAAAAAGTTAAATTTAACATTTAGAAATTTTCTAATTACTTTTGATAGATGTGTAAAATTCTTTTAACTTTCGTTCAATTTGAATATTTGGATTTTTAGGAATATTAAAAATGATAGTTTTTGGAAATTTGTCGCCGAGTTTTAATTAGTTGAAATAAATATAGACTTTTTGGGAGTTTATAAGAGAAACGTGTAAAGTTTATAAATGAAACATGTTAATTGGGGAAGAAAATGAGTTTTAGTTTCTCGAAGCTTATTAAAAGCTGTATTTTTGCAAACAAAGTGAAAACGAAGGGATTTGAGTGGAAAAACGTTGCATCAGTGAAAACGCGGCTTTTCTGCAATATTCGAGAGCTATTATTTCTTCACAAAGCCTTGGATATATATTCATTACCGTCGACAGTTCCCAATTGGAATACACAAATTGATGATTCGCAGTCCTTCTGCGCTTCCTTTCCGCTTTTCTGCTCTGCAACTCAATACTCATTGTCGTGGTAATGAGACCAAGAGTTCCAAGGAAGGAAACCTGCATCGAAGATTCAATGCCGCATTCCTCCTCCATATCCTGTTTCTCGTTTGAATTTTCATCCGCTGAAATTTCAACGACATCGTCCTCATAGGAAATCGATTCCACAGAATTCGAACGTTCGCGGCTAGAAAAAAAAAGAAATAAAACCAAAATATAAATTTTCCCATTTATTATTTAATTGAAAATAATTTTGTCAATTAATTTTTACTTTGAGCAATCATTTTCCTGGGATGGTGACGAATCATCATTTCTAATTTCTTCCTCATAATCCTCCTTCTTTATAATTCCACCTAAAATATTGATATTTTTGTGATCCTTCGAATCAGTTGATTCTCCATTTCTCGCATTGTTGTTGATGATATGATTATTATTATTCAATCCCAAAAGCGATGCCACAGAAACTTTCGACCCATTTGCGCTCTCCGCCTTTAAAGTCTCGACTTCCGTGCGCAGCCGTTGGACCACTTGCTTCTGCGTACAGAAAATTGAAAACTATTTCACTCATCAGAACATTACAAAAGTTTTCTCGTATATAAACCCAAGAGGATTTTCGAGTTCGAAATTTTCCTCATATAATGAGAGAGAGAAAGATCATATTTAATGTACTTTTAAATCCAATTTGTTGCAACATTATGTTGTACACTCTCTAAAGAAAAACAAAAAAGAAATTTTAATTTCGATTTTGTTCCTTTTTTGTTCAAACAAAAATTAGAAGCAAAAATTATTCAAAGTTCATTGAACTACATATTGAAAACTCGGGGAAAAAAATCGTAAATTCAATTTGAAAGTGAGGGGAGAAAATCGATAATTAAGAATGACATAAAGAATCTGTTGAAAATTCTCAACTTCCAAGGTTGTTAAAAGTTTCTCGAAGTGAAACTTGGGATTAAAAAGTTTTCCCTCTTTTAATGGGTGCGAAAAAGTCTAAACCGAATATATAGACCTTTTTTTTATTTATGAAATTTTATAATTTTCAAAATAATTTTTAATTCTTCGACAGTGAAAATTCCATTAGAAATTCTTCTATTTTTTACTAAAAAGAAAAAATAATTATCGTAATTAATTCTATAATATAATAAGAAAATACTACAAATAAATAAAATAGAAAATTGATAACAAAATAGCTCACAATTTTAAAATCTACCGAGAAATGTTTATTTACAAAAATTGTTTATAGGAAAAAATAAATAAATTATTTTCAAGAAATTTTTTCACAAAGGCCACTTGAAAATGTATTGTTTCATAAATAAATATTTCATAAAACTATAAACAAAACGTGTTTACTTAATTTTCTTTTCAATCGAAAAAAAAAATGTGAAAATTATTGTAATTGATAAAAGTTTAGGGGAAATGAAAATTTATTAATAACAGGAAATAAAGTAATTTTCAAGAGTCTGAAAATGTTTCCGCGGGGATATTTTATTGATTGAACCTCCTCTTCTCCCGGACTTACTCCCTCTTTTCATCCCTCCCATTCATCTCTGTTTCCCCTTTCGTTCTATCCAGCTAGCCCGCCGCGAGACTCTCCGCGTTCCGGAGGAGCAAAAGATACATTCAAGAAGCAATAGACGCATGTCCATCAGATGAAAATATTTTTTCTCTAATGCATATTTTAATAAAAAATTTCCAAAAAAAGAAAAAAAAATTGTTCAAAATATTTTCGACAATAAATAATAAGAAAAAAAAATGAAAATAAATAAAGATAATAAAAAATTGAAATAGAAAACAAAAGAAAAACTTATTTTCTTCCAAATTTCCCTCTTATAAATTATATTTTCAATTTCTTCTAATTGGTGCAAATTAATATCGATAATTAATACATTTGGCTAATTTCGCCAAATTGGTACAGAAAATAAAAAATATTGTTTTAAAATAAAATAGAAAAAAAATTATCTTTCTTTTAAATGTAAAAATATTTTCTCTTCTATTCTTTGTAAATTCAAAGTGCAACACGATTTGAGAAGATTTGGCACGAGAATCGTTTCGTTACTTTTAAGTTGTGCTCGACCGACTTGGAAAACTTTATGTACGAAGTTGAATTCCTCTTCTCGTTTAGTCGAATACCTACTTTGCATATGCAAAAAAAAACCGGGAAAAATTATTTTTTCCGTTACAAAATTTTCAATTTTCGCTAAAAAGAACAGAGAGAGAGAATAATTTTCTTTTAATTTAAACAAAACATAAATAGAAACTTAAAAAAAAAGGAAAAATTATTTTTTAGACACAAAATTTTCAATTTTTGCATCAAAGTTTAGAGAAAGAATAATTTATTTTAAATTAATTAATTTCTAAATATAAATAAATAAAATAGAGATAAATTAATAAAATAAATAATAAACGAAATAAATAAATAGAGATAAACAATTTCAATTATTCCCAATGAAAATATAAACCATTCGCTTTTATAATTATAAAATAAAAATTTCAAATACTTGATTATAAATCTCTAAAATTTCTCAACTTCAAACTTTTCATATTTTGTTGGATAATTAAATTTTCCCTCTCATATATACGTCTCCCCACATATATACGTGGAGGAAAATTATTTCCCCCCTGAGTAAACTATCTCTTTTGTAATTTTGTGATAACAAAAAAAAAAGAAAAAAAATAATAATAAATATCAAATTAATGTATCAGTATGTTTATACTCCCGGAAACGCAAAGTAGTCGCCCCTCTGTGTAATTTGCGATGCATAAAGGAAGTGAAAATAGAGGGAGAATTGCACGAGAAACTAAAGAGCGCATTATGAAATTTTACTTATGCAATTCTCATTATAAGAAAATAATATTGTTTGACAAATTTTTTTTAACTAAATATTTCGAAATATTATTTAATTTTTATTTCAAACAAACAAAAAAATCGCGAGCGCGAAAGTAAGTTAACTTGTGTCTTTTTTGTACTTCACAAAGGCATTAAATTTATATTTTTGTTGCAAATTTTCTTTACAAATTCTTTGCAGATTTCCACTTCCGGCTACGAAATAAAATTTTTAAAAAATTAAGGAGTAATGATAAAATAATAATAATAATAATAATAATAATAATAATAATAAAATAGAAAAAAATAATTATAATAAATTAATTATAACAATTATAAAATAATTTAAAATAAAAATTAAAAACTAAAATAAATTTCTCTGCATTACTTGTGGGAATATTTCGAATATTCTGTTTTGCAAATTAAAATTTGCAATATTTATAATTGAATCAGCACCCAAGCGTAAAAACAATTGTTCCCTTTTGTGCTGGTATTGGCGCGAAGTTTTAAAATCTTTTGACTAACTTTGAACTTCGGCAATTCTCGGAAAACGTTTTCAATGTTGAGGAACGAACTCGGGAATGTAAAAGATCAATAAGAACCGTCCTTGCTACTCTCGCATGCGATTTAATGGTTTTGGTCCTCCTAACCAAAAACTATCTGAATTCTATAGAAAGAGAGAGAGAAGCGTTGCAGCTTTTTCCCGCCATGTAGTATATAAAGTAACTTCCTCCCCCACAGAATTCGGAAACTGAAAAACTTCAAGTAAAACTTTTATGCCAAGAATCAATTCTTTTAACCACAAAAACTTTAGTGTCGAGACTGTCTCAATAATTTCAATAAACGAAAAACATTTTTAAATTTTCCTCCAACTTTCCTAGCATTATACATTACTTATTCTTTTATTATTATTGTTATTATTATTATTATTATTATTATTATTATTTATTATTGTTATTATTACTATTATTATTTCTTTCTATTTTTTTTACTTTTGTTTACTTTTTTTAATAAATAAAATAATTGAGTATATAATTTATAGTGCCAATAATAATAGGGGAAAATTTAACGATGCTAATAATAATCAATAATAAAAATAAAAATAATAATAGATATTATTAATAATAATTATTATTTCTATTAATTATTATAACTAATAATAATAAATAATGTTAATACACAATTAACAAAGTTCGCTCTCAATTTTACTGATTTTTAGAAACATTTCTACCTCATTAAAAAGAAAAACTGCCGAAAGTGAAAAAAACTATCTCAGCATTTATTAAACTCAAATTTAATTAGGTAAAACAAAATTTATTATTGTTTCTAAAACGGAATAAAATAAATCTTTTGTGTCACGGCCGGAGTAATTAACTTTATTGATTATCAGACTTTTGAATTAGGAAATTTTCCCAGAGTCGAAAATTTTCAGGTAAACTGAATGTATACAATATTAAAAAAATAATTTGAACAAATCGTAACTGAAGAAACGCTTCATAAATATAATTACAGGAGCAAATTAAATTAAATTAAATTAAATTTAATGCAATTCAATTCAATTAAAAATAAATAATTTATGAAATTTTGAATTCTATTATGAAACGAGATAAATAAATTAATTCCATTATTATTAATATACCGATAGTGCGCAACAAGTTATACGGCAAAGAAAAAAGAAAATAAAAGTAAAACAATCGTTTGTAAATTGACGCAGCCTCCATCACACAAAGTCTGCGAGGAGAAATTCAAGTTTACCAAAGTTGAGAATCACTGAGCCGCGCACAGTCCAACTAAACTTGTTGGGTATCGATGTTATTCAGAACTTTTCGAATAATGGAGCTTCCTTTCCAGTTTGGATTTGTGTTACGTACCCGCAATGAGAGAGAAAAAAAAATAGGAGAGAAACGAGTTAATTTCTTTCTAAACAAAAAATTTTTTTTTCGCAAAAATTTATTTTTAATGGTGATAAATAAATTTCACACCCGCACAGAATAATTCACACTCAATTATATGGCAATTTTTGCACATTTCGAACGAAACTTTATAAACTTAAAAATTATCTGTTATTATTTATTAGACAAAGAATTAATTTTCCAAATATTCTATTGAAAATTATATGGATTACTTTCCATAAATCTGCGTGGAAAAAAAATAAATCAGGACTAGATATTAAAAAGTTCCCATAAAGAAGAAGGTGTAATTTTTTTATTTATAATTTTTTTATTTATTAATAAATAAAAATTGCAAGAAATGGGAAGAAAAATTCGATAACCAAGATTGAAATATTTTTCGGAAAAAAGGCGAATTCTTCGAAAGAAAAATATGGATGGAGAAAATTTAAATTTCCAAAGAGACTATTAAAAGGAATAGAAGGAAAATTCCTCTTTCTCTCTCTCGGAAAGTTCGTCTCGATCAATGTCTTGCGACAAGCGTCATGCTGCAGGTAACGAGTTTATTAAATGCGACAAACTTTTTAGAAGAATACAAAAGAAAAATAGAAACCACAAGAAAAAAAAAATTTTTGACAAATTGCTATTTCGCCCTGTCGTGAGGAGTATAATTTATAATTATTTATTTATAAAACTCAATATATATATATATACTGAGATCTAAATTTTAAAGTCGGCATCAATGTTTTCTGAATTATCCAGGTAAATATGCAACGCGTGCTTGACCTTGTTACTTTTATAATGGTACGCGAAGACTCCGGAATTGAAATTAAATAACAAATGCACCTCTGCATGCAAAAACTACAAAACTCAATATTATCATAATTACAATTATGTATATCACGTTTCAATATTAACAAAAGTTGTCCCAACTTTTGTGTTTATTTCTCTTTTTCTAGAGAGAAAAAGTTTCTAAAAATAACTTCCACAGACTGAAAAGCGATTCTCCTCAATATTAAATAAACTTTTCCGTATTTGATAAAACAATCTTTTTCTTATCATTTTCACTCATTTTCCCTTATTTTTTTTTTTTTTTTGAATTTAACTATTTTAGATAAACTCACCTGTCGCCTTCCCAGGGAAACAATGTAGATTTGAATCTGCTGAATTTGATCCAAGACATTTGTGTTCTAAAAAAAAGAAAATCAAATAATAAACCCAATAATTTCTAAGAGTATAAAAAATAAATAAATAAATTTAGAGTAAAAAAGAAATTTTCTATTGAAAATATATTTTTTCAAATGTAAAAATTTTTAATTATAAAAATACTCACATCTGGATCATCTTTCAATTTTTCAACACAAATCTGTAAAAACAAGAAAAGAAACGTCAGTTTAAAAATAACTGATAATAAATTAAATTTAAAAATTACAAGAAATTTTTTTTGATGAGCACGATAAATTTTGTTATTAATTGAAAAGCTGTTATATACTTTTATTACAATGATATAACGATATTCAGCAGTAAAGTTCTTAAACAGATTACGAGTTTCAGGTTGAAAGTGGTTCACAATGTCATCATGCTCAGTCACGTAACCTTCTTAACTTTTCAACAATATATCCCAAATTAAATTTCATAAACTTATTTGATTTTGTATTCTACAATTTCATTTAAAAACTCATCATTAATTCCAATAAAAATGACAAAAAAGAATTTCTTTCCAAGATAGATAAAAAAAAAGTATGAACTTCATTTTTAGTTTGATAAAATTTTAATTAGCTTACGTATATTCTAATACATAATATTATGTTAATTTAATTCAATTTAATTTAATCAAACGTAGATAATTTGCAAAATAAGTAATGAAAAATTTACTTTGAAATTAAAAAGAAATTTTGAAAATTAGCGAAATTAAAAAAATTGAAAATATTTTTACAATATATTGTACAAAAATAGTTTTATTTTTAAATAAATGTTTCTTCCTATTGTGCGAAATTAATAATCATAGTAAATAAAAAAGGTCGCAAACAATTTCGAACTAAAAGTAAAGTTTGCTAACAGGGAAGTTAAAAAAATTATTTACTATTTAAAGCAAACTTTGTACCATTAACTTTTTTCTAAAAAAAATTCTCCCATTTTCCATAAAAAATATTTTAATATTTAATTTCTTTTTAAAAAAACAGATTTTTTTCTATTCGGTTTCATTTTTATTAATTAATTAATTAATCGACTGTAAATAGAAAATTAAATTTATGTACTTTTATTAAAAATTAAGAAAAAAAATAAAATTATTAACTAATTATTAATATAAAAACCCCCACTTTTCTTGAAAATAATTGGAAAAGTTTAGAAAGTTTCTTTTTAAGAGAAATTAATAATTAATTTACTCGCGGGGACGGAAGCTTCCGTTATCCCATAAAAATAAAATCTGACGACACTCCTGGATACTGTGAGAGAACACAAACGAGAAGACCGCAGGTGATCTTCTAAATCGAACTTGCCTTGAAAAGTTTTCAACTATGTACCTACAGACACTAATTTCGCCAGGTATACTGTCGATCCAATAACAAAAAAAAAACAGCATCAAACATTTTTTTTAGTCAAAAAAAACTTTGCATCTGATAAAAACAGCACGTATAAAAAACAACAATTTTTTCTGCATTTCAATATAAATATTTCATTCTTATTCTGCAACTCTGAATATAAATTGTTTTTCCTAAATCCCAATTCTTCCAATTTGGCAACACTGATCGTTATATTAGATCCTCTCAGAACTTTTTTTTTACCTTTAATTAAATTAGAAAATCTAATAAAAAAAAAAATTTATCTGAAACAAAAAACAAGCTACTAAGCAACTTCATAACAATGGCACTTGAAACAAATGAATATTTGATATTAAATTATAAAAAAAAAATGTTGATTTTTTTTCCTAACGTAAAATAGAAAAATGCATTTTTTCTCTGTATAAAAAAAAGGCGCACTCACCTGATGATCGCGTATAGCATTTTTCAGCTTATTTTGCACTGACAAAATCTCCTCCTGCAGGGACTTCGATATCTCCATAATTCGTTGGATTGTCGGAGTGTGTTTCCCGCGGAGTAGCTTCGTACTTACAGACACTTTCGACATGAAAATTGTAAAAAGTAAAGGAGCCGCGCGGCCCCCGAAAAGACGTATCTCCACCGCATACACTGCGCGCACAAGCACAAACACGACTCCTCACTAGATATTTAAGTTCACAAACAGCGTTCCTCAACATATACACACGCTGACAAATCGAAACTAACACCAACTAACCTATAGGGGAAGGCCAACTCTCGTGAACCTTTATGCATGTATGTAGATTTGCCAAGTTGCCCGAAACTCCCTCCTTTACCCCACCCAATTTTCACAAACACAAGAGATATTCTAACTTGTAATTTATTTCAATTACATTATCTCTTAAGGAAATCAATTGAAATTAAAACACAATGCACTCTTGAAATCCATTGTGTTTCCAAGTTTAGAAATAAATTTAAAGATGGATTACCCGTGTCCTTGCACAATTCATTATGAAAACGCACACACATTTAAAAGATATATATTTACCTAGGCAGATTTTTTCCCCATAATATAATAAAGAGCGCGGCAAGGGTGTGTAAAATTGCGATCCTCACGATTCTAGTGACTATTACTCCAACTATTATCGATATTTAGTAAAAACACTTCACTTTTGAAACTTTCATTCAATAAAACTCCAATATGATACTTTTGTTACATTTCAGTCAGTGTATTTTTTCATTTATATCATGTTTTACTACTTTTGCTAACTTTTTTTGCACAGATTTAACATTTTTGTGTCAACACCAGCTTACACAAACTTTCTTTCTAACCTCAATTTTGAAAGGTCGATATCGTCGATATGTCAATATCGATTCGATATATCGAAACTGTCAGCGCGAAATTTAAAATTCTATAAAAACAACTTTGAAGTATTTGTCATTAAAAAGACAATTTTTTATTTTTTATTTAATGAATACAATTTTTTATTTAAATTTTTGTATTAATAAATAAAACAAGAGCTTTGTTTCTATTATTGAACTGGAAAAAAAATTACTAATGTGACAGGGATGATATTTCATGACGCATGCGCATTGATTCTAAAATTCTGGACCTGGATAGTCGGCCGCGCGCCTGGTGTGTATTTAGTGATTTTTTTTCCAATTTAAATACAATATTTATAATAATTCCTCAGCAATTATCTTCATTTGTAAATAAATTAGCCTTTCTTCTTGAATATCAAGTCCCATCTATGTCTGTTTTTAAAATCAGACTAACAGAAGTTGTACAAATTTTTCAAACAGTTGTTTGAAGGTTACTTTTTAATTTATTTAAAAATCTCATTTATCAAACTTTATAAATTATTGCACTTATTTAATATTTCAAGTTTATTGGAAAAAAATTTGTTTTACTTCATATTATAACTGATATAATTAGTGTAGAAAAAAGAAAAATGTTTCGTACAACATAACCTCAAAATGGCAAAAGTCAAAATTTCTCATATTCTCTCTTTAATCTTAAACATATATTTTTTTCAGGTAGATTTATGTTTTTAAATAATGGCCGCAAAACGCACAGCAACCAGTGATTTAAATCACGAAAATTGGAATAAAGAGGAGAAAAAAGAAGACGCGGGAACTTTTGTCAAGGCATCGGAAGAAGTCCTTGAAAAGAGGGTCATAAAAACTGCTAAACGAAGAATTCCAAGCACCGGTGATGTAAGTTATTTACAAATTTTTAATCTGTTAGTTAAAATAGGTTTTGAGCAAAAGTATTCGATTTTCTTTTCTCTTTGTTGTTGAGAAATATTTCCAACTAACTTTTTTATTTTATTATTGAAAATCTAAATTAATAATCGTAATCCGGTAATTTGTTTGCAGTTTGAAGTTAGTTGTTGTTTGATTTTTTGTTTCCTACCTTTTTTTAATAATTTTTCTTTTTAAATATTAAATTTTATTAAAATTTTAAAAAATTCTAATAAATACTTTGTAATTGATTTAGGGAGCGGCGAAAAGTGCATTCGGTTCGTTTGCAGGATTCAAAACAACAACAACAAGCACAGCGGCATCACCGTCGCCTTTTAGTTTTCTAGCCAATATAAAACCTACAACAAGCACAAATATCCCGACAAATAGTAATAATCCACTTACGACAAAAACAATTTCCAGCAGTAATGGTACAATTCCTGAAAATGGACTATGCGCCACTCCAAAATTGCCCCTAAAGCAAAATCCATTAAAAACAATAAGTGACGACAAGGAAAAATCAAGTGCTGTTACATCGGACGAAAAATCTTCAGAGTATTACGCAAAATTGAAAGGTTTGAATGAAAGTGTAACTCAATGGATCAAAAAACACGTCGACACTAATCCATTTTGTATTCTAACGCCAATATTTCATGATTACGAGAAACACTTACAGGCAATCGAATCAAAGCACGGTCAAGAAGTGAAAAAAGAATCAAGTACCGTCGTCGTCGATGATGTTGTTGTTGTTGAGAAAAAATCATCAATTCAAGACAATGTTCAAGAACCCACAGAAAAGAAAGTTGAAAATTCCATTTTTGGCAGTACAAGTAGTGCATCGTCGACATTGAGCGCTTGGAAACCAGAAAAATCATTATTTGGCACTACAAGTAGTACAAAATCTATTTTTTCAATGGAGCCAAAAGTGGACAATAAATCTTCATTGACTGGCAATCAGGAGAAAGCGTCACCTTTCTCGAAGCCAAACACCGACGATAAGGAAGAGGACAAACCGGAGGCAAAACCCGTAACAATTCCAACCGCCACGTTTAGTTTTGGTCAAAGTTCATCGACACCGTCGAGTGCTGGTTTCAGTTTCGGAGGGTAAATATTTCTTCACTTAGATATTTTAATTAATACAAATATGACAAATATAATCTTTGGACAATAATATTTAAAGTTTAGTTATTAAAGATATAAATTTAAATAGAACTTTAAAGTAAATGGAGAAAAATTTGGTTTTTTTTTAGGAGCAAGCCTTTCACGTTCGGAGCACAAGTTGCAAAACCAGAGGATACGAGTGAAAAAACTGAGGAAAAAGAAGACGAAGATGAACCTCCAAAACCCGAATTTAAAGTAGTAACAGAGGAGGGATCAATTTTCGATCAAAGGTAACAATAATATAATATAATATTCCCAGGCCTCGGATTGATTTTAAAATCCTAATTTTCAGAAATTATTTTTCACCATTTCCCTTATTTTTAAAACTTCAATTCTAAGTTTCTGTAAAATTCAATAATGTTCAAACTGAAAAAAAAATATTTAAAATTATTAAAATTATTTTTCAAAATATAAAATTTATTTTGATAAAATGTGCCGAAATTTAGAATTTTTTGACAATTTTTTAACTAATTACTTTTGGAACTTCAATTATCTTCAAAAGATTTTAATTAATTTAATTTAAATTTAATTAATTAATTTAAAATATTTAAATAGTTTTATACATATTTTTCCACAGGAGTTAAGATTTCTAAATTTCTAAAATTTCATTATTTTTAAAAATTAAAACTGTAACTCTTACAAAATTTAATTATTTTCTAGAATTTTTTACTTAAATTCTTTTCTAAATCAATTATTTTTAATATTTTTAAGAATTTAATTTATTAAAAGAAATAGAAAGTTCTCTTAACATTTAATAACGAAATTTGGATAATTCGAAAATTATTTACTTATACTTAAATATATGTTGAAAAATTCTAAAAAGTTACTAAGAAAAAACTAATTTAAAAAAATAATTAAATCAAAATTTTTCAATAAACTAAGTTGTTTAGAGTTTTTAATTAAATTTATTCATAATTCAAATTTTCAATAATTACAATTTGAATTCTTTTGAAATAATTATTAAATTTCAAAAGAGTTCAAATCAAAATTTTTGAAAATTTGAAATTTGAATAATTTTAATTAATTTATTAAAATAATTTCTAAAATTTTAAACCGTAATTCTTTGAATAATCAATTATTTTCTAGACTTTTTAACTAAAATTCTTATCTAAAACAAATATTTTTAATAATTTACAGAAAAGTTTGTTGCGAATCTAATTAATCAAAAATTTAAATTTTCAAAATCGATAATCAATTATTTTCTAGAATTTGTATTTAAAATTCTTCTCTAAATCAATTATTTTTAATAATATTCAGAAATTTTTTTAATATTTCAATTATTTAAATACAAAAATTCAATTAATTTCTAGAGTTTACAACTAAAATTATTGAAAAGTTTAATAACTTTGTAAAATAAATGTTTTAATGTTATTAAATTTCTAAAGAAATTAAAATTATTCTAAAATCAAATTTTCAAAAATTTCAATTTGAAACTATCTGAAATTTATTTATTGGAAAATTGCTGCTATAAATTCTTCAAAACTCAATTATTTTAAAGAATTTTCAATACAGTTTCTTTTCTAAATCAATTCTTTATAATAATTTAAAGAAAGTTCCTTGAGAATCAAATTAATCAAAAATTCAAATTTTCAAAAATCAGTAATCTATTATTTACTAGAAAATTTGTATTTAAAATTCTTTTCTAAATCATCAATTATTTTTAATGAAGTTCAAAAAATTCCTTGAGAATCCAATTAATCAAAAATTCATTTTTTCAAAAATCGATAATGAATTATTTTCTAGAATTCGTATTTAAAATTCTTCTCTAAATCAATTATTTTTAATAAAATTCATGTTCATTGAGAATTCAATTATTTAAAAATTCAAAATTTTCAAAAGTCGATAATTGATTATTTTAATTAATTAAATTTAATTATTATTATAATTATTTAAAAATTGCAATTTGAAAATTTCTGAAATTTATTTATTTAAAATTTGCTACTGTAATTTTTTCAAAATTCAAAATTATAAAATTTTCAATTCAAATTCTCTTCTAAATTAATTCATTATAATAATTTAAAGAACGTTCCTTGAGAATCCAATTAATCAAAACTTCAAATTTTCAAAAATCGATAATCAATTATTTTCTAAAATTCGTATTTAAAATTCTTCTCAAAATCAATTATTTTTAATAAAATTCAGAAATTTCCTCGATATTTCAATTATTTAAATATAAGAATTTAATTATTTTATAGAATTTTTAATAAAAATTCTTTTCTAAATAAATTCTTTATAATAAAAAAAGTTTACTTTAAATACAATTTAAAATTCAATTATTTTAAATTGAATTTTACAAAGTTCCGATTATTTAGAAAATTTTCAATTTGTTGTATATTTAGAAATCCAACTAATTTCAAAGAAACTTAATTGAAATTTCAAGGGCTTTATTTTATTTGATGCCTGTTCTATGCTCGGAAAGAAAAATTTCTTTTCTAAAACCATGATTTTTTTTTAAATTTCAGATGCAAAGTTTTTGTGAAGAAAGACGGAAATTTTGGTGATCGAGGTGTGGGAACATTATTCTTGAAACCAACACCAAACGACAAAATGCAATTAATTGTTCGTGCCGGCAATTCATTGGGAAATATTCTATTGAATACACTCTTAAGCGAGAGTATTCCATTGAAGCGTATGAATAAAAACAGCATAATGTTGGTATGCCTTCCAACACCCGATTCAAATCCACCACCAACGCCCGTTTTATTGAGGGTGAAAACATCAGAGGAAGCTGACGCTTTAATGGAGGTCCTAGAAAAAAATAGAAAGTAGAAATATTGTCTATTCATAATTGTGATGTAATCAAGAATCATGTCTCATTAAATATGTTGAGAATTGAAATGGAAAAAACAGGGATCGATGCAAAACAAAATCAAGTAAAAATTCGATCTTTATCATAATTTTTTTCAATCAACATTCAACAATTATTCTTTAAACGAATCTTTTTTTTCCATATTCTTTTTATTTATACTTATACAAAAATTTAATTTAATTTTTTTCCACATTCTTTTTATTTACACTTAATACGAAAATTTAATGCTTGTGCCATTCATTTTATTTTTCTCAGCAAAAACAGAAAAGAAAGAGTCAAGAATTTTACAGAATTCAAAATATGAATTCATTAAGTGTTGGGAAAGAATTTTTTATCAATTTTTAAAGAATGAGAAATTCTATTATTAGTTTTAATAAAAATCAGTTTCCAATCACTTGATAATAAATAGGAGAATTTAAAATAAAACTCGTATCGAGATACAAAGATATTTGTAAAACAATTTTGTTTGACTTCTTTACAAAATTTTCATAAAGAAAACTCAATTTAGAATTTATTGAATACATGCAATTTATATAGAAAAACAATTTGTATGCATTGTATTTACTGTATAAGACATTTAATCTTTTAATTAGAAATATTTTTTACAGTTACAATATTTAACTAATGAAAATTTGATATTATAACTAAAAAATTTACATTTATTTACAAAACAAAGTAGACATACTTTTTTTTCTCTTATCAATTCCAAAAATGATTGTAAATATTTTCAACATCTAAACAAAATTCCTTATTTTTGTAAATCTATTTAAAAACAATCTTTTATTTCCAACTTTTTTTTTATTTCTTTTTTTAAACCAACAATTGTCTACTTAAATTCGTGAAATAATTGAAAAGAAAAAATTCTAGTTTTTAAGAATAATTTTACACATACATCGTTAAATAATTGATTCTTGCGTTGTTATTTAGTACCTGCGTCTTATTTTTTTATCACCTTAGGATATTAAAAAGAAAATTATTATTCAATTTAAAAAATAGGATGAAAAAATTTCAAGTTGATTTATTATGTTCGTGGAAAATATTCTTTTCCACTTTCAATTATTACGCAATTTTGTAAATAAGGCAATCTCTTTAAATAAATCGCAAATAAAGTTAAATTTGATTTAATTTATTATACCATAACAATATACTAATAATGTGTTAGTCTTGACAACTTTTTCATCAATTAAAAGTTATAAATAATTATTTTGAAAAAATATTTTAAAAGAACATAGAAAACTGGCAATATTCACACGACAATTATTAAATTACAATTTTTTTTACAAAGTATTCTCAATATTCAGATTTTTTTTAAATTAATGGCAGATATATAAATATTGTCAATGTTCTATCATTTCTTTTTTTTCTTTCAAAAATTTCAGGGAGACTTTTCTTTATTTTTTCCTGCGAACATGTCAAGAAATTATTTCTCCAAATATAAATTTTTTATACATAATTTATTCTACACGTAATATAAATATAAACATTTCTTAAAAATTAAAAAAAAAATTAATTTTTCCATTATGTTTGCAGAAAAAATAAAAAAAAATTTTAATAACCCATCAAATATTGAAATAGATAAAAATATTTTCATTATTTACTGTTAATATATAGAAATCTTTGAAAATTAACCATTATCGGAATGTTACACAAATCTTTAAAAAAAAAAAAAGATTATTCATTTTTATATTCGAGTCATGTAAACATTTCCTCAAACGTTTCTTTTCACTTTTAATATATATATACAAAACATAATATATTTTTAAACTTAAATTTCTATTATAATAGAATTGTATCAGACGAGAAATATTCTCTTTACACAGATATTTTGTATTAAATACGAAAAAAAATGAATCTCTTCTCTAGAATCAAACATTTACATGTCTCGATACTTTTCTCAAAAAGCATAATATTGTGAAAAGAAAAAAAAATCTGAAAATAAAAAATAAAATTCAATCAATCTGAAATTGTATAAATTTCTTTAAAACTATTATCCTCGAGATTTGAACTATTATAATTATAATTATAAATTGTTTTACCGATTGATTACTTTTAATAGATCAGAATCTTGTACTCAGAGATGAAAAGTAATGAATGAAAAACTTGAATTTTCAGTGCTAAATTTTTTGCGAGATGAATGGCGTCAATGCGCCCAATTGACCTAAGCCAAGTTGTATGTGTTGCATATGAACTTCAACACAATTTTGAAATACTTGCTGATTTTGGGGACTTAATTTTGTTTTCACTTGCTCCATTGTGCCTTGAAGTACTTGCAATTCATAGGCGTTTTTATCAGAATCCGATAGACACTGAAAAAAGAAAATAGAAAGATTAATTAAATCAAATTAAAAACAATTTTAACAATCAATTTTTACAACAAGAATCGAAATTTTTCTTTAAATATCATACACTAGCAAATGATACGCGCGGAACGCGGTATTCCATTTATTATTATTTTGTAAATTAAAAAATTGTATATTCTTAAAATTGTTAATAAAATTCCTTCAAAAAATTGAATTATTTTCAAAAATTCAGATAAAATTCTTCGAAACAATTCAATTATTTTTATGAATTGTAAAATCCTCCGCAAGAATTCAATTATTTTTATAAGTAAGAAAATTTTCGGCAAGAATTAAAATATTTTCATAAATAATAAAATGTTTCGGAGGAATTCAATTATTTTCAATACAATTTTAATAAAATTTCTGGAAAGAATACAATTATTTTTAAAAATATTATTTACATTCAATTATTTTCAAGAGATAAAAATTCAATTATTTTAAAAATTTTCAATTGAAATTATTTTTACGAAAATTAATGAAATTCTTTAAAAAAATGTAATTATTTACAAAAACTCTAATAAAATTGTTTAAAAGAATTAAATTTTCTAATTAATAATTTTATTATAATTTAATAGGAAATTTGTTAATTGCAATTAATAATAAACACGATTACTTTTAAAATTTCAAAGAAATTCTTCATAAAATTCAATAATTTTCAAAATTTTCAGTAAAAATTATTTTTAAAAAATTCATAATTTTCAAAAATATTCCAATAAATTCTTCAAAAAAATTTAATTATTTTAAAGAATTTTAATAAAAGCTTGATAATGCTTAAATTACTTTTAATTCAATTTTAATTACATTTTCTACAAAGAATTCAATTATTGAAAAAAATGATGATAAAATTCCTGAAGTGAATTCAATTATTTTCAAATTTTTTTATAAATACTTTGCCAGAATTCAATGATTTTCAGTACATTAATTTTTAAATTTAAAACGTTTAAAAAGAAAAATTATTTCAAATACAAAGATTGTTAATATAGATTTTAGAATATTGTACATGAAATCTACAAATTTTTCTAAAAGTAAAAATGTGAATAGTAGAAATTTTGTTAAATATATTTTTTACCAAAAAATATTCTACCGATTGAAAAATACCCAATGAAAGGGTAAATATAAATATAATAATATAATCATATAAAATATGATAAATTAGAGAAAATTGGATAAAAAATGTAGAAAATGAAAAAAAAGTAGAAATTACCTTAACCTGAAGTATCAATGCTGTTAAATCAGTAACAAGTTGACTCATATTATTTGGTTCCTTATCATTGAGCATATTATTTTTGGCCACCATTTCAGCGGCTTCTTGTCTGCATTTTTCTCTGAGATGCGAGGGTGCCAGCATTGCCGCGACACTCGGTTCCGGCGCAATGGCCACACACATTTCCTGAACTTCATTCAAAAACTCTTGAAGCGCCAAATTCATTCTTTCTAGCTCCACGACAATTCTGTAATAAATATTTCAATAAATCAATTAAAATTAGGGTAAATTTTAAATTAAAATATGAGTTAAAATGATATTCATTTAATAGAAACTAGTTTTGATGAAAAATATTCTTGAAAATTTAACAAAATAGGTAAAAAAAAAAAATGATGAAAAGGTGGTCAGTCTGCGATCCCTAGAATAATTCTCAAATTTGTTTACAGATGAAAAATTGATTCTGTATTTATTGAAGAAAAATTTTTGAAAGAATATTTACCCGGCATATTTTCTTTCAAAATCAGCAGGCAAAGGTTCGCCGAGTGATCTTCTCATTTCAACGTCTGTATTCATTTCCTTTAGCTTTTGCACCTTCACCTTCTTGTCGACGAGTATTTTATTAACTCTCACCATGCTTTCGAGTAATTTCACGGGATATCCATTCATTGTGCCACCCATGTGCGATTTTTTCGGTATCAAAGCATTTGATATCAGAGGATCGTGATTTAATCGTGGCGAATTTAATTTCGACATGTAAGCAGGCGAAGGCACATATTGAACATGTCTGGGTCTAAATTTGTGTGTAAATGATGCCACACTTATTGTTTCCGGCTCTTCGTTAGCCTGAAAAAAAGTAAGATTAATTTACTAATTTTATTCATTCTATTAAATTTATTAGGTATTTTATTTTATTCAGGGTTATCACAAAACTTCCATTATGTGTTTCCCTGATTTCGAGGAAAACTTCTTTTCTTCTCCTGATAATAACTTCAAATTTTTCCATTCAATTATTTTCCTAATTTCGAGTTAGAATTCTCTAAACATACGATTAATATTTAAAAATAATTTTTAAAAGTAAAAAAATTAAAGTTTTTTAAATATAAAATTTATTTTAATTAAATTCCACAGAATTAAATAATTAAATGTAAAAGAAAGTATCCAAATAGTAGATCGAAAAATAGTAGTAAACAGTAAAAAATGCTTCTTGCATTTGAAAATAATATTCAAATTGCATTTTTGAAGTAATAAAAAGAATTAAACTCACCAAAACTTCATAATCGGGTACACTGTGCGTACCAAGTCCGGCACGTTCGAACGTAATTCTGTAAGTATTATTACTTGTATCCACCGCATCAATACTGCCAGTAAATAATCCATCTTGAGGTTTACGTAGTCGAGCTGTTACTTTTGTTCCAATAACAAGTTGCATTGGAACTTCAGGTGGTAAATCTTTGAAAACATGAATATCCGTACATTTTCTCTGTTGAAGCATGCGAATTTTTTGTCGTTTTCTCTCAAGTTCACGTCTCTCTTCCTCGAAAAATGATTGCGAGCAACGTCTTGGTTTTCCCATCATTCGTCGAATTTTACACCACTCGACTCGTGTTAATTTACGTGTTTTTAATTGTGGAAATGATTCTTTTAAACAAATCATAAAATCATTATCGCCATCAAAGAGTGTTCTGAAAAGAAGAAAAATTAATTTAATAAATTGTCAAGTTTCTAGACTTGATATAAAATCAGGATGGCCACATGTCAGTAAAGTCAGGGAAATTGATGAACTGAAACTTGTGACAATTCTGAAAATATAAATATTTCCTTGTCACTTACTTATCAATATTGCTGTAGAACCACTCGTAACAAACCCATTTATGTGCCTTTGGTAATTTCAATAAATTTCTCAGTCTCATTCCTATTTTTTGTCCAATTCGTCTATCTGGTGATGATGGTTGCATTGATTTATCGACATCCTTCTCGACTTTCAACGGTGTTTGATAAGTCGGTTCTTTTACTACTGTGACAATTTTTTTTGTGTCACTTAATCGTAATTGTTTCTTAGCTGGCGAGGGACGTGGTAATTTCTTCGGCGATGGTTTCACGTCTATAATTCCCGGTTCTTTCTTTATTCTGTAAAAAAAAAATTACTGGTTAAAATCTGGTGAAACAAAACACTAAAGAAAATAGATACTAAAAGAATAAATGCTACTTGCCTATGATGGGGATGATTTACTAAAATATCATCGTAGAAGAGTTTATTCTTTTTTCTTATTCTCGCAGGCATTCCACGTCGATTTAAAACTTGAATTGGCTGTGTTGGTGGTTTTGGTTTACGTGGAGGCAGTGAACCAACACGTTGTAATCCCAATGCAGCTGGACCAAATTCTGCCATTGGTTCGTTGTCATCTGTTTCCATACTTGAATCTAAGGAATTTGTCGATATTTGATGTTCTTCAATATCCATTAAATCGTCGGCAACCTCTGTTTTAATTTGATCCACCGTGGGATAACCTCCATTCTTAATGGAGAGCAAAGTCTCAGCTGATTCATCTAAACAAACAAAATTCCAATTAACAAAAAAAAAAAAAAAATAAAACAAATATTCTTCCACTAAAATAACAACGTGAATTAATAAATTCAATCAATGTTTTAAAAATAAAACTCTCCTGCTTCGTATTTCCCCAAATTCGTAACTTTCTCAATATTCTCAACATTCTCAACATTATCAATAAAAAAGTAAATATAAAGAAATACATACAATCCATAATTGTTCAAATTCATTTAAAATACACGATGATTTATCAATAACCCAGGTAATAAACACTTGACGACACTTGGACATTCGGTATTGTACTGGAATGTTAGGAGCAAAACATAACCAAACTTTTTTTGACGGAATTCTGGGAAAAGCTTCACAGATCTTCTTGTGTTTACACATTAATATCGTGAATAGATAAAAATTCCGATAAACTTAAGATCAATGTAAAATGATTTATTCGGTGGAAATAGAGCGTGGAAAACAATTAAATGTATTAAAATGTATTTTGTCCCGCTTGAATTCTACATTGTTCATTTTTGAAATTTTAAACCCCAGCCACTCAAGGTAAATTCAAAATGCAACTGTAAGTTTAATTGTACACGAAATTAATAAACAAAATGAATGGCAAACGCGTCACAATGTTCTATTTTCAATTAATATGTTAATTACAAGTTTATGTCAATTTTTTATGAGTTAATTGTTTCGTAAATTATAAGAATCTCACTTACTTTCAATCGTGTCCGCCATGTTGAAATTGACTGATGCATGCTGGGAATCGACAAAACGCCTAGCGTGCGTCCCGCTTGAAACTACGAATATTGTCACTTCCGGTAATAAAAGTATTTTTTTAAATGTAATTTTATAACTAAAAATCAAATACCCTGAATGGGATAAAACTAATTATTTGAGAGAATAAGTTACTAAAGTATTTTTCCAATATTAATTAGTGGGGTGAATTCGTTTCTTTTTGACGTTAATTAATTTTTATTAAAACTTGGTGGTCACAAACACTTCCGGGCGGTAATTTTCAAATTATAATTTTTGAAAGAAATACTTTTCAAACAAAATATTAAATTTGTAATTAATTAATATTATTTATATAATAGTAAAAAATGAAATAAAATATAAACTACGTAAATTTTTAATAATAAACTAATTGTTAATTTAGGAAAAATATCTGTTTCACGATAATGTTATTGATAATTTTCTCGGTGAAAATTAGAAATACAATTTCTTTGGATAAAGAAGAAATTAGAGAATATTGCAGGGAAAGAGATAGACTAATAGTATCTGAAGAAATTGATGATTATTTATTAGTTGACAGTGAATTAAATACAACAATAAAAATTTATTGTCATTTTTGGTAAGAACGGAGAATAAAATAATTTTTTGAATAAATATTAAATTATTAATTATTAATTAAATTTATTAATAAACAAAAAAATAATTTTTTAACAAAATTTATTAATAAACAAAAAAATAATTTAATAACAAAATTTATTAATAAATAAATTCATTTTTAATATAATTTATTAATAGATTAATAAATTTTCAATAAAATTGTTTAATAAGTAAATAAATAATTTTTTTATTTCCAGTGGGGAAAAATTTAATCAGCAACCGAAAATTTGGTTTGTACAAGATCGTTATCAATTATTAGAAGAAAAGGAAGTCGAAATTGGAATGGATAATAATATGTCATTAAATAGAATTCATGTTAGTCCTCAATTAACATTAATAATTAAAGATTTCAGTCTAAACGATTCTGGAATTTATCGTTGTCATGGTAAACAAAAAGAAGAAATGGACCAAAAATTTAATTACAGATTGGAAGGTAATTATAATATTAAAAAATTATTAATAATAATAATAAGAATTATTTTATAGAACCTATTAATATATTAATGTTAAACTATTAATATTTTTGTTTATTAATAACAATAAATTAATTAATAAAAAAAAACTGAAAATAATGAAAATTCATAAATAAGAAAAAATAAGAAAGTATGTAAACAAAAAAATAAAATAAAAAAAAAATTCATAAATAGAAAAATAATAACAAAAAATCCGTTAATACAAACAAATAAAAATAATGAAAAATCATTGATAAAAAAATAATCAAAATAAATTAATAAAAAAAATAAAAGTAATAAAAATTCATTATAAAAAAAATAAAAATAAAAATTTATCAATAAAAAAATAAAATAAAATTATTCCAGCTGTTTATGAATTTGAATCGACCGAAAGTTTGCCAAGAGGAAATTTATCAGATTGGCAAAAATATCAAGAAACTTATTTAATTCCAGTTACAATGAGATTTGCAGTTAGTAATTTTTTTTTAAAGTAAAAAATACTTTTAGTTAATTTAATTTTATCAGAGTTTTTTTTAAAATTATTAGGTTTCGAAAATGAAAGAGATTTCATTAATAAGAAAAGCGGGAATAACAATGGAATTAATATCGGAATGGGGCCCTTGGAGTCCTTGTGAAAATTGTAAATTTGGAAAAGGATATAAAATTAGACAAGGCTTTTGTAGAATAAAAACAAAAATTAATGAAGTAACAAAAAAAATTAATTTGTTTATTTTAAAAGAAATTTATTTATTTTATTTTACGAAAATTAATTTATTTTAAATGAAAATAATTTTTATAATAAAAATTTTTCAAAACAAAAAGTTCTATATTAAAAAAAAAATGAATTAAAAAACATAATTTTTTAATTAAATATTTTTTTAAATATTAAAATTTTAAATATTATAATTTTCAATAATAATATTAAAAAATAAAATTCTTCTTTAATTTCAAAAATTATTTAATTCCAGACTATTACAAAGGTATCAAATGAAACAATAATTAATTTTTTTCGATCAGCTCCATTATTGCCCTGCAGGTGAAAAATATACTAAATATTTTTTTAATGTTCTTTTTTTTATTTATTACTCTTTTAATTATTATTAATAATAATTTAATTAAATAATTTTTTAAATAAAAATTTTGAATGATAAATAATTGTTTGTTTAGATCAATTGCATTAAATAATTATCCTGGAATTATTAGTGCAACGAGATATTTACCTGAATTTGTTTTAGAGAAAAAATGTAAAAAATGTAAAAAAGTGAAAAAAATTAAACCCCACAAATTTAAATACAAGAAAAAATATGTTTTGAAGGAAGGAGCTCATTTATCAATATCATGTCCTGAGTATATAATTTATCTTTTTTAATTATTTACAACAATAATAATAATAATTTAATTAAAGAAATTTAATTAAAAAAAGAAATAATTTAGTGAAAAAAGTTGCCAATATACGAAAACCATTTCAATTACCATTTCAATTGTTATAATATTAAAATGTTTATATAAAAATTAATTAATAATAATTAAAAATTAATTATATAATTATTCAATAATTATTATTAAATTAGATCAACATTAGAAACACAAGTAATTTGGAGAAAAGGCGGTTTTCTTTTGGAAAAAGGAAAAGGACACTCTTTCCGCAAAAAAGATCCAGAACCAAGAGTTTTTATCGATACCTTCTCAACCCTTTATCTTAAAGGCAATTAGTAATTATTTTAAACAAAAACAATAAAAAATATTTTTTAATTTCAATAATTAGCAAAAAATTAAAAAAGAATTCTTAATTTCATTAATTAATAAAAATTTAATTTGAAGAAAAAATATATTAATAATTAATTATCAATAATAAACAATTATTAATATTTTTGATATTAATATTAATTTATCTTAATAAACAAATATTAGTAATTTATCAATAATAAATATAAATAAATAAATAAATTTAAAATAGTAGATAAAGAAATAAGGATAAGAAAATAAAGAAAAATATTTAAATAGTTATAAATAAATAATTAATTATAATAATTAATTTATTACAATATTACTAATTACTAATTACTAATTAATAAATTAATTATTATAAATTATAAATGCTAATACGAATACTATAAATTATTAATTTCCTTACTAAATATGTAATTATTACTAAAATTTACATTTAACATTAATTTAATAAATGACTATACAATTTGAAATTTATATTAAAATATTTATTATTAATGAATTAATTAATAAATAATAATTAATAATAATAAATAATTTAATATAAATTCGTGCACTTTATAAAAAAGATATTTCACAAGACGAAGAGGGAAATTATACTTGTTATGCTAATAATGTAAAAATGATGCAATTAAAAATTATTGTCGCACTTACTTCGGATATTCTTACACAAGGTAATTAAAAAAAAATTTTTTTGATTTTAATTACATTAAAGAGAATATAAAATAAAAAAATAAAAAAAAAAATTAGTCTTATATCCAACACGTATATAATAAAAAAATACCTAATTGTAATAATTGTAAATAATTATAAAAGAAAATTAATTTACATTCACCTCCCCCCATAATGATAATTAATTAATTATGAATTATTAATTATTCATCAAATTTAAAATTAGCAAAAAATGTGGAACGCTTCACGATTTTGCGTGTCATCCTTGCGCAGGGGCCATGCTAATCTTCTCTGTATCGTTCCAATTTTAGTATATGTACTGCCGAAGCAAGTACGAAAGGTAGGGGTGAATTTATTCCTTATATAGTAATCGCACAATACCTTTTACAACTTGTGAGAGAGATTTTCACATTGAAACAAGTCAAGTAGCCATCTATCGGCACTTTAGTGAACCGTCATATTTAAAAAAAAAGGCGCCATCTGTAAAAATTCCCAGAAACTCTTTGCTCGATCGATAAAAGAAATAATTCAAAATTTAAAAAAGCGCGGGTACTTCAAAGTAATGAAAACTTTTTTTTCTCTATTCTTTCAGTTTTTCTTCGTCACTTGATGTATTTGGGATTTATTTTACTACTCACGTCGTTTTGCTATTGCTCTGGATTAGTTGCTGCTTTTCAACGACGACATAAATTCGAAAGTCCAAATTACGAGGAATTAAAAAATCGAGAACGGGAGAAGAAACCATTTTTCGAGGCTGTTGAATAATTATTATGGTACTTTTTCTATCCTTCAAATCGTAATTAAAATTATGTAAAATTTACTTGGAAGAAATTAAATAATTTAAAAATTATTATTAATAGGCATTTTTATGATTTAATTTATTTTAACTATTAAGTATTAATTAATTAAAGTATAAATAAAAATAACATGATAATTGTACTTGGCAAATGCAAATAACAATAGTACTTAGAAAATATAAATAATAATAATAATTCGAAAATATAAATAATTATTTTTAGCAAATATAAATAATAATATTTAACAAAAAAAACTAATAATTATATTAGTTAATAATTATTATTCGTTTATATAAAATCTAAATAGTAATAATAATTAAATTATAAAAAATTTCAATAAATATAATTATTTTTTAAATGAATATTTTAACATCATTTTTTACTATATATATTTTAATTTTTTAATTTTTATCTGCAAATTTATCATTACAGTTTTAAAAAGTTCAATTATTTTCATAATTTTCAATTTAAATTCTTTAAAATTAAATTATTTTCACAATTTTCAATTAAAATTGTTTAAAATAATTTTATTTAATTATTTTTTTAAATAAATATTTTAATATCATTTTTACAATAAATTTTCATTTTTGAATTTTTATATCCAGATTTATCATTCTAGTTTTTGAAAATTCAATTATTTTCATAATTTTCAATTTAAGTTCTTTAAAATTCAATTATTTTCACAATTTTCAATTAAAATTCTTTAAAATTCAATTACTTTAACAATTTTCAATTAAAATTCTTTAAAATTTAATTATTTTCATAATTTTCAATTAAAATTCTTTAAAATTCAATTATTTCCACAATTTTCAATTAAAATTCTTTAAAATTCAATAATTTTAACAATTTTAAATTAAAATTCAATTATTTTCATAATTTTAAATTAAAATTCGTTAGAATTAATGTTTATGAAAATTTTAATTGAAATACCAGAAAAAATTCAATTATTTTCAAAAAAATGTTATTAAATAAATTTTCATTTTTGAATTTTTATCTCCAGATTTGTCATTATAGTTTTCAAAAATTCAATAATTTTCGTAATTTTCAATATAAGTTCTTTAAAATTCAATTATTTTCACAATTTTCAATTAAAATTCTTTAAAATTCAATTATTTTCATAATTTTCAATTTGAGATCTTTAAAATTCAATTATTTTTACAATTTTGAATTAAAATTCTTTGAAATTCAATTATTTTAACAAATTTCAATTAGAATTATTTAAAATTCAATTATTTTAACAATTTTCAATAGAAATTCTTTAAAATTCAATTATTTTCATAATTTTAAATTAAAATTCGTTAGAATTAATGTTTATGAAAATTTTAATTGAAATACCAGAAAAAATTCAATTATTTTCAAAAAAATTGTATTAAATAAATTTTCATTCTTGAATTTTTATCTCCAGATTTGTCATTATAGTTTTTAAAAATTCAATAATTTTCGTAATTTTCAATTTAAGTTCTTTAAAATTCAATTATTTTCACAATTTTCAATTAAAATTTTTTAAAATTCAATTATTTTCATAATTTTCAATTTAAGTTCTTTAAAATTCAATTATTTTTACAATTTTGAATTAAAATTCTTTGAAATTCAATTATTTTAACAAATTTCAATTAAAATTCTTTAAAATTCAATTATTTTAACAATTTTCAATTGAAATTCTTTAAAATTCAATTATTTTCATAATTTTAAATTAAAATTCGTTAGAATTAATGTTTATGAAAATTTTAATTGAAATACCAGAAAAAATTCAATTATTTTCACTAAAATTTTATCAAAAATTTATTTATTTCAATTTTTTGAAATATTTAATTAAAAATATAGCAAATAATTGAATTGTAAAAAATTCTAATAAAAAAATATAATACCTAGTAATTATATTTATTTGGTAAATGTAAATAATAATACAAATAATTAGCAAATATAAAAATTATTTTTAGCAAATGTAAATAATATTAATAATAATAAACAAATATGAATAATTATTATACTTAACAAACAGAATAATAATAATAATAATACCTATCAATAAAATTGTTTAATTCAATAATTTCTAATTAATTTATAAAAATTAATTAAATTCAAAAACAACATTTTTGATGCTCCTAAATTATTTTTTTAAATATTCTAACTCTTCTTAAGGGCATTTGAACCATTATGACGTCATAGGTTCTGCAAAGCATGTGTTTTTTAATGCTGTGACGTCATCATGGTTCAAATGCCCTTAAACGAAGAAATATTTCGATTATTCGGAAAAGAAAAAATAAATATAAATAAAAACAATAAATAAATAAAATAATAAATATAAATAAAAATAATAAACAAATAAAATAATAAAAATAAATAAATACAATAAATTAATTTAAAAAATAAGTAAAAAAAATTAAATAAATAAAAATTGATATTTATTTACTAGAATTTATTTATTTACTTAATTAATTTTTTTCTACGTATTTTGAAAAATTAATAGAAAAGGGAAGGGGAAAGAAAATGGAATGTAATGTCGCGTGTCATCTTGGATTTAATCCAAGAGTGTAATCCTGATTAAGCAAAGGCCTTCTAAGGTTCTTACACTCTCCACAACAAAATGTTGAAGTCAACAGGAGAAGTGAAAGGGGCACAAACATTGCCTGTCCGGTTCTTTTCAGTTTTTCCAGCATCGCGTTCCAAAATGGCTGTGTTTTAAACAACTAATCGATAAAAAAAATATTGTGTTAATCTCTAATTGAGATATTTTCCCCTCCCCCTTTAGAAAAAAAATCCAAAAAGAAAAAAACTGCAATGAATTCATCAAATTTTTTAACCATCTTTTCCCTCTTTGTCGCTATTCAAATTCCACTTCAAGTCAACGGTACGTACATACTCATGAACTTTACTTTCTCCTATATATTGACTATGTGCTATGCTTCTAACATTTTTATTATATAAAACCTGTAATTATTATTAAATGTTCCATGCAATTGCTACATAAATATTAAAGATTCATCAATCTGTGAAATGTAAATAATTTCAGGGAATAAAGAATTTCAATTTTTTTGAAAACAATATTTTGAATAAGAAAAAAAGAAACACAATATAGGTACATAACTAAGAAATTAATACATATTAAAATTAAAATAAATATTCTTGACAAAAATATGCGAAACAAAAAAAAATGATTTAATATCAAAGAGAATTTTTCAAAAAGTAATTTTTCAATTTTTGAATATTATTTTTTTAATTATTAATGAATTATATTATTAAATTATTATTATTTTTATTTGCTAAATATTATTCTTGTCACTTAATAATACTCCACTATTTACTATATTTTCGAGTATTTTTACTCTTTGTCCTTTTTCATTTTTTGAAGAAGTGGAAATATTTTACAGAATTATACTATATTAGTTATTTTACTAATTATATTAATTATAATAAAATATATTATTCATTTTGATAATTACTGTACTAAAATTAAACTGAAAAAAATTTATTTGATTCAAATAAACGAATCACTTGTCAATTATTAATTATCAAATAAATATTTATTTGTATTGAATAATTTTTACTCGAGTCAATTTAATGGTATTTGCTATGAGTACTGAAATTGAAAAATAATAATAATATAAACAGTCAAAATATAATAATAAAAATTAAAAATAAAAATATACGAATTAAAATAAAAATAATCTATTTGAGTTAAATAAAAATTATTTGATTCAATTAAATATTTATTCGATAATAGACTACTAATCGGTTATTTGAGTCAAATTAAGTTTTTTTCAGTGTTTATTAATAATATTGTAATATTCATTTTAATTATTTTTATTATTAATTGGATTTTAATTAAATTAATGAATTAATTTAATTAATTTTAATGAAGAATACAATTATTTTTCCATCATTAAATAATTAATTTTAACTATAAATTAATTAATTAATTAATTTTAATGTAATTATTAATTTTAATTAATTTAACTACTTTAATTAAATTAATTTAATTTCTTTTAATTAGTTTAATTAAATAATTAACCAAATTAATAATTAGATAATAGAATTGTAATAATTGGATTTTAATATTTTATAATTTTCACAGGTTTTCTACGAAGATGTTTTGTCTGCAGATCGAGGGGAGAGTTGGGTACTTGTAAGGATGAATTTACCTTTAATGTTACACAAATTGAGAATGTAAGAGGAGTCAAAGCAGATCCATGTGCATCAGGATGGTGTGCAAAAATTATTCAGGGTCGAAGTATCAATAGTGGTATGTAATTACAAAAATAATGGAATTATTCCCATGACTAATCATACACCACTGCTGATTTCAAATCTACACAATGGTTTTTCCATGTAAAAAAAAAATGCATCAGCAGAATTTTTTTTTTAATATTATTAATTACCTTAGTACAAACTGAAAAATATTTATTTAATTAAAATAACCGATTACTTGTCTATTATAAATATAAATATTTATTTCAATCAATTAAATGGCTTTTTCTTCAAATATACTGAAATTATTGGTTCAGATACAGTTTATTTGATTGAAAGAAAAATTATTTGATTCCAATGTAGAAATTCATTCATTTGAATAAAAATTATTTAATTGAAATAAAAATTATTTGATTTGAATAGAAATGAATTAACTTGAATAAAAATTAATTTATTGTAATAAAAATTATTTTATTGGAATAAAAATCATTTGATACAAATAAATATTTATTTGATAATAAACAAGTAATTGTTTATTTGAATCAAATAAATTTTTTTCTTCGTGTAACACCTTCTAAAAAAATTTTCATTTTCAATTCTACTTGAATTTTTTATTCCCTTTCAAATTTAATTAATTGATTAAATGGAGAAAATGAATTTTCGCAATATTTTGTATATAAAATAAAATAAAATTACTGAAGAATGCAGTCTTTAAGGGGGTCATCAATGTACGATTATCAAAGCATTTTATATACAGTGTATATCATGAAGTGCGTTCATCATTCACATCATGTCCTCAATGATTCATCTGTATAATGTAACGCTCTGAATGAATAGTATTTATTAAAGTCTCCTGTTCCGATTTAGATCTAGTATTATATTGTTTTAACTATATTTATACAATTATATTCAGCTTTCAATGTTCTTCAATGATTTCAAATTTGCTCGAAATTGCATGTCAGTTACGATATCGTTTTCTCATAGAATAGAAAGACTGAAATAAATTTCATTGAAATTAATTATATAATTTATATTATTAGGGGCAAATAATTGTTTAAATTTAATTATAAATACATTTCTTTGGGCAAATATTACTTGAATGAAATAATTATTTGGGAAAATATTATTTTAATCAAATAATTATTTGGGAAAATATTATTTTAATCAAATAATTATTTGTCGAAATATTATTTTAATCAAATATTTATTTGACTAAATATTATTTTAATCAAACAAATTTATTTGATTAAATATTCTTTTATTTAATCTAAACAAAAATTATTTGTTCAAATATTATTTTAATCAAATATTTATTTGGCCAAATATTATTTAAATCAATAGTTGTTCAGCAAATATTATTTTAATCAAACAAATTTATTTCATCAAATATTATTTTACTCAAATAATTATTTGGGAAAATATTAGTTTAATCAAATAATTATTTTAGCAAATATTATTTTAATCAAATAATTATTTTAGCAAATATAATTTTAATCAAATTATTATTTTCTCAAACATTGATTTAGTCAAATAATTATTTTAGTTCAATCGAACAATAATTTTTTCAAGTCAATTAAACTATATTTGAGTCAAATTGATTCAAATTTAAATCAAAATTAGCTTAAATACAGTTTGTTTGACTATAATTAATAAAAATAAAAATATTAATTAATAATAGTAATAATAATAATAAAAATAACAATTGAAAATAATATATTAAAACAATAGTATTAAATATATTATCAAATATCATCATAATGAATAAGATTGAAATTATTTCTTTTCAGAACATGACGTAGCTACAGAAAGAACTTGCCTCCAAAGAGGTCCAGACGATGGGGAGGAGAGATGTGCATATACAACAATGGATTATAAAAAAGTTTTTATTTGCTTCTGCAAAGGTGATTTGTGTAATAGTGCGAGTCACACAGTTCCGACGATATTAAGTCTCATCACATTAATAACAATTATAAAATGTTTCTTGTGAAAAATGTCAAATTTTTTTCTTTTTTTACTTGAAAACTGAAGGACCTCTTTGTTTGCGAAGTTATAATTATTTAAACATATCAAATTTTACATAGAAAAAAAAAATTGCAAGAATCAAGTGAAAATATTCTTATGTAAATGTGAATGAATGACGTTTGATTGTTACCATTAAATAATATTTTTAAGAAGTTTTTTATTCTGAGAATCGTGACAAATTTTTGTATATTTTAAGTTAAATATCTTAGATGCTTTTTAATTCTTTCAAATTTGTAGTTTTTATTTTCAAAAAAATTATTTTCTTGGCAAATTTGTATACAAATTTCTAGACAAATTTCAATAAAAATTTCTAGATGAATTTCAATAAAAATTACTAAACAAATTTCTATACAAATTGATAGACAAATTTCCATAGAAATTTGTCCAGTAAATTATTTTTGAGAATAAAAACTACATTTTTAATATTTAAGTTATTCAATCGACAAGTCTTCCAACTTATGAGAAATTAATTAGTTTAATTACTTCATGAAATTATTTAATGGTATATTAATTGATTTAAGTAATTAATACAAAAAGTTAATTAATTAATGTATTTATTAAATTAATTCGTGTTTAAATTAGAGTAAGATTATATTATACAGTAGTTAAAATTTATTTTAACAATTGAGATAAATATTTCATTTTGTTAAAATTTTCCAAAAAAAAAGTGTTATTTATTTTCTTCTTTTAATTTTGAATATCTAACACTTTGTGAGCTGTTTTTTTTTAAATCACATTTTCTAAATTTAATTTAATTTTAATCTTAATAGAGGAGCATCAATATTCCACTAAATCTCCCAAGACAAATTTTCACTTGATTGAAATTTATTTTAATTAAAATGAAAAATGTAACGTATTTACAGAATTTGATTGAATGAAAAATTAAATTTTTTAATTTAATATTTTAATTAACTATTTTATTCTAATAGTTTAATTAAATATTAAATTTCTCATTTAATTAAATTCCTTGATATCAAGAATTCCAAGTGACAAAATTTCATTTCTTTTGGCCAAAGAAAAATTCGATAGTCAAATAGAAAAATTAGTTCGAAATTAAAAATAATTTTCAAAATAATAATTACGCAACTCCTACTTTGTCAGTATTTAAAATAAATAAATAAATCTACAAGTGGCATTAATTTTTAGGATTTTTAGTTAGAAAAAAAATTGCAAACTAAATATCAAAATTTGAGGTAGAAAAAAAAATTACCATAAAAAGAAGAAATTTTCTTAACAATGGTACATTGTGATTAAAAAATAAATTTGTTTAAAAATAATTTAAACGATTTATCAACAATATTTTTGACGATTAAAATTTGAAATCACGAATTCTACTTTACCTACGTATCACATTTATCTTGTGTTCATCGAATGTAACGACAAATACAAAAAAACAAATCTACATTTCCAACAGTTGATTATTTATTCAGTTCTTTTTTTCTATCTTTGGATACGAAAAAAAATTCGTTCATCACAGTGATTATTATTAACAAACATGTAAATCATACATGTTAATAAAAAAAATTTTTTTGTTCAATTGTACATTACTTCCTTTAGAAATATCAAAAGAAATCAATACAATTAAAACCAGTCTAAATTGTTATTTGAAAAGAAAATTAAAATTTCGAGAAAAAAATTATAATTTTCGAAAAAAAAACAGACCTAATTATTTAATACCTTGTTCACGCTGTTTGTTCCATTTTACTTTTTTCTAATCGTTTTTTCTTTTCTATAACTTTTTGATGCTTAATACTCTTCAGATGGATGTTCCATTGTAATTCGCCCACAAACAGTCTTTCGCAAATCTGTAAAACAAAAACTTTTTAATATTTGATTTCATATTTTTATTTTTATTATTCTATTTTTTGCTTTTATATACAAATATTTTTAACTGGGAGGAAATTAATTTATATTTAATCAAAACTTACTTCGCAAAAGTGAGGCGTATCATTAAGAATGTCCGTTGACTTTTGTTTTTCAACATTTTCATTCATTGACATTTGTTTTGGTTGCTCGCCCCGAATAACAGAGGTAACGATTTCTATCGCTGGATCAAGCACGTCGTTTGTCCATTTGTCAATATTGGTACAATTCAAAGAATAAATGGATGGAACCTGCAACATTTTGATAAATTTTTTCAATTAATAAAAATTCATTTTTAAATATGAAAATAAATACCTAATGAATAAATATTTAAATATTTACCAATTATTTTTACACAGGGATTGAAATTTTCTAAATTTCAATTTCAAATCTTCTGACAATCAATTATTTTCAAAAATCATAAATAATTATAAATAATCATAAATAATTATAAAAAATCATAAATAATTATAAATAATCATAAATAATTATAAATAATCATAAATAATTATAAACAAAATTTTAAACCTTGAAAATTTGAAGGATTTATAAAAATTTTTAACTAAATTTCTTTGAATCACATATTTTTAATAATTTTCCAAAAGATCTTCGAGAATTCAATCACTTGAATAAAAAATTCAATTTTTTATAATAATTCTATCACTGTAACTCTTCAATGTTTTTTTTAAGTTAAAGGTGAACTATTGAAAATAGATAAGCAAAAATATTCAAAATAATTGAATTTTAAAAATTTATGATAAAAAAATTCTAAGAATTAGCTTTTTAAAAATATTGTAATGTAATTTTTCGAAAATAATTTAATTTCTCAAAAGAATTTTCGCGCAATTTAAAAATTCATTTATTTTTTCGATAAACTGTAATTAAAAATTTTCAATGTGATTGATTTCTCTGGAATTTTAATAATAATTCGAGAAAAAATTCGATTCTTTCAAAAAATTTAATGAAATACATTTTAAAAAATCAATTCTATTTTCAGCAAAATTTTCGTCACAATAAAAAAACGTCATCGATAGTTTTAATTATATTTAAAAATTAGTTTCATTCAAGAATGAAATTAAATTTAAAATAAATTCAATTTCAAAATTCTGTTAAGTTTAATTATTGTCAGAAATAGAAAATTTAATTTTTATTTATTTACAAAATATTTGCAAAAATTGAAAATTTCCCCAGTCCTTGTGGTGATTTCAAAGTTTATAAGGTACACACAAAAAAATTCAAGAAGAATATTTTTTATTCTTCAATTTAATTCAAAATTAAATTTTTTAAAAATATTTTTAAAGGTAATTTAGAAATAAAGGTCCAGAATATTCTCATGAATTTTGAAAATTGAATATTTTTACAGTACTTTTGATAAAATTCCGTTTTCCCTTATTTGTGTTAATCCTGATAATATTTTTGTTTGTTAATATACAAAATTTTCTTAAATTTAACAATACTGTGGAAATTTTTTTTTAAAAAGTGCAAAAATACAATAAACTTACAAAACTACAAATGATTTTAAAATTGAAAATTGTGTATTAAAAAAAAACAGGGATGACAGTGATTTTTTCGTGTAACTTTAGTTAAAAAAAGGAATTTTCATTTTTAAAAGAGGATTCAGATTACAAAAATGGGATTTTAATTTTTGAAAGGAGGATTTAGATTAAAAAAAGGGGATTTTATTATTCTCAAAAATGGATTTAGATTAAAAAAGGGAATTTTAATTTTTAAAAAGAGGATTCAGATTAAAAAAGGGAATTTTAATTTTTTAAACGAAGATTCAGATTCAAAAAAGGGATTTTTTCAAATTAAGTAACAAATTATTCTAATGCTACTTTTACTTTTAAATTCTATGAATTTTTCTATATTCGAATTAAATTTTTGTAAATATTAGTAAACTTCATTTCGAAAGTGTATAAGAAAAATTCCAAGTTTAAAAACTCTAAGAAGATATAAAAAGATTTTTAAGTTTCAAAAAATTAAAATTTTTTTCTTTAAAAGAATTAAGTTTTTTTTTTGTTGAACAAAAAGTGACAATTTTTGTTAATTTTTTTTAAAGAATGGGGAAAAGAGAAGAAGGAGTTTTAGGGGATTTTACACTGAAAAAAATTTATTTGATTCAAATAGCCGATTACTTGTTAATTATCAAATAAATATTTTCTTCAATCAAATAATTTTTATTTGAATCATTTGAATGGTATTTACTTCAAATACTGAAATTATTTTAATTATTGGTTCAAATAACGCAAATTATTTGATTTAAATATAAATTTTTTGATTCAAACCAAAATTATTTGATTCGAGTAAAAATTATTTGATTCAAACAAAAATTCTTTGATTCAAACAAAAAATATTTGTTTCGAATAAAAATTATTTGATTAAAAAAAAGTTGTTTGATTCAAATAAAAATTAATTGGTTCAAGCAAAAATTATTTGATGCAATTAAATATTTGTTTGTTAATAGTCAAGTAATCGCTTATTTAAATCAAATAATTTTTTTTCTTCGTATTAATTTAAGGAAATAAAAAGGGGGACTAACTTCAATCCCTGAGAAATAAATAATAATAAGGAAAAAAATCAATTTTACATTTCAAGACGATTATACAAAAAAAAAAAAACAAAGAAAAAAATTGGAGCAGAACAAAAATTGAAAAATCAAATAGGTTACAATTTTCCGTACATAAAATTCCCCTTTCTACAATTCGCAGAGTCTTGAATTCAGGTAATTAATAAAAAAGTTTAATTTCATTAACTAATTGCGTATAATTAAGATTAATTAATACTTGTCTATCAGTTCGACGAATCATTCTATTCATTATCCATTTCCTCTGCTTCCTGGCGTATCTCCTTGTGACTAATTTCAATTCCGCAATGCTTTCTTGTAACATCTGCTGTCCCTAAAATTAAAAAGATATTAGAATGTAATCTAAAGTATATATGAAAATATATAATCTCGAATAAATTCTTTTCTCTCTACAATAAAACATATATATGTATATAAACTCCCAACTCAAGTATCAAGAGCAAATAATAAAGAAAATACAATTTTTTTCTCCAGCAATCATTATATCACTGAACAGAAAAATTTATTTGATTCAAACAACCGATTAATAAATTAATTTTTTTTTCGATTTTTGGAAGACGTATATAAAAGAAAAATTATTATTAAAAAATATTTAATTGATAATAGACAGTTAATCGGTTTATTTGAATTAAATACATTTTTTTTTCAGTGTATCATTCTCCTGAAATAAAATCTTATGGAAAAGAAAACAAGACCTTCTCTCGCATCATTAAAAAAACGAAAACAAAAATAAAATTATCGTTCAAACATATGACAAAGAGGAATTTCTATTATTTACAAAAGGCAAATTTTTCTCTAATACTATGAAGCTTGTGTGTGGTCATAAAATTGTTTTCTTGACAGTTGAAAATGTTCTGAATGTTTATGGAATAGGTACAGCCCTAGGGGCATTTTATATAGTAGAATGTGTGTACGATTTTTTTTTTCAATATCAGTATATTGCAATCGTGTATAATTTACAAACGAGAATCAATATCTTCCAATACAATGTGACACTGACAAACTACTCTGATGCCTAACCCACTTTTCTCAACATGCGGTGTTTGTGCGTTACGGGATTTAAGGCGCAGAACTTTATAATATTATTATGTAGAAGCAACTATTGGTCTTTTAATATGTATATATAATACCTTCTGGCTGTTTCTTTCCTCTTCGGGCAGTATCAAGTAATTGTGAAACTCCTTAAAGCCAATGCTTTGAAAGATTCCTTTTGTGTAATCCGGTGCTCTGAAACAGTCAACAATTTGTTTTTCTCATTATTATTTTTATACACAGCAAGTCTTTTTCTATTTTATATTCCAAATTTTTTTCCTGTTTTTTGCATTTATCATTTAATAATATTTGATAATTAAAAATTTAATATAGAGGAGATATCAAATTATCACACTTTTTAGTTCAGAAAAAATAAAACTTATTTAACTGCTGTCGTTCATCAGAAACTAAAACAATTTATTAAAAATTTAATTAAAAAAAAATTAATTCAATTTATTAAAATTTTATTATTAAACTAAAATTATTACATTTATTTAAAAAGCAAATTTTTTAATTCACTCATTACATTTATTAAAAACTAAGAAATGTTCGAATCGCGGTATTCAATTTATTGTGCAAATTACCCTAAAAAAATTTATTTTTGAATATCAACTTCTATTTTCGAGTAAAATTTCAGATACAAAATTTAAAAAATTTACAAATTAAGTAATTAACTAATTAATTATTAGGTACTATTTATTATTTTCATCGAAATGAATACTTCGAACGAATTCAATTATTTTCATTTTTTTTTTATTATTTTCAACTACTTTCAAGAGTTTTAACAAAATTTATAAAAATAATTGAATTCATACAAAAACTTTTATTAAAATTCTAAAAAAAAAATTGAATTGTTACAAAGAATTTTGTCATTAAATAAAGTAATTGAATTCTTTGAAAAAATTCAATTATTTTCAAAAATTTGAAAAGAATTCTTCGAACGAATTCAATTATTTACAGTTTTTTTAAAATTACTTTCAAATTACTTTCACGAATTTTAACAAGATTTATAAAAATAATTGAATTCGTACAAAACTTTTATTAAAATTTAAAAAAAAAAATGGAATTGTTACAAAGAATTTTGTTCTTAAATAAAATAATTGATTCCTTTGAAAAAATTAATCATTTTCAAAAATTTTAATAATATTGTTCGTAAAATTTCAATTATTTTCATAAATTAATAAAATTCTTCGAAATAATTTAATTATTCTCCAAAACAATTTTAAATAAATTCTTCATATGAATTTAATTATTTCCAATACAATAATAATAATAATTTAGTTTCTCAAAAGAATTTCAATTATTTTCACAAACTTTAATAAATTTCTTTGAAAAAATTCATATTATTTTCATAAATAATAAAAATTATCTTCGTAACAAGAATTCAATTGTTTTCAAAAAATATGAATAAAATTCTTTCATCAAATTCAATTATTTTTAGTTTTTTTTATCATTTTCAAATACTTTCAAGAATTTCAACAAAATTTAAAAAACTAATTGAATTCATAGAAAAACTTTTATTAAAATTTAAGAAAAAATGGAATTTAATTATTTTCACAAATTTTAATCAAGTTTTCTGCAAAAATTGAAATTATTTTCATAAATAATAAAATTTTTTGCAATAATTCAATTATTGTCATAAATAATAAAAGTCTTCGCAAGAATTTAATTATTATGTTTGTAAATAATAAAATTGTTCAAAAGAATTCAATTATTTTCGAGAATTTTATCAAAATTTATGAAAATAATTGAATATTTGCAGAGAATTTTGATTAAAATTATTAAAAATGATTGAATTCTTACAAAGAATTTTATTACTCACTTATTCACGCAAATTTATGGAAAAAAAAAGTAATTTCAAAATTTTTTCTTTAAAAAAATAGTATAATTTAGTTATTTATAATAATTTTAAACGAAACTCTTACAAAAATCACGTCAGTAAATTTTTTGAACTTCAATGATGAAAAAAAAAATGAAAAATAAAAAATGAAAAAATCAAATCAATGATGAAGGAAAAAAAAATTTTTCAAACGCAAAATAATAATATTTGTTTGCAAATTTTTTTATTGTAAATAATTGATCAAGAAAAGAAGGAATTAAAAGATTGTCATACAAAATCACAGAATTCTTATCAGATAATTTCTAAACAATTAATTTACAATAGGAAAAAAAATAATTATTTTCCGTATATTTATTTTTCTTGTAAATTGAAAATAAAAAAATTAATATTATATATTTTTTCAATTTTTAAGGAAATTGAGTCTGTCTCTAGACTACGACAACTAGAAATTCCTTACGATAGTGAATGCAACAGTGTAAATAACATAACACAGAATTTGTGATAAAAGCGATAACGCTAATCACAAATAATCCTTTTTTGTTTGGTCGCTTTTCAAGGGAAAATGTATATTGTCATGAGATTTTTATATCTATATTTATTAACATTCACAAGAAACATCTCAATTTTCAATTATTTCAATAATCGGTAAATAAATTCAATAAAAAAAAATTCTGTCTAATAAATTGTTCTGGTAAAGTTATATGTTTTCAATATTTGAAAAAGAAGAAAATATTTTTTTTATAGTAAAATTTATTTAAATTAATTTCAATAAATTATTATTAAACTATTATTATTAAAATATTCTATGATCGTTAAATTCAATGTTTTACTATAAATATTATTATTAAATATTTAATATTATTATTAATATTAATATGAATAATATTAGTGATAATAATCATAATTAATAAGCCAGGAATAATTAAAACAAAAATTTCAAGAACAACCCCTTTTGAAATGAAATTAATTATTTTCTCCTCGTCTCTGCGTCGACTATTATTGTCAAATTGTTTTGAAGGAAACGAGATGAAATTTCTATCTTAGACTTTACGACGTGAAAATAATGAATTTAATTATTAATATTTCTCTAAATATGCAACGTATTCAATTTTCCAATTAAGATTTTTTGTTTTCAAAAAATAAACGAATGTTAAATTAGAAATAATATGGAATAAATGTATTATTTTTTAATCTGATTTGATAAGAGTATAATTATAAATTATTAATTGCAAAAAGAAAAATATTCCCAACAATTTAAGTCTACAAAAATTTAAATATACACGACGTCATTAAAATTAAATTCGTACATAATAATTAATATAATTTGTCATTTTCTGTTGTGTGTCAAATGAGAAAAATTTATCTCATTATATACGTACACACTTTTTTTTGGTACTGTTGCCAAGACAATTTTCTGCAAATGAAAATTCTCTCTTCAGGTTTTAAATTAAAAAAGAAAAGATTATAAAAAAAAATTTTTTTTTATAATTTAATTTATTTTTAAAAAAAAATTTTTTTCTATGGTGGCAAATTTTGAGAAAATTGCGTCATTAAATTGTAATATAGAGATTTCAATCTGGAATTCAGTTTTATCAGTTTAATAATGAAAAGTTTATAATTAAGTTTCTGATTGAACCTTGATAATAATGTGTAATCTAAGGCGATTCTAAATCAGCTTATTCTATTTAAATCGTCAATATAATATTAGGAGAAAAATATAAAAAATAATAAAATAAATAAAATAAAAAGAATAAAATAAATAAAAAAATAAAATACCTAAAATAAAAAAATAAAATAAAAAACTTGTTCTATCAATTTATTTAAACTTTCGATAATTTACTAATAATTAAAACTATTTCTGTACTCCTTATTTATATTAGTTTTTCAAATTTAATAATTAGCCTAATTAATTAAGTTTCGTCAAATGAAGGATAATGATAAAAGGATGTTGAATATTATTATTGCAAAAAAAAAAAATTCTTATCATATTCGTGGAATGCGGATACTCAAAAATCCAAATTTTCAAAAGCAAGTAGAAAATTTTATCAAATCGCGATAAAAAATGATTGTAATTAATTTCTAAGTATATAGTATATTATGAAATTATTATCAATTTTTTAATCATGAAAAAGAATACAGTAAGGAATATACAAAAATATGGAGGAAAAATTTTTCATTATAATATTCTCTCTTCCCCTTTTTATTATAAATATTATTATTTTTTTTATTATAATTGAATTAAATTACACTGAGGAAAAAAATGTATTTGATTAAAATAACCGATTTCTCGTCTATTATAAAATAAAAATTATAAAATAAATATTTACTTAAATCAAATAATTTTTCTATTTAAATAAAATAAATTTGAACCAATAATTTCGATATTTGAAGTAAATAGAATTTAACTGATTCAAATAAATATTATTTCTTGAAAATAAATTTTATTTAGTTCAAATAAATCTTATTTGATTCAAAAATGTTTTATTCGTTGCAAACAAATTAAATGTGGTTCAAAAAAATTTCTTTTAGTTTAAAACATTCAAAACTAATTGCAGTAATTTATGTTAATTATTATAATTCGTAATAAAAAATAAATCCTATTTAGCTCAAATAAATTTAAATTTTAATTTACTGGAACCAAATAATTTTTATTGAAATGAAGAAATTTAATTCGATTTAATAATTTATTTTCTTGGAAATTTTTCATTTGAATTGAAAAATATTATTTTTTATTACGAATTATAATAATTATCAAAAATTACTGCAATTAGTTTTGAATTTTCTATTCATAGAAAAAAAATTTGCAACAATAGAAAAAAATTGCCGTCTCTAAGTTAATAAAATAAAAATAAATTATGGGAGAAATAAAAGACTATCATTTTTTTTAAAATTTAAACCTGAAAAGAAAAAATTTCTTTGCAGCAAATTTTTCTAGAAAAATATTTTAGAGAAAATAAGATTAAATAAAGAGAAAAAAGGAATAAAGAAAAAAGGTGAAATAAGAAAAATAGAAGAGTGAAGAAAGAAAATAAAATAAAATAAGAGTAAACAAAGAAAAAAAAAAATAAAAAAAATGGGAGAGTAAAAAAAAATAAAGAAAAAAAAGACAAGAGAGAAAAGAAAAGAAAGTAAAAAAGTAAATTCACGAAAAAGTATAAAAGAATAAAAAGGAAAGTAAAAAAGTAAAATAAAAAAAATAGGAGAGTAAAGAAAAAAAAAGAAAAAAAAGAAAAAAAGGGAAAGTAAAAAAGTAAAATAAAAATAGTAGGAGAGTAAAGAAAGAAAAGTAAAAATAGTAAAATATAGAAAAATATAAAAATAAAGAAAGAAGAGAAGAAAAAGGAAAGTAAAAAAA